CGCAACAATGCCGCCCCCACCCCTGCAGCAGTGGCCTGGCCCCCAGGCCCCTCAGGGACCCAAATGGGCACTGCCCAGGGTCTGGCGGCCTGGGGCCTGCTCCTGGGGCTGCGGGACTGGCCAGCCTCCTCCGCCCTCTGCCTGGGGCCTGTGGACACCCCGAGGGCTGTAGGAGGGTGGCCTGGGCCCTGGACAAAGCCCAGCAGGCCAAGCACAGCCTGCCGGTGCGCAGGAGCAGAAGGTCCCTGGGACGACGGTCCTGTCTGCAGACTCGGGTGACCCCAAGGATGGATGATGCTGGGGTTCTTGGCCGGGCGCCACGGTGCAAACCTGGGCACCACAGCGGGGCAAAGAAGAGGAGACACCTGCCCGGTTTGTTTTCCCGAGACTCCGAGCACACCCCCAGGTGAGAGGGGAGAGCCCTGCGGCGCCCTCCCCTGTCCCTCATGGCCCCCAGCCCTGCCCACGACAGAGCAGGGCGAGCCCTTCTCTGCTGGCCGGGTGACAGCCCACACACAGCCACTTCCCAGGCGTGGGGTGTCGGCCCCTGGCAGAACAGCCCCACGCCTCAGTTTCCCCTCTGTGAAGTGGGCAGAACGGTCCCCACCAGGTGACAAGCACCGAGGGAGCGAGTCCCAGCACCTGTGTGCAGACAGGCGCTCCGGCAGCACCAGCAAAGACAGTGGTGGCGGGTCTCCCGTGCCCCGCCTGCCTCCGCCTCACCCAGACCCCCACAGAGCTCCCAGGGGCCCACCACAGCCGGGCCCTCGGTCTCCCCGTGGCACATTTCTGACATATTTTTAACCGTCAGCAGAACAAGACGAAAATTTAGTAATTGCTTTTGGCAGGGAGTCCACGGGCCGGTTCAGGGTGGACAAGGACCGAGGGGGTTTCCTGGGCCGCCTGCAGCCAGGGACCCTGTGGGGCTGAGCTGAGCGCAGGCGGTAGGGCCTGGGGAGGGTGGGGTGCAGAGTCAGAGCAGCCGGCCGGGCGAGGCTCAGTTCCCCGTGGCAAGTGTGTGGCCATCTGAGAAATGTGCTGTGACCTGAGCAAGGGCAGCCGCTGCTGTGTGCTCAGCGGCCGCAGACGGTCGGCCGAGTCCCGGGAGAGGGTGTTGGCTGAGGCCGAGGAAGGCGGGCGCGCCCGGCTGGCCCGGTGACGCTCACCCCCAGCCTGGCCAGCACCACCGGCCGGTGTGCCCGAGGGTGGAGGCCCCAGCCTCGCCCTTCCTGGGACAAGGCTGAGTGGGGAGCAAGGCCAGTCAGCCGGTCAGATGGACCCTGTGTCCACCTCCCAGGCTGTGCCTCTGCTCCCCACCCCCGCCTTCTTTTCTGGGGGAGGCCCTGCGTCAGGGCCCTGACTTCGCGAGAGGCCCCTGGCACCCGTGTCCCTGAGGGAGTGAGGAGGGTGCCCCGCCGTCATCTCCAGGCCCCTGCACCCCAGGGATGAGGGGCTGGTGCCTCCTATGGGTCAGGAGCACGCGAGGCTCGAACAACAGGCCGCCCCGGCTCCCGCTTCGTTCCCGCTGCCGGCCTCAGCCCGGGCCCTCGCCTCCCGGCTGCGAGACTCACGGGCCACAGGACCGCACTCCCCGGGAAGAAGGGGGCAGACCCACCTCTCTAATCTGGAAGCGCGGCCCTCCCCGGACACCCCCGGACACTCCCGGACTCTGCAAGCCGGGCCGGCACCGAGGCACTTGGCCACCAAGCTGCCATGGTGCACCGCCACCCCGAATAGCACTGGGGCTGTTTCAGTTTTTACATGTTTTTAAAGATTTCATTTATTTACTTATCTTTAGAGAGAGGGGAAGGGAGGGAGAGGGAGGCAAACTGATGTTCCAGAGAAACACTGATTGGTTGCCCCTCCCACGCCCCCAGCTAGAGACCTGGCCCACAACCCAGGCGGAGGCCCCGACTGGGGATCACACCGGGAATCCAACCGGCGACCTTTCAGTTTGGGGGAGGATGCCGGAGCCACCGAGCCCCAGCAGCCAGGGCAACATCCGGGCGTTTTAGAAAGGAAGCAGAACGGAATGGAGGCAGCAGTGTCGCCCCCCCGCCCCATGGACTCGCCCACGCCTGCTCTTTGCTACAAGGGACGCCCCTCCCCACAGCAGAAGCCCGCCTGGCCCTCCGGGGGCCACGCCAGCCTGGCCTTGCAGACACCCGCCAGCCCGTGGCCAGGCGGCAGGAAAGGGGCCAGTTCCACTCTACCCCGCCTCCTGGGGAGGCCACATGGGCCAATCACATGTGTGTGCACATGTGTGCATGCATGTCTGTATCTGCAGGGGCGCACACACCAAATGTGTGTGTGCGTGTGTGCACATGTATGCGCGCACACCGGACACAGACACGTGCACGCACAGACGCACCTGCACACACCATGTTGTGCACCTGTGTGCACGTGTGTAATCACGTGTGCAGGCACACGCCAGCAAGTGGCCAGCTCCCGGCCCGTCCCCCACAGCCACCTGGAGGAGCCACCCGCCCGCCCCAGACCGGCCCGTCGCCCTTCACAGCATCCAGCTGACCAAAAGCACAGGTTTCCCTGACCTCAGGCGTCCGGCCACCCCGCACCCTCGGGAGAGGCGGGAGGCGGGGCAGGAAAACTCCCGAGGTGGAGATGCAGCACTTAGGGGACGGCGGCCGAACTGCTCAGAGCAGCATTCTCCTCGCAGGGCAGCCCTTTCCCGGACGGGCCTGCGCTGGGCACTGCTGCCGGGCTCAGCCGGACGCCGGGCGGCGGCGGAAGCCGCAGAGTGTCTCCAGGAGGACCGGCCGGACGAGTCAGCGAGCACGGCCACCCACCCTCGCCCACCTGCATTGCTCATTAGCCCCGGCTGGCGGGCGGCGGCGGGCGGCTCCAGGGCCTCCCCGCCCTGCCCCCCAGAGCAGGCTGGCTCCTCGGCTCACCTGGGCTCCCCTGCACCCCAAGGCTCGGAGCACCTCTGGGGACAGGAGTGGGGCCTGGGGCCTGTGGGCTTGAAGGGAAGGACCCCACAGCCGAGGGGTTTGCTCTGGAGGCCCCGAGAGGGTTCGAGGAGGGACCTGGGCCTTGGGACCCCCCCAGGCTGGCCCAGCCTGGGGGACCTAACACTCTGTGCCCTGGGCCACCCCAGCCTCAGAAGTCAGGTCTCAGGGTCTCCAACTGACAAGACTCGTGGAGGACCAGGGTGGAGACGGGGCCGAGAGCCACCCCACCTGAAACCCCTGTCCCTACTTCTCCACACCTCCTGGATCCACCTGCACCCCTCTCCCCACAAAGCCTCCGAGGCTGCAGCACCCCCCATCTTCCTGCAGACGGGGTCCAGGCTCTGGCCCAAGTCTGCCCGGGGACAGGGTGGCAGGTGTCTGCAGCTCCGCGGCCAACCCAGCCGGGACACAGGTGTGCACTTTGACCGCAGGGTGCGGGGGGGGGGGGGCGGACCGGGGAGGACAGGATGCATCAGCTGTGGGTGGGGAACACCCCAGAGGCCTCTGGTTTCCCAAAGGGCAGCAGGTAGCAAAAGCAAAAGAGCTGTGAGCCGCCCAGAGCTCCCGTCCCCATCCCCACCCCAGGGTGGGACCAGAGGGAGGAGCCTTGGCGGGTGCTCATTCAGTGCCAGCCTGAAGGTCTCTGTGCCCCCCACCCCCGGAGACGCGTGTCTTCCTCCATCGTGGCACAGAATGACCACGGTGGGCGGGGGGCACCAAGGACCTGCCAGTGACCCGCCCCCCCAGCAGCTCTCTCCCACCAGGGCCATGTCACCCCTCCTGAGGGTCGCGCTGAGCTACAGACCCGGAGGGAAGGGAGACAGACAGCAAATGGCAAAAGTTCTCTCGGGGCAATGGGATTTGTGCTCACCCAAAATCTCAAAAATTTCCACTTAAAAAAGCAGAATACCTTCCCCTCTCGGCCTGCTGGGGACTCCAAGGAACTGGACCGCAGACAGTGCAGTCCTGACTTCAGCCACCAGGGGGCGGCCAAGACCGGGGCATCCGTGGTCGGCTCTCCGGGTCCCGGGAGGAGGGAGGGGGAGTGGGTGCACAGGCCACGCCAAGCGACAGGTATCGCCACCCTCGTTGATGGCTGGGGACAGCAAGGGCCCGGGTGAGGGAGGGCCTGTCCACCACCCGGCAAAGTCCCTGGGCTGGACCCCCATTTCCCACCCCTTGAACCCACTCGCTAGTGCCGGGGGTCACCTGGCTTTGCTCGCCACACGCAGGAGGAGTGGATCTCAGCCTCAGCCGCGCCCTGGGAGCCCACTGGGCGGAGGTGCCCACAACCCCATGGAGCGCGAGCGTCTGGGGGCCCCCTGAAGTCCTTCTGGAGCTGCTGGGAGTGGCGGGCCACCGGGCTTGACCCCCGGGTGGCTGGGAGGCCAGCCCCCGTCATGTACGCCCGCCCCCCACCTGGCTCCTCCCTGGCTGTGCCCTCACTGCGCCACCGCGCCTTCCCGGCCCGGGTCAGCAACGGCCGTGGACAGGTCCGCCCCAGCCCCGCCAGGCTGAGAGCAGGAGGAACAGCAGAGCCAGGGCCGCAGACAGCCCCAGATCCGAGGCCTCGGGCTGGGCGCAGCGTCGCCGGGAGCCTGGCGGGCGGCGGCGGGGGCGCCGGACAGCTGGGCGGCAGAGGCGGTCTCCCCGAGGGGCCCGTCTGCGGGAAGGAGGAGGCAGGGGCGGGACTTCCCCCGGGAGGGTCCCCACCGCGCGTCCCCCGGCCTCTCCCTGCTCGCAGCCCAGCGCAGCGCGGCACGGGCCACGGTGGGCAGCGCCCGGCGCTCTCTGAAGCGAGGCGAGGCCTGTGGCCTCCCGGCCCCCCCTCCGCTGCCGCCACACCTCCTTCCTCGGGCCCTTCAGGCGGGCGCCGCTGGAGGCTGGTACGGAGCTCCACCGGCTTCCAGGGCGCGGAGGGGCCCACGCGGACTACTCTGCAGGGACCCCCGTTGCACTGCGGGGGCAGTTCCGTCAAGGCTGCCCTCTGCCCACACGGCAGCCGAGGGGTGGGCGCAGGCGCCATCGAGCTGGCAGATGAGAACAGCGAGCTCCCCCAGAAGTGGTCACCGGGGCGCAGAGCCGCCCTCGGGCTCCTCCCTTCCCCGGGGCCAAGTGTGGGCTGGGTCCTTCTTTACACCTCAATGCCCAGGACCAGCCAGGGACGGAGACAGGCCAGGAATCGGGGTGGGCCTTGCACAGCGCCCGCCACCGGCAACTCTGCCGGGTGCTTACTTTCCAGCAGAGGGGCTCCCCGGTCCAGGGAGGGGCCCGCCCTGCAGCTGCCACAGCCTTTCTGGACGCTGCCTGAGTGGATCAGCTGAGGGCCTTCCTCCGAGGAAGCGGGGGCTGGAGCTGCGGGTGGGGCGGTGGGGGGCCCAGCCCCACAGGGGTGTGTCCCAGGTGCTCTCCCAGGCCCAAGGCCCCAGCCAGCCGGGCGTGCCCGCTCCCAGACCAGCACTCCTGACGCCTTCGGAAGGGGCCTCCTGCACGGGGGCTCAAGAAGTGGGGAGGGCTCTGAATGCAGGTTGGCAAGCGGCTTCTGGCACCCCCTGGGTGCCCTGCCATGCCAGGCACAGGTAGGGGGAGGAGAGAAATGGGGTACACATTCTGTCCCCCTGGCAGCCCCAGAGCAGCCCCAGGCCCAGGTTCAGAAGAGAGGGCCATAGCCCACCCATGGCAAGGCTAAGAGAAGACCTTGGAGATGATCCTTTAAGGCAGCAGTCCCCAAACTTGGTGGCCCGAGGGGCTGCTTTTTCCATGGACTGGTGGGGGGCGAGGCAGGAGGCGGAGCTCAGGCCAGCTTCCCTCTAAGCCACTGGTGCAGGCCCAAGGCCAGCTGGGGGTTGAGGACCCTGTCCTCAGGACAAAGTCGCCCTCCCATTGCCAATGTCAAGAGCAAAAATATCGCAGTGGCCCTAATGCCTTGACAGAGGATTCACCAGCAAATTCAGGTCCATCCACAGAGGCGCCTTCAGGGGCCGTTGATTCGGGGCTATGTACACAGCCAGACCAAGCAGCTCTACTGGGCCAGCAGACTGCCCGTCAGAGGGCGGCAGACACCTCGGCGCAGCCCTCCGCGGTGGCAGAGAGGGACAGGCCCTGAGGAAGCTCACAGAGGCCGCACGGCCCCACGCACGGACCAGAGAAGCCAGGCAGCGGGGCGCTCGCATCACAGTCCCTGTCCCTGGAATTCTGGGGAGGACGCACCCACTGCGCAGTCAGCAAGGTGAGCAGGGGTCTCCCGGGGGTGGGTGCGGGTGGGCCAGCCGGAGAGGACAGGAAGGAACCTGCTAGGTGGATGGAAACTTCTGTGGCTCGGTGCGGGGCAGGGGTCTGGGGTGCACAGCCACCCGTGCTCATCAACTACATACACTAGCCACATGTTCACGGCGCTGCGTGTGGATGGCACACAAAGTTTATTTGTTTATTTATTTTAGAGAGAACGGGAGGGAAGGAAGGAGAGAAAGAGGGAGACAATCAATGTGAGGTTGCCTCTCACACTTCCCCCCCTGGGGACCTGGCCTGCAACCCAGGCATGTGTCTTGACTGGGAATTCAACCAGCAACCCTTTGGTCCACAGGCCCCCCTGCTCCATCCTCTGAGCCACACCAGCCAGGGCCATAACTTGATTTAAAAAGAAGACAAGGAATTGAGAAGAACAAGCCAGAAACACAAGTATGATGTCATTGGTGCAAGAGTCCAGAGCAGGAGAATCTAATCCAAAAGACAGACCTCAGGGCGGTGGGATGCAGGGGAGGGCGGGGTGGCTGGGAGGGACACTCGGACCCTGGGGCGATCGCAGCCTCTGGGCCTGGACCTGGGCGGCGGGCCGCAGGGCCACACACAGGGGCGCGCTGCACAGGTAGGAAGTGCAACCTCTTGAGTTCAGACCGTGGTTCCGAGAGCTGTGCGACATCAGCAGTGAGTGTCACCGTTGGTTGGGCATGCCCGGACCCAGAGCCTCTGTCTGTCGTCCGGAGGAGAACCGTGTGCCCACACAGGCAAAGCAGACTGGGGGGCGGGGTGGGGAGTTTGATGACGATAAAAGAGGGACTTACAACACCTTTCAAGAAACACTTCACTATTTTAACAGTGAAAACTTGGAAGTAACCCAAATGTGCAATAACAAAGGGGTAATTTTTTTTTATCATCACCCAGGGACATTTTTTCATTGCTTTTAGAGACCACGTCGCTGTGAGAGAGGAGCATGGGTCGTTGGCTGTCTCCGGGACACCCCCAGACCAGGGTCAGTGGGTGCAGCAGGGACCTGGAATGGCACCGGAAACCTTTCCCCACGGTGAGGACGCTCTACCCAACTCAGCCACGCCGGCCCAGGACGCCAAGGACCCATTTCTGGGTGCGTGTAGTGTCCCATCCGTGCGCAGGACAGGGTGGGAGCCGGCCCTCTCTCTGAAAAGTCCTAAGAAAGAGCTGAAACTTGTAATTGTGGTCTTTTCTGAGGACAGTTTTGCGGGGATTTTACCATTTCTGCTTAAGTTTAAATCTTGTGCGATTACCTGGATGCTTCACAAGCCCGAGTTATGTCTGCAGCCAGAAAAGACCAGAAACCGGGAGACTACAAGTCTGGCCCACGGCGGTTGCCTCCCCTTCCTCTGCCTTTACCCATAGACCCTCACTGTCGTGGGTGCCACCGGCCTGGTTTCACCGCGTCGCTGGAGGGGAGGGAGCCGCCCGGCGGTGGGGCAGGAAGGGAGTCCGTGCGAGGTGGAGCTCACGCCCTTCCTTTGTAGGGAGACGTGAGTGAGTTCGCTGTGTGACCTTGGAGAGCGGCGTCTCCTCTCTGGGCTTCAGTTATGGCAGCCGGTAGGAGCTGAGCTCCAGTATGTGACGCAGTCTGGAGCTGCGTCAAGCTGGTTCAGCTCGAACCCCGACATGGACCCTAAATGGACTCGGAGGATTCAGTAGGGCCTCTGCCTCCACACCCCGCACGACTGTCTGCCCCTTCCCTCGGGTGCGGGTTCCCGTTCTCGGGGCTGACCCTGGGGCCTCCAGGGTCTCACACAAGGGGAGAAAAGCCAGGCCGACCCGCCCCAGTGCCGCGCCTGCGCTCCGCACCCTGCACCCTAGTCTACGCCCTGGGAAAGCCCGGCTGCCCAGCGCCCCGTAACCGAGCCCGCGCCCCGGGAAAGCCCGGCGGCGCTCTACCTCCGAGCATCCGCACCGCTCGCGGACGCCCATTGGCCAGCGCCTACTCTGCAGGGCCACCCCGCAGCCAATCGCAGCAGCAGGGGCGGAGCTGCGGGCTGGGCCGGATGCTCCAAGCCCTGCAGCCAGACCCTGCCCCGGCCCCTCGGTGGCAGCGCGCTAGTGACAGAGGAGGTGGCCATGCAGGAGCCCCTGCTGGGAGCCGAGGGCCAGGACTATGACACATTCCCCGAGAACCCGCCCCCGTCGCTGGGGGAGAGGACGCGAGTCGGGTGAGAGTTGATGGACTTGCGGGCTGTGGGTGGGGGCTGCTTTCTACCTCGGGCCTCCACTGACCATCCGGGAGTGGCCACCAAGGGGCCATCTGGCTCTTTCCTGCCCTGGAGACGCTAGTCCTATTTAAGGAGCTGGGTGTGTGTCGCCGCCCCCCCCCACACACACACACGCCTTCCAGTACCGGGCCCAGGTGGCAGCCTGCACAGACAGGGACACTAGAGCTGAGAGAGCGAAGGGCCTGCCTGAGGTCGCACAGCGAGCCCGGGTGGGCAGAGCGATGCTGAGAGCAGAGACCTCGCGGCCCCTTCAGATAAAAGCCCCCCGCCCTGCCTCCGTGTCTCAGCCACCGCCAACCCTCCCCTCGTCTGGAGGGTGTACACCTGCCCTGGGCTTCCCCAGGGGAGCCGGCCCTCGGCCCTGGGGAGGTGCCACCCTGCTGGCCCTGGACCTGGCCCTCTCCAGCGCTGCCCCCTGAGTGCTGCTCAGCACAGGCAGTAGACTGGTGGGGAGGGACTCAAAGACCCCCACTCTCTGCCCCCACCCCACTCCCACAGGGCCCCCCAGAACAAGAGGGTGTTCCTGGCTACCTTCGCCGCTGTGCTGGGCAACTTCAGCTTCGGCTACGCCCTGGTCTACACGTCCCCGGTCATCCCGGCCCTGGAGCACTCCCCAGATCCAAACCTGAGTCTGACCAAGGTCCAGGCCTCCTGGTTCGGGGTGAGGGCCATGCTCTGAGTGGGGAGGGGCAGGGTGGGGGTGCAGGGACCCGCCGAGCTCTGTCCCCAGATAGGGACCCCCATAAATCTCAGCCATAGGGCTCTGCCCTTCCCCTTGTGCTCCAGGAGGGGCGGGGTGGGGAATGAGGCCCAATGACGGCTCTGAAACAAAAGGAGGAAGTGAAGCTGATGGAGAAGGAGTGGGCAGGAGCAGGTGGGGAGGCGTCCTGTAAGGTCTCCACCCCGTGGGGTCGAGGGTTCCACAGACACTCCACCTGGAGAAGACGCCTCCCTGGATGGCAGGGTCTGGGACATCAGCGGCCCGAGGAAGGAGCCCCAGCTGGAGCAGGGGGGCCCAGGACGGACTGGGGCACGTGGAAGGAAGAACTCAGGCCTCCAGAGCCCGAGACTCTGCACCCACAACCTCAGGGGCCTCGGGTCTACAGTTACAACAGAGAAGCTGAGATAATAATAATACCCGCCAGGGACTGAGCGCTCACAGTGTGCCGGGCGTGGCGCTGGGCACTCCACGGGAGAGCTGCTTGACTCTGGGCCCCACCCTCCGAGGTGGGGCCTGCCCTCTCCCCACAAAACAGTGGACGGGGCTGAGGCTCATACAGACTGAGCCACGTGCCCAGTTCCCTGACGGGGTCCTGCTCACTGTGCTGGATGGGGAGCCCGAGACCCCCCAGGTATTCAAACCCCAGGGGCGTCAAGTCACAGAATCTTCCCATCTGCTGCTGTGTCATAGCACTAGACACATAAATGTCAGGCAGGACAAGGCCACTGGGACGCGTAGCCCCGCCGCCTCCCCAGAGCAGGACTTCCTTTTGTGGCATCCCTAATGAATGGCTGTCCACGTGCTGCTTGTACACCTCTGGAGACGGGAGGCTCACTACCACGCGAGTCCCAGAGTCTGTCTGCAGCCCCGGCCCCCAGAGCCAGCCTGGAAAAGCAGCTGTCTCCAGGCTCTGTGGGGCAGTGAGTGCTGCACGCCCAGACATGCCCGCCCTGCCCCTTCTCCACAGTCTGTGTTCACACTGGGTGCCGCAGCCGGCGGCCTCAGCGCCATGCTGCTCAACGACCTGCTGGGCCGGAAGCTGAGCATCATGTTCTCGGCGGTGCCCTCAGTGGCCGGCTATGCTCTCATGGCGGGCGCCCGCGGTCTCTGGATGCTGCTGCTGGGCAGGATGCTGACGGGCTTCGCCGGGGGGCTCACGGCAGCCTGCATCCCGGTAAGGCCAGGACCGTCCACCCCAGGGCCCCTCGCAGCCTCAGGGGCATGCTGACCGCCGTCAGATACGGGCTCCTGGCCTCCCAGCCCGTGTCCACCGGTCAGCAGGGATGCGCTTGCTGAGGAACCTCAGCTCACCCGGAACAGGGAAGCTAATTTTCGGGACATCTGCCCCCATGCCCCAGCTTCCCCCACTCTGGACTCCCCGACTTCCTACCCCATTTTCTGACAGTCACTCATTGCTCAATTGGAGAAATTCCACATTGAGCAACGAGGAGGAAAGGGAAGTCCCTGTCCTGCCGCCTGCCTGGTGCCGCCTGCCTGGTGCCTCGGCCCTGGTGCCTCGGCCCTGGCCTCCACTCTCCGTACACCCCCAGGGAGGGGCTGGGCGGGGACCACTGGGGCATGGCGGGAGGAGCAGAGACCCGAGTCTGGGTGCCTTTATGCCTCCCAATTCCCTGCCTCACACTGCCCACTTGAGAGTCAGGGAAACTGAGGCCCACGGGAGGTCAGGAAGTGAGTCACGTTCAGGACAAGAAACCCACCGGAAACCCCCACTTTCCTCCTCTCAAGGACCACTGGGGCCGCTGCCGCTCTCTTGGCCAAGCCCAGCATTCTCATCAAAGGCTGGGGGGGGCGTGGCATGTCTTGCAGGTGTATGTGTCTGAGATAGCCCCCCCGGGCGTGCGTGGGGCTCTGGGGGCCACGCCCCAGCTCATGGCGGTGTTCGGCTCGCTGTCTCTCTACGCCCTTGGTAAGACCAGCGGAGAGCAGGCCGTGGGAGGCAGGGCACGGGGGGGGGGGGGGACCAGGTGGGAAGGGAAGGAATGAGTGAGCGGAGAAAGGCCTGGCTGGGAGCGAGAGAACTGCCCCCCTTGGCCACAAGGCCCTGGCCTGCCCTGGGGAAGTGAGGGCTCCGCCCGGCCGATAGTCTTCGCACTGTCTTTTGACAGCTGAGTGCTTCTATCAGTTTGGGAGGGGAGCCCACACAGGAGAGGGGTCAGAGTGCAGCTGGGGGAGGTGGGACCGGGTTTGGTGGTGCAGCCTGGGGTCTTGCATGGTCAGGCTCCCCCACCAAGACCCTGCTGTGGCCCTTGATGCCCTTCAGGGACGGGGGCCCTGTGCTCGGGGCCAGGCAATTCCTGGAGCACGGGCCTGCGGTAATCAGGGTAGACTTCCCACAGGAGGCAGCCCAGGGACTGGCCCTGGAGGGTGGATGAAGTTGCTCAGAGGACTGGTGGGAGGGGTTTCTGTGTCCAGACCGCCCTGGACCTCAGCCCCTCCACCCCCTCGCCCCCAGGCCTCCTGCTGCCTTGGCGCTGGCTGGCGGTGGCCGGGGAGGGGCCCGTGGTCATCATGGTCCTGCTGCTCAGCTTCATGCCCAACTCGCCACGCTTCCTGCTCTCGCGGGGCCGAGATGCAGAGGCGCTGCGGGCGCTGGCCTGGCTGCGCGGGGCCGATGCCGACATCGGCCAGGAGTTCCAGCAGATCCGGGACAACGTCCAGAGACAGGTGGGGAGTGCAGGGGGAGTGCCCAGCCCGCCCCCATTGCTGCCTCCGGCGCCCCCAGCTGTGTGCGGCTGTGGCCTTTCTGAGCCTTGCTTGCTTTTCCTGGGAAACTGGGATGCCTGTGTTGCCACCTCCAAATGTCACAGCCTGAGGCCCACCACTGACCCAGGCAGGAGCGGGGCGTCCAGGCAGGGCCCCCGGCCCATCCCCTGGCCTGGGTTGTTTCCTGGAGAGGGAGGAGGGGAGTCTGCCCCACTCCGTGCAGTCCGGGGCAGGGTGGCGCATGCTGGTGGGTGGGCCCAGCCCCCTCAGTGGTGGCCTTGTGTCTCCAGAGCAGCCGCATGTCGTGGGCCGAGGCCCGGGACCCCCACGTGTACCGGCCCATCACCATCGCTGTGCTCATGCGCTTCCTGCAGCAGCTGACAGGCATCACGCCGGTGCTGGTCTACCTGCAGCCCATCTTCAACAGCACTGCAGTGCTGCTGGTGAGGGCGCAGGCGCTGGTGGGGACAGCCAGGGGCCCGAGGTTGTGTCTGGGTCAGGGGCCTGTTCTCAGAGCCCCGTTTGCAAGCAGAGCGCATGTTCCACAGTCAAGTACACAGGGTACAGCGAAAACCAGTGTGAGCACACGCAGGCGGCGGGGGGGGGGGGGGGCGCGGCCGGGGGGGCGGGGCACTGACCCCAGTTCAGAGTCCCTGCCTCTGGCTGAGCCGAGCTGCTTCCCCCAGACCTCAGCTTCCTTCTCTGCGGAGTGGAGATAACACGTGCGTGAGCTCATCGCCTGCCCTGGGCTCAGAGGGAGAGGAGATCTGGGGATTAGTGACAGCTGTCCCACCAGTGCCATCAGGCCTAGGTTCTGGGCCCCTGTAGGCCAGGGCAGGTGACCAGGAAAGTGCCTGTGCTCAGTGGGGGCTCAGTGGCTCCGAGAGGCTCTGGCTGTGGCCCAGGACCCGAGCACCCTGCACGCCTTTGGGCGGGGGGAGGAGGGACGGGAGCAGCAGGCCAGGGTCCCTCAGCCCGGGGGCTCCCTCCCTGCAGCCCCCCGAAGAGGACGCGGCCATCGTAGGGGCCGTGAGGCTCTTGTCGGTGCTCATTGCGGCCCTGACCATGGACCTGGCTGGCCGCAAGGCCCTGCTCTTCGTCTCAGGTGGGTTCTGCCACCTCCTCCTCCTCCTCACGGCGAGTGCCGTGTGGCTGGGAGCTCCGGGGTGCCCGGGTTGGACTTGACCCCCAGCACCGAGACAGGCCCGGCATGCAGAGCACCCTGGGAAGGTGTCCGGGGACTTCCAGAGCAACGCTGACATGTCCCAGGGAGGAACCTGCGCCCTGTGCAAGTGGCCCATGGCCACCTGGGGAAGAACCGGGCCACGCAGGGTACAGGGCACAGAAGGGCTTCGAGGAGCCCCTGGCTCACAGGGTCCTGACCCCCGAGGGCCACCCGTCTGTCCACAGCCTCCGTCATGTTCGCTGCTAACCTGACACTGGGGCTGTATGTCCAATTCGGCCCCAAGCCCGTGACCCCGAACATCACCGTGGGCCTCGAGAACGCACCCCTGGGGGACACGGAGCAGCCCTTGGCCACGCCCACCGGCTCCCTCACCCTGGTGCCCCTGCTGGCCACCATGGTCTTCATCATGGGTATGGGGCCAAGGACACCACAGGGCGGGCGGGCTGCCGGGTGGGCAGTGGGGGGCTGTCGGGTGGCGAGGTGTGGAGGCCGTGACTGTGGCATGGGTGGGCCCTGCCACCCTGGGCGGTCGGGGGCAGCCGGGGAGGGCTCTCTGAGCAGCCGCCCCGCCCCCTGTGCAGGCTACGCCATGGGCTGGGGGCCCATCACCTGGCTGCTCATGTCAGAGATCCTGCCGCTGCGGGCCCGCGGCGCCGCCTCGGGGCTCTGCGTGCTGGTCAGCTGGCTCACGGCCTTCGCCCTCACCAAGTCCTTCCTGCTGGTGGTGGTGAGTGCTGGGCCCGGGCCCCTCCAGCCACTGCCAGGGGCCCTGCTGGGCTTCTCCCTCCTGTCCTCCGAGAGGCTGGGATACACCCTCCACATGGAGGCCAGCTCAGGCTCCCTGGTGACCGTGACCGCCGGGTGGAGGGGGGGACTGTTCTGAGAAGTCAGCTGATCTTCCGAGAAGCCACACCCACTGGCACAGCCGCCCTCCAGGACAGTTGGGCCTCCTGTCTGGATGGGCAGGTCGGGTCTCAGCCCACACGGGGTGCCCTGAACACCACACACAGAGCCTCTACCTGGCTGAACTCCACCTCTGGGCCCTAAGCCCAGTAGCCAGTGGATCTCTGAGCCCTGGGTCCCAGCTCACAAGCAGGAGACTCGGACAGGTGGCTAAGCCTGTGCGTGCCCGGGGCCAGGCAGGGCTGGGCCCAGAATGGGCCAGAGGGCTGGGCAGGGGAGTGTGCACAGCCCCCCGGAAAGGGGCACAGATGGGCAGGGAGGGATGGCCAGGGCTGCCTGAGCTGAGTCTCCGGCCATGTCAGGCTCTGAGTGGAGCCTGCTGGGCAGGGAGGAAATCCCAGGGCTCACACCAGAGGAGGAGGGCTGGGTGCAGACTTCCAGGGCCCTGACAGCCACTGAGCCCTCCATCTCCTACTGGAGGCAGCGGGGGGCCCTGGGTCCCTGAGCGGGGAGGACAGAGCAGGGGGAGCCCCAAAGGCTGGCTACTGCTAACAGGGCCACCAAAGCCCCTGTGGGGGCAGGAGGACCCTCGGTCCCCCGTGACCGCACACTTCTTCTCTGCCCCCAGAATGCCTTCGGCCTTCAGGTGCCTTTCTACTTCTTTGCCGCCATCTGCCTGGTGAACCTGGTGTTCACCGGCTGCTGCGTGCCCGAGACCAAGGGCCGGTCGCTGGAGCAGATCGAGTCCTTCTTTCGCAGCGGGAGGAGGTCCTTCCTGCGCTAGGCCAGGCCTCCAAGTTGGCCACTGACCTGCACCCAGAGCCTGGGAGGCGGCAGCGACCTGCCACCAGCCGGACGCCACCCCCGACCCAAGCTCCCTGGCGCAGGACAGCCAACAGCACTGTCCAGCAGGGTCCCTCCGCAGGCGGCCTGAGGCGCCATTCGGACGTTGGCCAAGACCTGCGGACAGACGTGGCGGCACGCACCACAGGGGAGCACTGGCCACCCTGCCCGGGGGGTGGTGACGAGGACAGAGACGGGGAAGTGGAGGGGCTCCCGCAGAGACGGCGTCCCGTCACCCTGCTCCGACCCGAGCCACCGCTGAGCGACTGGGAGAAAGCAGGAAGAAGTCTGCCCCAAGGACTCCCAGCGGCCCCCGGGCCAGGGCACAGGACCGGCCCACACGCACTCCTGCCCCAGCCCGGCATCTGGGAGCAGGCTCCCGAGGGCTCCCACCTGCAAACCGTGTGCCCTGTTTATGGAAATAAACTGGAGTTCTGGCGGGGGAGCCCCCTCCAGCCAGGCCACACTGCCAGCCGCGGACGCCAGGCCTGCCGCCCCCACCTGTCCCCAGTGGGGCAGACAGGAGCTGCTGGACAGCCCACTCCTCCCACAGGGGGGCCTGGGGCCAGCCGAGCGCGATGTGGGGGGGGCGCCCCTCACACTCACTGGAGACAGCGTGCATGTGAGCATACAAATGGCCACGGGCTTTATTGCTCAAGAGTCAAGGTAAACAGAGCAAACAAGGACTGGGACCAGGGAGTCCAGATACAGGGAGGCAGGCAGTTGTTGCCCTGGTGGCCCGGTCCCCTCAGCCACCGGGACAGTATTCCTGGCAAGGCAGGACTGCCATTCAGAGACAGGGTCACCCACTGCAGGATGGGGCCCATCAGACTGACTGGGAACCTCAGGTGAGTAGCCTGCCCGGCACCTACCCCATGTCCTCTCGGGGCAAGGAGTGGCCTTTCTGTCACACACACCCAGCCCCACCCCTGCAGCAAGGACAATGGTCAGCAAGTCCCCTGGGGTAGAGGCAGGAGGGCCGGCAGGGGTGGCCCCAAGCCTGTGTCCTGGGTAAGAATGAGCCAAAAGGGCAGCAGGCTCCACGCCCGGGAGGTAGACAGGTCCTCATCACAGCACACGTGGGAGGAGACACACACACCACGCACACACGGCCCTCAAACCCCGCCCCAGAGGACCCCCCAGGACATGTGTCCTGCTCCCCCGGCCACACCGAAGGCCCTGGGCTCGGCCTGGGCAGCTCCCTGGGAGACCCACTGATGCCCCAGGCAGCACGAGAGGCCCACAGCCTCCAGCAGGGACTGAAGGCCCGTCAGGGAAGCTGTGCATGGGCACGCCCTTGGACTGGGCCCTGCCCGGCAAGACTCTGCCCTGCGCGCTCTGGGGAGCGGGTGCTGGGCCGGTTTCCGCCCAGTGCTGCCGGCCTCAGCCGGGCTGTCAGACATACCCACTGGCCAAGGGCTGGCCTGGTAGTCAGAATGGCCAGTGGGCTGAGGGGGGGGGCACAAGGAAAGGACAGGTGTGGAAGGACCCTGGGGGAGATGAAGGCACAGGTCCCAAGGGGGCCGCCCCGGCCCCCACACCAGCTCTGCACACTCCCTGCCCTGCCCCCAGGCCACGCCCCCACCGGGCTGGCGCCCGATGCCGTGCAGACAGCCGGCTGCCCAGGTCTCTGAAGGTGGGGGTAGGCCGGCAGGAGCACCGGCACTGGGCCAGGCCCCCTGCTCCTAACAGGGCTGGGGTACTGCCTTAGCACCAGGGCGTGGGGGGGGGGGGAGGCTGGCCCTTGCCAGTTCTGAAATGCTGGAGGACAGCCTGGCCCAGGGCTCCAGCTGTGCCAGGGGCCGCAGGAGCCTTGTAGAAGGGCTGGGGGCCCCCAGAGAGCACAGCTGAGGGGCCACGAGCCGCAGCACACAGCCCTTGGGACACTGCTGGGCCCCGATGACAGAGGAGGGCCCAGGTGGCTCAGCCTAGAGGAGGGACACTCTGGAGGAGGACCTGCGTCGCCAGAGAAGTCCGGAGGCCCACCCGAGGCCTGTCCCCAGCCGTGCCAGGCTGCCAGGGCCGGGAGGTGCAGAGCTGCGGCCCGCTGTCTCCGCCTCGAGGCCTGCGGCCCAGGTGGCCTGCGGCTGGTGCTGCCCATCTCCTCACTGCTGGCCAAGGCCCTCGGAGCCCTCGCCCCGGCACCTCTGCACCAGCTTGGGGCCTGGAGATGCCGGCCTGGGGAGAGGGGCAGGCGGGAGGAGTCCAGGCTGGGGGCGGGCAGGGAAGCTGGGGGCGACAGCTCCTCTTCCAGGCTGCCCTCAGTCCCGCTGCGGGCCCGGCCCCACGCTCACACAGAGCCCCGGGCGGACCCAGAGCCACATCACAGCTCCCCCTCCAGGGTCTCTGCCAGCTTCTCCTCATCCGCCTGCTGCTTCTGCTGCTGGATCCGGGCGTAGGAGATGGCGTCCCCCCTGGGGAGAAAGTGGGTGGGGGTCACCACGAGCTGCGGGGCGCTGCGAGGCAGGGCAGCAGCTGACCACAGCACGGGCAGGGGCACTGGGGGGGCCCTCCCGGGCCACATCTGCCACCCCAGCCACAGGCTGTGACGGGGCTCAGCCACCCCAAGGCCCTGCGGGTTCCCCTGCTGTCACTCCCTAGAGCTGAACACCCTCGGGAGGCTGGCTGACCACGGACAACCTCTGTGCCTGTCTCCACAACCAAACCCCAGGGGCCACTCTCAGACCTTCCTCACTGGGAGGCCCAGGAGGCGGGAGGACAGACCCCGCTGAGGGCTGGGACCTGGGACGGGCGGACGCACTTTTTCCCCAGGGCGGAGAGCCCGTACAGCACTCCGGTGGCGAAGGCGATGGCGTTGCCCAGCAGCGTGGTCAGGGTCAGGCTGATGACGATGGGGACGACAGCCATCCTGGGGGAGAAGCGAAGGTCAAGGGGCACGCCATCCCACTTCAGGCCTCCTTCCCGGACGGCCAGGTTCAGGAAGGAGCCCCAGAGTCAGCTGGGACGGTCATGGCCGGGCTTCCTGAGTCCTTCCGACACCCAGGAACCTGGCTGCCAAACTCGGTGCACTTTCCAGGGAGAAGCCCGAGAGCATCCGTGGGTCTGTGTCCCAAAAGGTCAGACAGCAGGAGGCACTCGGCCCCTGTCACGAGCAGGCAGGCTGGGGGACCCTCAGCAGCTGTGGCAGCAGGGTCACCGCGCTTCTCGAGGCCTAGGCTCTGCCCTGTGCGGCTGGGGTCAGACCGGGGCCTCAGACTGGGCGGGGCCTCAGACTGGGCGGGGCTGAGGCGCAAACGGCAGAGGCCCTGCCGGCTCTGAGGGGCTCCCTAAAGCCTGCCCCGGCCCAACGAGAACGCTCCCCGAGGGTCACACCGCAGAAGGCACGTTCTCCTTGCAAGGGTCGTGGCAGCTAAGTGGCTGTCCTGGGCAGGTCGCCACTGTGATGCGGCACCACCTGGCGGCACGTGACCGCTCGGCGTCAGTGTTCTCGGCTGACCCTTGGTCCCCAGATTTTCAGTGGCGGCACCTGACTTGAACCAAACCAGGGAACCACGGGAAAACATTCGGCGACTTGAGGGCCAGCACCCGTCCGTCACTTCCTGGAGGAGGCCTCCCAGTCCCGGCCCCCACGAGCCCTGGAGAGGGGAGATAAGGCCGCAGGCTGCTCGGTGGGGGGAGAGTGGGACCTGACCAACCGAATCTCCAATCTGGCTGAACGCGTGACCCTCGCACAACACAGGTCTGAATGGCACAGGTCCACACACGTGGATCTTTTTCAGCAAACACGATTTTAATCAGTTTCTTTAGCTTTCGTTCCGTTAGGATACGGTATATACTGCCGATAACATACAAAACGCATCCTAATGGACAGTTTGTTATCAATAAGGCTTCCTTCTGGTCAACAGCACACTGCCAACAGTTCCATTTGGGGAGTCGAAGCTAACCTGGGCTTTGACCTTGGGGGCCCGCGCCCTGAACCCCGTGCTCTTCGAGGGCCAATCACGGCTACAGACGCCTGCGTGGTGAGAGGCCGCAGACGCCGCGCAGGGAAAGGGCTGCAGGGGAAAGCTGCCCGGGCAAAACCGAGGCTGCAACAGGCCAGAGTAAGACCCAGAGCGCGTCCGCAGAGGCCGGGGAGCCGCCCACACCAAGACATAGGGCCCGACGAGACGCGAAGACACAGGCAGGTGACAAAAGCCCAGACGGTTGTCAGGACAGAAAGGGCAACCAGTGAAAGCCTGGGGCAGCGTCTTGCTCAGAGAGCAGACGGAACCGCTAACAGTGTGGGGCACTGGCAGGCTGGCGGGGAGCAGCCAGGCAACCTCCTCTTTGCAAAACAAGGGGGCTGCCCCCCGGAATCTGAGTGGTGGCAGCCCTGGGAAGTCAGCAGGAGGCGGGGCTTCGGCGGGACTTAGCCCAGATTCGGGAGAGCGTGCCGGCTGCAGGCACATCCCCCCCACTGGAAGCAACCGCAACCGTGTGAAGTGGCTGTAGTTGTACCGAAGGGTTTCTACGGGTCCCGAGTGGAGGTGAAGCAGGATCTACATCTGCCCCTGACGGCTGAGCCGGCTCCTGCAGACACAGGGACGCATGGACAAGGCGGCCGTTTTCTAGTTTCCAAATGAGTATTATTTTTTCGTGTTTTCTTTTTTAACAAGGGTTCAAGGATATGTTAAAGGGCCCGAGGATACATTTTTTACTCGTTTTAGGCAGAGAGAGGGAGCGACAGAAACACTGGGTGGGTGCCTCCCGTACGCGCCCGCCCCGCGGTTGAGCCCGCAGCCTCCTGGTACACAGGACGACGCTCCAACCCACGGAGCCACCCGGCCAGGCTTTCCACACTGTCTTTAATGAGTACGCACGACCGCTGGCCTTTAAAAAACACACTAAACAATAAAGGCCAGGGCGAGGGACACGCAGATGCACAGAGGTTTGTGGCTCAGAACGGGACCCATCTCCCTGCTCCGCCCCAATGGCGGGGCCTCAGGAGGGGCAGGAGCCTGAGCAGCAAGACCCTCCTCTCTGCCTCTAGAGACGCCGGACGAAGTTAGAGACCATCCCAGCTCCTGCTGCCTGCAGAAGCCGCCCTGGGCCTCCCGGGCACCGGGCGCAGCTCCAGATGCCCCTCCGCATCAAACGCACCCTGAGGCTAGTGCACCTGGGGACACAGACGGGGAGTGCCGCGCCACTGGACACAGACCACGAGGGGCAAAGTGCGGGCAAGGCCCATGCTCTGCCCCGCAGCCTGCTCCCCTCTTCCCGCCAGGGCGTGGGGTCGCCTGCACTCTGGGAGGCCGCGCAGGCCCTGGGCACAGGAACACACCAGACCTGCTGGGTGGTGCGGCTGAGGGACAGAACACGGGCTCCTCTGTTCTCTACACCGCACACAACGCCGGGAGGCCGTGCTACTCCCATCTGAGCTGCGCACCACGGAGCCGCGGGTCCTATCTTGTAGCCCTACCAGATGTGCCCCAAGGTGCACCAGGGGACCCTCTACCAAGGGGGCCCGGTGCAGCTGCCCCCACCCCCCAGTGCAGCCACCCTCAGGCCCCCGAGCAGGCAGGACCTGGGAGCCACGCAGGGCCTACCCCACAGCCCCTCACCCGCAGTAGAAGACGGCCTTCTGCCAGGAGCGCAGCCGGTCCACCTTCGCGGCCACCGTGTTGGCAAACTCGACGAACGAGCAGCAGAAGGGCGCCTCGCAGAGCAGCAGGACAAAGGCGTTGGTGCTGCGGGGCAAGCGAGAGGGGTGGCCCTGCTGCTGTTGCCACCAGCATCCCCAGCGGCCGGGGCAGCTGTGCCCGAGGTGCAGGGCCCAGAGAGCAGACCGGCCTGACAGCCCCACCCTTGGAGCCCACGCCTGGGGGAAGCTCAGGGAACCTTCTGCGCAACCTGTGTCCAGGCTGGGGACAGCCAAGCCCAGGAAGTCTGCGTCAGCCTCCAGCCCTCTACGGCTGGGTCGTGGTCACAGGCCCGGAGCCCTGCCGTCTGCCCCCAGGCCCAGGGCAAAGCACCCTGGTACCCTCATTTGACTGAATGAGTCAGGGTACCCCAAAAGCCGACCCATGCCCCCCAGAGCAGGACCTCCCCGCACAACCAGCAAGGCCCCCAGCCTGACTACCGGCCTGGGCCAGGCTGCCCAACTTGGCCGTCACCGTGCTTGGCCAACTCTTTCTGCCTAAGGGCCCAGTGCTGCTGCCCCTGGGAGCAAGCCCCCAGGCCTCGCCCCACCTCCCTGAGGGCGGGACCACAGCCCTCCCAAACCAGGTCTGCAGGGCGCCAGCCACCCCTGTGCAGGCCGGTGCTCACCCTCCCTTCCCTCCCCAAGGGACCCAGCGACCCTGGGAGCACATAGGCAAGGGCTCCCCCAGAGCCTCCTAAAGCCTGACCCCGCACCGACTCCTGCTCCGTGGGACTGGCCCAGTGCCGACCCCCAGCTGGGTTCTCCCGATCCCACCACCTGCCAGCAGCTCCCAGGAACCACCCTCCTCACTCACAGGCCTCCGCTGGCCCCACAGCCTCAGGCACTCCCCGGGGCATGGCCCAGGGCGGGGGGGCTTGCTGCAGGCTCTGCAGACTCTGGGCAGGTGTTCGTGGCCTGGACCCTACACCCAGTAAAGGCCTCAGTGGGCGTCCCAGGCCCTGGGCCTCTTGGGAATCAGGAAAGCTGGGCAAGGTGGGCATGAAAGGGGTGAAGAGCTGCAAGGTGACTGGAAGGCCACCTGCCCTGGAGCCCACCAGGTGAGCCAGGCCCGGGCCTACTCACATCATCCACACGCCGGCCGCGATGTTCAGAGGGTGGATGGTGACACAGTTGAAGAGGCCGGAGATGGCGCAGGCTTGAAAGCAAGAGACACGGGCAGGAGTCAGCACAGAGGAAGGGCCGGTCCCCTGGGCAGGCGACCTGGGGAGGCAGCCTGTGCCACCAGAGTCGCTCCCGACACCCCGTGCTCAGCTCTTCTCCCAGTACCCAGCCGTCTGCCACCGGAGACAAGGGGGGCCAGCACGGCCACCAGTGTCACAGGCGAGGTCAGAGACTCACAGAGGGGGCTGCTCACCCCAGCGCCTCAGCCGGAGCACAGCCAGCTCAGAGCTCAGCGAGGCAGTGGGGGTGTCAGCCTCCCCGTTCCAGGGCCCTCTGAGCCCCACTGGAACCAAACCTGGGTCGTACAAGGCAGTTGTGACATAGGAGAGAAAGCCTGTCCAGGCCGGTGGCCCTGCCCCAGGGCCATCCACATGAGGAGTCCTCTGACTTGGAAGACGGGGTTTGGGTCAGGACGAGGGCCACCTCCTTCAGATCAGAGGTCAGGACCAGCAGACCTGGGTTGCAGTCCGGCTGTGACCACACAGCAGCCGGGCCACCTCGGCCAGGAGGCTCCCCTCCCCTCTCAGGCCTGTTTCTCTCCCACGCACAGGCCCCGCCCAGCCCACCCAGCCCTGAGACAGCCGGGGGTCCCATTGGGGAGGGGTGTACCCCCTTCTGCCCTGAGAGTGGCTTCTCTGAGGTCCCAAAAATGGGGCTTTGGTCACTCCTCCCCGCTGCACCCACCCCCCTCGACTCCCCACAGCCTGCAGCCCAGCCTCACTGAGAGCGCCAGGAGCCGGCCTGGGAGGCAGCCCGTGGCCACCAGGTCATTAAACTTGCAGGGCTCCTGTGTACCTGAGCCCCTGCGTGGCCTGGAATCCTGCTTTCCCGTGTAACCCGATGCAGACAGCCAACGGCGGGGGCGGAACCCAGGCGAAGGGAGCCCTGCTGCAACAGGACTACCCTTGTGTGTCCCTGAGACCCCCCAACATGATGCTGCACCTCCTGCCTGCCAAAAGGCGGCGCTGGTCCTGGGCCCATCTCACGGACATTCAGGTGGCCAGGAGCCCAGGGCTACGGACGCCGATGCCCACAAGACAACTGTCTTGTAGGACCAGTGCACTTGACAGCGGCCAGCGCCGACCCTATCCCACTGTCCTCTCAACAGCCAACCCTAGGGAGGACCAGGTTCCAGCCCAGCCAGACACTCAAGGACTGGGGCAAGTCCCCTCAGAGTGGGCGACACCCTTGCAGAGTGAGGGTGCAGCCCTCCCCTCCTGAGGACGGTCAGGACCCCCAGTAAGCGCCTCCCCGAAACCCTAGTCTGCTTTGCGCTCTGTCCCATAGCAGACTGCAGCTGACCCCTGGACAACATGGGGGGCAGGCCAGCCGACCCCCATGCAGTCGAAAATCTGCATATAACTTCTGATCCCCCAAAACTTTCCAGTCGTCCCTCTGTGGGGCTGGCTCCAGACCCCCTCGACATGAGACTCCGCAGACCCCAATCCCCTGACCGACAACACAATGGTGCAATCGGCCCTTTGCACCCACGGACTCCCCGCCTTGGATCAAAGACACTGCCTCCAAACGGTGGCTGGCTGGTTCCGCAGGTGCAAAACACAGGGGCAACTGCGAGTCTATTGAGAAACACCCACGAGTAAGTGGGCCCTCCTAGCTCAGACCTGCTGTTCCACTGTCAGCTCCCCCAACACCTGCAGGTGAAACTCATGGCGGGGGGGGGGCCCAATACCTCAAGCTCCTAGGGTGGCCCAGGGCCTCCCTTTGAGAAGCACAGGAGTGGATGGGATGCCTGGTTAGCTGGGAGCAGGCAGGATGCAGGCCTCCAGCCCAGCAACAAGGGTCCCCTCCTCTCACAGGGCCGCTGTCACTGCCTCCCCTACCCTCTGCCCCCAGTGTGGCCCACGAGGGAAACAGCCAATCACCTCTGAGAAGGTCCTGTCTTGACCTGACCTCAAGCCCCCAGTCCCCTCCACAAAGTCAAAACCCTGCTCAAGGGCAGTGCAGGGACTAGGGGCCTCCCGGGTTTGGGGGAGGGCCTTGTCCCACCGCTGCCTCTGGCAAAGGTCAGCGCGGCCCCAGCCCCACGCTCCGCAGCTTCCTCCTTCCACCCACCTGGGAGGGGGGCCCTGAATGGGGGGGCCCCGGCGCGCAGCCCTCTGGGCCTGGCAGGCCCTGCTCAGACCCTGCGGGCTTCCTGCAAGTGCCCTTTCCAAGGCCCCCGCGGCGCCCTCGGCCACTCCCGCGGTTGACAGCGCTGAGGGCCGCAGATCATTCAGACTTGCTTGCGTGGAAAGACATGCCACGTGATCTTTACTTTACTTCTGTAGTGGGACGCCTTCCTATGTACCTCCCCCGTGGGGCCTGTGCTAAAACGGCCCCCGACTGCCCCGAGGCCGGGGGGCAGGGCTGGGGAAAGGAGCGGAGGTGAGACGTGGCCGAAGCAGAGTGGACAGCGGAGGGCAGGCACTGCCTCCTCCCTCGGCTCAGCACCGGGCCCGGGCTTGGGAGCCACCTGTCGCCTCGCCGCAGCACCTGGCCCTCAGGAAACGCCCGCCCCAGGTACAGACAGAGGTGACGGCGGCTGCAGCCCAAGTCAACAGGCGCGGCTGCCTCGGGGCCAGGCAGGGCCCGGCCTTGCGAGCGGCCTCCGCCGACCTCCGGAAGCCCTGGAGCCGGGGCCGCGCTGCCTGCCCCAGGCTCCGGGAGGCGCGGAGGGGCAGTGCCGGGACCCCGCCGAGCCCAGCACTCCCCGCGGAAGCTCAGGTTCCCTCCTGGAATGTCCCCGGAGCTGCCAGCACGGCCCGGAAACCCGGGAGCCTCCGCCGCGGAGCGGTAACCATAGCAACCGCCTGGCGCTGCGCTGCACGCGCAGGACCCACAGGCCCTCTCCGCGGGGGCGCGCGTGCGCAGGGGGCTGCCGGGCCGCCCCTCGCCGGGACCCGGTACTCACACACGGCCCCCAGCACCCCCGACAGACGACACAGCCAGCGGTACCACCACGTCATGCCCTCCTCCTCCGCGGGCGGCGCGGAGCTGACGGAGGCCGAGGCCGCCCCGCCCGAGCCGCTCATGGCGCCGCTGACCCGCGCAGCCCACCGCCTTCACAAAGGGTTCCAGAGCCCGCCGCGTCCGGCGGCGCGCAGCCTTGTGGGAGAGGCCTCTCCTTAGCATAGGGGCGGGGCCCAGCGAGGCTAATTAGCATAGGAGGAGGGCTTCGCTCTTATTAGCATGGAGGGCGGGGCTCGCAAAGGCCGTGAGGATTTGCGGCAGGAGGGCTCGTCCTTATTAGCATAGGGGGCTGGTTTTGCGTGGCTCCCAGGTGGACAAATCCACCCAATGGGATTAGCATAGGGGCGGGACTTCGCAGAGAATTAACTCGTACGCCAGCAGCAGCGCGCAATCGTGACTCCACACTCTACTGACCGGAGGTGCCGAGCAGTGGGTCTTCAAGCCCGTTTTGGACACGTTACGTGAGGAAATCGCCAGTCAGACCGCAGGTTCCGTTTATTGATATCCAAAGGGCTTTCCCGAGAGTCCCCCCTCCCGCCCCTAACGTTTTGCGCATTGGAGGAGGTGGTAAAGGCTTGGATGAAATTCAAATGGAGAAAGCACTCCCGAGCTGCCCAGGCACCTAACTAACAGGTGCTCAGAAATGCCTGGCTCCCTCCTTTCCCTTCCGGGAACGGGAAGGAGGCACCCCACGGCCAACTGAGGGATGTGCCTGGAGAGGAAGCTAGGGCGGGGCGCCGTGGGGCTCCTGAGCTGTAGATCCGAGTGTCCAGTACTGGCCCCGCAGGCGGGCATGTGTTTCCAGGAAGCCCTGGCTAAACTCCATCTCAGCCTGGCTGCCTTCTGACTCCCAGTAGAGTGCTTGCTGCCCGCCGAATGTCATCGTTTTCAGACTGTGGATGTCTCGGATCTGGGAGGAAAGGGGCAGCCCCGAAGGGCCGGCCACCGTGAGAGTCAGCTAGCATTCATGAAGCCCTCGATGGGCAAGGCATCGCACCCTCCGGGCCCCTTTTAGTCTCGTGCACCAGCCCTATCAGTAAGACTCTATTATCCTCCCCAGGAAACTGAGGCTCAGAGAACTCACACCACTTCCCCAAGGACACACAGCTGGGGTGCCAGAGTGGGACTGGAGCCCAGGTCTGTCTGATTCCAGAAGCCAGGCTGGAAGCCCTCTTCCAGAGGGCGATTCTCCCAGAGGACGATTCTCCCAGAACACAGGAAACCTCAGCCGGGAGGGGGTGGCCCCTCTTCTGGCAAAGTTATACCAGGCTCTGAAGTTACTCCTCGGTCCTGGGCTACATCAGGCCTGTCTACATCGGGGAAGATCTTTCCTGTTCCCCTTTTCTGGGGGGTTCAGTAAATGTGTTGGTGAGTAAGTGCAGAAAGTGAGTAAGCGGGGTCTTTTCTCCCATTCTTTCTCTGATTTTGAGGTTTTTGGTCTCAAATAAAGTCAAAGGTTTCTCTAGCCCATCGCCCCCTGTCCCTGTCCCCAGGGACAGCCCTCCAGAATCAGCAATAGTCAGCCCATTTCTGTCGCCATCATGGTAACCTCACCAGGATGTAGCTGGCACCAGATCCTGCAGTTCCAGCGCCCACGTCAGTGGCCGGGGCGTGGATGGCGATTCGGGCCCACGGAGCCACGTCAATGAAGATGCGGCAGCCCCCCACAGGCCTGCCATCTGGCCTCATCGATGGGCTCACAATTTCACCCCAGGGTCCAAAGAGCTGTGTGTCGCATTCTGCAGGGGAGAGCAGGTGGAGGGACTGGGTGTGGACACCGAAAGACCACTAACTCCCGCCAGAGGCCGGGGCAGCTCACGGGGGGGGGGGGGGGGGGGCAGTGAGTGGGCCAGTACAGCCCTGTGGTCCAGGTCAGGACGGCCAAGCAGAAGCCTCACTGACTCTCACCTCTGCCACCTCCCTCCGTGGGGCCCTGGGCGGAGGCTTTCCACCCTCTGAGCTTCAGCCCCTTCCTCTTTAAAGTGAAGGTCACAGACACTGGGTAGGGCAGTTTGTAGGAGGACTCGGCCAAGTCACAGGCGGGAAAGAGCTTAACCCTGCGCCTGGCACAAGCAGGGACTCCGACCCACCGGAGCCCCTCCCGCCTGCACCTCCTGGGCCGCCCCTGAGGCAGGCACCTGCGTGGGGGTGGCTGGGTGGTGAGGAGCCACGCGACGGCAGGCAGGTGGCCCCAGACCGTGCGGCACCTGTGCAGCATCAAACCTCCAGGGAGGGAGAAGCCCCCTAGTGTCCCACTTCTCACGTGAGGCCTGGGGCGGGGACCCCAAAACCTCTGGAACTGGCTGGGGAAGCCATTGTCAGCCAGCTTGGGCTGTTGGGAGAGGGTGAGCCGGGGTCCCTGGGGTGCTGTTCTCTGCACGAGGTGTGCGTGTGCACACTTGCGCAAGCGTGCACATGCCCTGCTCTGTGTGGAGAATGAGATGAGAGGACTGTGGCCCTGGCTGGTGTGGCTCAGGGGATCAAGTGCCGGCCCGTGCACCAAAGGGCTGCTGGTTTGATTCCCAGTCAGGGCACATGCCTGGGTGGTGGGCCAGGTCCCCAGCAGGGGGCGTGCAAGAGGCAACCGATTGATGTTTCTCTCTACTTCCCTTCCCCTCTCTCTAAAAATAAATAAATAAAGTCTTTAAAAACAAAAAAGAGGACTGTGCGTGGGAGCAGGGCTGGGGGACAGCGACCCACGGAAGGATCTAAAAGGATCTTGAAGGACATGAGCCCCTGGGCCAGGGTGTGGGGCCATGGTGGCCCGAGGGATGGGCGAGGATGTGGCTGGAGCCCGCCTCTGCCCATCTTGCCCAAGGGTCCCAGAAGGCAGGGGGTGGCACACGTCCGAGACCCTGTGCTGACAGCTCGTGCAGACGGACACTGGCCCCCACGGGCCCCCTGCCTGTCTGCCTCGCCCACGCCACTGGCAGCAGCGCCCACCCCCCAGCCTCAGGCGGTGGGGCTCCAGCGCCTGGCCGTACCTCTGTGGAAGGCTCTCGGGGCGGGCCGGCTGGAATAGCGGAGCAACACTCCGCCTCCCGGCCCCACGAGGCGCTGCCTCACCACCAGGGTGTTGGCTTTGAAACTGAAAGTCCCGCCAGACAGCTTCCTGCACGTCCTCCTCCACGTGAGCCGGCCCCAAAGCAGCAACATGTCCCCTGGGAAGTTGGGGTGCGGCGAGGGTAAGGCTCCCCCGATCCAGTTGGCAGCACCATGTCGGAACCTCCCGCTGACAGGCAGGGGCTCGCATGGCGCCAGACATACCAGCGCTGCAGTTGAGGGAGCTCTCGAGGACTTGCAGGGTCACCGCCTCTCCCAGGGGCCTCCCGATGGCCACCGCACAGTCCGCCTGCCCGGAGCCTCGCAGGTCAATGGTTCCCGTGGGCTCAAGGAGCTGCTGGCCACAGGGACCTGGACAGGGAGCAGGGTGCAGGCAGCAGAGCACCCAGTGAGGGGGATACAGGGCAGAGCCGGGCGGGGGGCTTCCCACGCTGGGTTAGGGCCTGAGCTGGCAGCCTGCTCAGGTCAGGGGTGGGGACCTCCTGGGTAGGAGGATGTCACCATCCAGGGTACAGAGCGATTTCTGGGGGCCCCAGCGAGGGAGGCTGTGTGTAAAGGGGTGCCTGGCTTTGGGTCACGGGCCGGGGCCTCACTCTGAAACCTCTGGTTACCTTCCCTGGTGATAACAAAGTCGAATTTGCCCTCGGCCAGTGAGGAAAGGGGCCAGCTGTGGGCCCAGCCTGCTGACCCCGTCCCTGCAGCCCGGCTGCTCCCATCCTAGTGACCGCGTGCTGCGGCCACAGGACAGGCCCCCGTGCAGCCCCACAAGGAACCCATCCCAGGTGTCCCAGGTGCAGGTGTCCCTGCCACCCCTCCTGCAGCTGGCCAGCCACCTGGACAGGAAGGAAGTAACCTACTGGACTCCATGGGGCTTTCCTGGGGCCCCAGCAGGAGCCCCTGGGTCCGGGGAGCTGGGGCGAGGAGGCGGGTCCAGGGCCGCGGCCACTCCAGGGAGGCGGCAGCGGGGCCAGCTGTGCTCCGTCCCGGAGCAGTGGCTTCCTCTCGGGGTGCCAGGCTGGACGGCCCCTGCTCTGTGCAGGGCCCGGCCCAGCAGCTCCGCACCGTCGCTGGCGTGGGCAAGTGCCGGCAGAAGTCGGCTGGCACGGGGCCCTGAGCCCCAGGTCCCAGGCAGGTGACCCGCCGGTGCTGGGTGCCATCCCCACAGGAAACAGAGCACTGCCAGGAAGACAGAGCGGTCGGGCTGTCCCTTACGGAGCGTGACAAGGACAGGTGACCACGGGCCAGGCGTGACCCGGTGCAATCTTTGCACTGCCCTGGAGGCAGGCACCCGCCCCCACTCCAGAGACGAGGAGACTGAGGCTTGGAGAGGCTGCCCTGCGTGGGCCGCACGGGAAGGGGGGGCGGGCACTCAAGGTCAGGTCCCTGTCTGCCACCCTTGAGCCTCTGTCTCTCCCAACCTCCGAGCAGGGAGCCGGTGGCACGGCCCCCTCCCCACTGCCCCCCTGCCCTGCACCACCCCCACCTGAGCCCTCACCTCCCGCCCCAGACACCCCCGGCCTTCCATGGGCTTCGCCTCTTCCCTACCCCGGGAGCGAGCCTCTGAGGAGGACCCGGCCCTGTTCACCGCCGTCTTCCTGGTGCCTCACAAGGCACCGGCCCAGGACGGCACCCGCTTGTCTGACTGGGACCGAGTTGTGTGCCCTCCACCTTCCCACGTCTCCAGACCCCGGCGCCCCTTAAGGCCCAGCTGCCTCCACATCTCTAGGTCTCGCTGCTTTCTGCCCGTAGGTGGCCCACCTGTCCCCTCCCCAACACACTCGGCTCTCCATCTCCTTTCAGGGGGCCTCAATGGTTCAAAGCTCCCAGGGGCCTGGTGAGTGAGGACCCTCAGCCCAGCAGCAGCGCTCACCTGTGTCCAGGTGCTGACGTGCCACTGGCGCTCGCAGTCGGCCATGACGCAGGGGACGCTGGCCCGCGGCCGCACCAGAGCCGCACAGGCCGCTCCGTCCACCTCCACGTCGTGGCCCTGGTCCAGCTGCATGCAGGCCACGGAGCGCGTGGCGGTGCCGAGGCCACAGCTGGCTGAGCAGGGCCCGAGGGACGTGACTTTCCACCTGAGGAGAAGAAGGGCCCAGAAGGGGCTGGCCTCACACAGGGTGGCACTGTCCCCAGGGCTCCTCGGACAGCCCCTGGGACAGGTCCAGGGCCCTGAGCCCTCCCGTTTGGGGCTCTGGCCCGGGAAGGGTGCTGCAGGCAGGCCACCTTCCTCCCCGTCCCCATCTCTATCATCACGCAGCCCATATGGCAACCACCACGTGGCTGGTCCGAGTCACGGGGGCCGGGGCAGCAGCCAGCAAAAGGGAAAACATCTCCGCCTCGGCCAGCCCCGCCCACCTCCCTGTGACGCCCGCGCAAATGGGAGCGGCCGACACCACCGGAGCAGGGACGGGACGCCTGCGGCCGCGGTCCTCACCTCGCCCCCGCGCCGCCGCCTCCGCGGCCCGCGCCGCTGCCTCTCCAGGGGAGACGACAGTGGACCAGACCAGAGCCCTGGGAACCTGCCTGCTTCTCCCCCTCGGCCCCACACGCGTCTGGGGCCGCCGGCTCTGCGCTGTGTGCGCAGCTGGGGGTGCGTGCGTGGCAGCTGCCCGACCTCCACCCGCTCGGTGCTGGTGGCATCCCTGGCCCCACTGGTGACAACCCATTGAAATGTCTGCAGACAGTGCCCCACGCCCCCGAGAGGCAGACCTGCCTCTCCTTGGAAGACCGCTGCCACCGCAGGGAGGGGGACGATGAGTGGAAATGACCGCACGGTGGCCGCCGCGACCACCGAGGGCGATGAGGCAGAACCCCAAGGCGTGGCCGGGGGGCACGTGCCAGAGCGGCCGCCGCCCGCTGGGCGGGTGGAGCCGAGCCCCGGAGAAGGGACAGCACTGCCTCGGGCACCCCCGGAACATCTCAGGACATCGAGGGGACCCGATGGGGCCGGAGTGGCCACGGCAGCCTCCAAGGGGCAGGCGGACTTCACGTGTGTGAAACTCTCATGAGCCCCAGATCACCCCCAAATGTGACGGGGAAAGAAAAGGGGGAAACCGGCAGACGCTGTGGGGTGGGGGGCGAGCGGGTTCTAGTGCCGCCTGTCTGAGACAACTCGACCTGGGGATGGAGGATGGGAGCGGGGGAGGGCGAGCTGACGGAATGTGCTGGAAAGCCCCTGCACGGGCCCCACATGCACGGGACCGGGGGGCCGACCGAAGGGCCCCCAGGGAAAAGCCAAGAAATGAGGCCGGTCAGCGGTTTGGGAAAACGAAGTCTGCTCCCGACTTTGCAACACACCCCAGATCAACCACGAGCAAGTTCAGGGCTTAACACTCAAATTCGGTCTTATCTGCAAGACACATTTCTTTAAAAACAAGAGACCCAGGGGCCTGTGGTGACACCTGTCAGACCTGGGGCAGCGCACGCAGGTGCGTTTGTGCCTTTCCGGACCAGATGGAAAAGAGTCCGTTGTTAAAAATGCAGAAGCACCATGAGGAAAACCCGGAAGAACTGGGAACGAGGCAGCAAGTGTCAGTTCTCCCTGTGCCCCTCGGGCTTGGTGCCATTCTGTCCTGTGTCCTTGGCGTGCTCCATGCTGGGTCCCCACTGGGCCCACCCACGGGCCCTGCCCACTGCTGCCTCCCCCCAACACCCCCACACCCACACCCAGCACAGCCTGCCAGGCGGTTCTGTGTCCTCAGAACAGTCCCCTGAGCCATCAGCTGTCCTTCAGTCCCCATGGCACCTGGCCTGGCGTCTGCACACACCGCGAGCTCAGGCCACCGGCCGGACATCCTAGGGCTGCTGACCTGGGTGGGCAGGGCTCTGGGTGGCAGGCCTCCTGACGCTCTGGCTGAGGCAGCCCCTGACACTGGGTGTCCGGCAGGATCTCCTCGTCCTTGTGCTCCCCGTGGGCCCGGGCACAGTACAGGATCCTCCGCACGAGCCCCCCGCCACAGCTCACGCTGCAGGCTGCCAGCTTGTACCGCCACCTGGGGCGGACAGGAGTCAGGGCAGGGCCCAGAGAAGCCAGGGCTCCCCCATTCCCGCACACCAGGAAGGGCCCAGAGGGGCGCGCTCTCGGGGCACCAGCCTTAGACGGCCACCGGGAGGCTTTGCAGGGACCGAGAGCGCGTGGAAGAGCCCACAGCACAGAAGGGAAAGATGAGGGCAAAATCGGACGGACCCACAAGGCAGTGGGGGAGGGGGGCACCCCAGGTCCCGCTGAGACGTCTGTTTCCGATGGGGAGCCCTTTGCCGCACGGCACCAACCGCTGCCCGTCGCACGAGGTGCCTCCCACCTGCATTTCCTGCCGTCCACCTCCCCGAGCCCCAGCGTCTGCCCCAGGGGCCAGGGTGCCTGTCTGACCGGCTCCCTGCTGTGACCCCTAGCCCCAGCCCCGGCATTACGAGGTGCTCAGTAAAGAGCAGGTGAAGACAGAATGAACCCCCAACCATGTGCGCCCCAGCATCCTGCATCCAGCGCCTGTGAAGCCCCCCAGGACCGCCTGGCTGCCTGCCTCCTTTGGAAGGCGCCCACCTGTCGGGGCAGGGCTCAGGGCCACAGTCCCCGAGGGGGCCGGGCCAGGGGAACTGGCCCGCTCTGGGAGTGAGGCAGGGGCACGGGGTGCCTGCGGTCCAGCCTCACACAGCCGGCGGCACCTGCCCCCCTCTGCAGGTCACTGGGCACGGCGCCAAGACTCGGGTCTTGGGAGGAAGGCCAAGAACTCCACTGGAGGCCACACCCCAGGGTAAGACGCCTTCCAGCCCGGGGGACCCGGGCTGCTGCCACCTGCACAGCCGGCTTCCCCACTCACCGAGCCGGGCACAGGGCAGCCTGGCAGACCTCCTGCCGGCTCCCCGGCCTGCTTGCCAGGCCGCACAGCTCCTCCGGGACAGGTGTCCTGAGGGCCAGGTCCATGCACACAAAACGCAGCTCCATCCGGCCTGTGGGGAGAAAGTGGGGACCCCGCGCCCCGAGAAGAGGGTCAGGCAGCAGCGCAGGCGCCCGGTTCTCTGCAGAGCTCTAGCAGACAGTGCGAGTCCCGCCTCTGCCGCTCACCAGCTGGGTGACCCTGGACAAATGACTAAACCTCTCTGAGCCGCAGGGTTGTTCATGGGCTCGTGCCTCACTCGCAGGGATGTGCATACAGATGTTTAAAGGGGAGAAAGGAAGTGGCTGGGAGACGCGCAGCAGGTGCCGAACAAGTGCCGGCTGCTATTGTCCAGTGAGAGGCGTTAAAAGATTGTCGGGCTTCCGGGCAGGATGGCGGCCCAGGCACACACGGCTTGCCTCTCGGCAAAACCACATCGGAAATACAACTAAAATGGCCCTGGCTGGTGTGGCTCTGTGGACTGAGTGCCAGCCGAGGACCAAAGGGTCACTGTTCGACTCCCAGTCTGGGCACATGCCTGGGTGGCGGTCGGGTGCCCTGCATGGGGCGCACGAGAGGCAACCACACACTGATGTTTCTCTCCCTCTTTCTCCTTCCCTTCCCTCCCCTCTCTCTAAAAATAAAAATCAATGAAATGTTTTTTAAAAATTACAACTAAAATATAGACCAAGCATCACTCAGAATGGTCAGAAACCAACTTGAATGGAAGGCTAACAACCACGGAACAGAAGCCACATCCGTCCCGAAGGGGCGGGCCCCACATCCAAGGGTGGCGAATGAAAATTCGGGAGGGATATCTCGGCAGCGAGGAGTCCCCGCCCCACAGCAGGTCCCCAGCCCAGGGTTCCAGTCAGGAAGATAAGTCCCCACAACTCTGGCTGCAAAACCAGCAGGGACTGAGTTGGTGGAAGGAACATCTGGGGCCCCAAGCAGTTCCCCTTGAAGAAGCCGCACTCGGATGCACTCAGACTCACTCCTCTGGGTTCCAGCACCGGGGCGGGGGGGGGGGGGGGGCGGAGGCACCAGTGGCAGCGGGAGACTAAGGTGTCTGGTGTCAAGGCCAGCAGAGGCCATTGTCCCTTTTCTGGGCCCTCCCCACACAGAGCTGGCAGATGAGTGCCTCACGTGAGTCTCCAACAACCTGGCTAACGCTGTTTGACCCGCCTCGGAGATTCCCGGAGACGGGCCCCACCCAACTCACAGGCCCACCCAAGCCGCTTTTCCATATGAATGGCTGGTCTTGGCTCCCGCTGCACGACTTCCTACATCTTCTCCATCAAGCACAGCCGGCCTCCCTGAGCCCCAGGCCCAGCGTGGCAGCAGCCAGCCCAGATTCACAGCTTGGCTTCCCCGGGAACCTCCAAGCCCAGCACAAGGAGCAGCCATCTCAGATTGCCCTGTAGCTCAGGCAGGGGGCCCCGGGCAGAATACGGGTGGGGGCTGACCTTGGCCTGTGTCCTGTGGTGGCCCACCTTCAGGTCACCGTGTCCCTCTGGCCTGGCCCCTAGACCAGAGCTCAGTTTGGGGCCGGTCTCCTGCAGCCTTTCTGGACCTGAAGCAATGCGCTCCGGGCGCCAGTAACGCCCAGCTTCCCGATCTCCTCCCACCTTCGGGCCAGTCACCGAACGCCCTGCGTGGCCGCCGGAACTGGGCCCCTACCCCCTTGGACGCCGTGTCGCGCCCCCGTGCAGTCTGCTTCGTCCGGAAGCCACCGACACGCTTCGCTGGGCGAGCGCGACGCAGGCAGGTGCGAGCAGGGTGACGGGTGCGGGTGCCCGGGCCTCACCTCTCCCGCAGGACGCGGAGCACGGCCCCGCCAGCGGCGTCCACGCGTGTGCCGCCTGAGCCCCCGGCCTGGCGCTGCCTGGTGGGGACGCGGCCTCCTGCCCCGGAGGCTGGGGGTCCCGCTGCAGGGGCGACAACTCGTGGGTCTAGGTGCACCGCCTCCAGGCCCTCCAACCCCACCCTTCCCGATCTCTTCGGGAGAGACAAGTGGTCGCCAGCACCCCCGGGCCCGCCTCTCCTGGCCGACCCGCTCCAGGGAGACTTGCTCCGCCGCCCCCCCGCCGTGGGCGCCCTCTGCAGAAGCACTGAGTGGCCCCTGGGGGCGGGGCTGTGAGCAGGAGCTCAGGGGCTGGACTGGCCTGCTCACCGGGCCAGCAGTCCCCAGCAGCCCCTGGGGGACAGGGCGGGCAGGACCATTGTCTGAAAGCACCAGCACCCGGCCCGGAGCCTCTGGGCGCCAGGCACGAGCCAGACAGCGTTTTGCTGTGTGGCTGGGGCCGGCCAACATTTAACAGGGCGGGGTCTCGAAGCCCAGCCTGCCAGCAGGAGGGGCTTCCCGGGGGCCCTAAGGCCTGTTCCTAAGTTTGTCCTGGGACATGGGGCCTGGCAGACAGCAGCCCTGCAGAAGGGTCATCTTCTCTGGCCAGGACCCGGGGCTCCCCATTCTCTGGACCAGTCAAGGACTCGGGTGCCCCAGCCACCCCCTTGCCCAGGACACTCACGTGGCCCCAGTCCAGTGGACATGACACCCCGGCACAGGGCTCAGGAGCAGGCGACTTCTTGTTCGGGGAGCAGGGCCCAGCAGCCACCTCCAGGCCCCCAGCCCCCGGCACACACGCCGCATTCTGTGTGGCCAGGTCTGTTCCACAGGCGGGTGGGCACGCACCGGACGCCACCCACCTGCAGGCCCGGGACAGCCGTCAGGCCCTGCCTCTGCCCTCGGGCTCTCGGTGCGGCCTGGCCACCGGGGTGGGAGAGCCTGCTGCCCGCATCCGAGAACCCGGAGAGGGGCCCCACAGAGAAGCAAGCCTGGGGCCCCCCTGCGGCCCGGTCATCAGGTGGCCCCCCCGACACCCAGCAGGTGCTCAGAAGCAGGTGCCAGGTGCAAATGGTCCACGCTGGTGGGGCCCGGAAGTCGTTCTACATGCATGGGAGCCTCAGGTCACCTGGGCTGCTGTGTCGGGGGGATTCTGGGCAGGGCCAGCACTCGGCGGGGACGGGAGAGGGGAGCAGACCCCAGAGCCACGTGGGGAACAGCGGTGACTGAGGCCAACCCCCTACCCAGTGGACAGGTAACAAAACTGGGACCCCGGGAGGGAGGGGACTTGCCCCACTCACCCACCCAAATAGCAGCAAATCAGAACAATAAGCCACCGTCAGCTTGGACACTGAGGGGCCGAGAGGCACCGTGGCAGTGACGACGGTAATGATGAAGTGCCGTCTATTGCATTAATTCTCGGCTTCACTCCGTCCTTGCAGCCTCTCCCCGAGCGGGGACTCGAAAGCTCAGAGACAGAAATGGCCCGTCCAGGGTCTCCTGGACGACGGGTAGTTCCGGAGCCTCTTTACTCTGGGCCAACACTGCCTGCCACCGGGATGGTGGCACCTGGCTAGAGACCTTGGAAGAGGGGCCCCTCGCAGGGGCGGGGCTCAACGCAGGGACAAGCCCTGGCAGGGAGCGTCCACCCCGCACTCCACTCTGTGCCCACCTGGGGCGCAGGACTGGGAGCTGCAGGTTGCCACCACCACCGGCTCCGGGGCCAGCCGGCTGCATGGCCGAAGTCTCCCGCTGCCCAGCTGAGGGAGGCAGGGACGGAATGTCGGCCCCCAAGCAGGTCCCCAGGCTGGCTCAGGGAACAGGGTGGGAGGCAGGCAGATCTGACCCGCTGATTCACTTCCCTGGCCTGGGCTGGGCCCGGTGTCCCTTCAGGTGCCTGGACACTACCTAAGGACAGCCAGCCCAGCCCTCAGCTCTCCAGGTGTCCCCTGCAGCTGCAGCGGGTCTATGGATGCGGGTATAAAAGGGCAGGCGGCCGGCCGCCCCAGCCCCGCACCCAGTGGCGCAGCCTCGTCCTGCACACCTGCCCAGGGCAGCGGTAGCCAGGCGCTTTCCATCCTGACCCCCGAGTTCCCCTCCCAGCATGGGGGTCTCCTCCACTACAGTGACCCCTGAGCTCAGAGGGGGCGTGTGCGCCTGCAGACAAGGCGCATCTGGTGTGGGTCACTGCCACCTGTGGCCACTATGTCCTGGTGTCCTCGCCTGTAGGACGGGGACACTGACGGAGCCGATGCACTCAGCACCCACCTGGGAGGGCAGGGCCCAGGGCTGCAGGGCTCTGGCCAGGCCGCTGGCTGTGGGCTCCCTCCGCACAGGGCAGGCTCCACCCACTGGTCCCTGGCCTGGTCCAGGCAGCTGTAGGTCACCCAGTGCAGCCCTGGGAAGGAAGAGGGAGGCTAGGCCGCGTCCACACAGGGGGCGCACCAGGCTTCGGGCGAGCCCCGCCCCGGGCCTCACCTGCCCCGCAGCTCACGGAGCAGGAGCTCCGCACGGCGGCCCATGCCCAGGCCGGCTGCACCTTAGGCCGGAAGTAAGTGAAGGAGATGTCCGGGCCGCTGAGGTCGCCGTACTGCTCACTGTAGCGCCTGTAAACCTGCGAGGATGGACACGGGCTCCGGACGGGTCCGGCGGCCGCTGCCCCGCCCACCCCCCAGCCTAGGACCTTTCATTCCTCCAGGACTATGTTCTGTGCTCAGGGTGCCATTGCTGAGGCGACCGTACGCCAGGTTCTGGGGACAGCACAGCGAACGACACCGTCCCAGCTTCCGGCAGCTCCCGGTGGGGTGGGGACAGGTAGCCCTAAAGTGCCTGGTGGGTGCAAGACAGCACCCTGGTCCGTGAGCGAGTGCACAGGCCGACCGCGCCCTCCTGGTCACCTGGATCTCCACGTGGTCCTGGACGGGTCCCCGGACGCGGATCTCCTCCAGGAGCGGCAGCCGGTCCTCCGAGAGGGTCACCTTGTACTCGATGGGGCTGTCCTCCAGCGGGGAGGGGGACATGGTGCTGGGAGAGATGCTGCCGTTCCCGGCGACGATGTAGCGCCCGCGGACCCTCACCGCTGTGGGGGGTGGGGGGTGGGACGGACGAGGCCGTCAGCATGAGGGGTGCCCACCCTTTCCAGAGGATGTCCCAGTTGAAGGAATGGCCCAACGGGAGGTAACCTCCACAGCCACACCGCCATGTCCTCGCTGGTACCCACCCCCCAGAGTGGGCTGCCCTGGTGTCCAGGCCAGGTGGTCTGCGGGCCCACCCTCCAAGGCGCACCCAGCGCCTGACCGGAGAAGGCTCCCTCACAGCAGCAACTCTGCCTCCTCCCAGGGCTGGGGGCACCATCGGCTGCCCCCCTGCCAAGCACGCTCACACAGTCTCCACAGGCAGGTGCCCCCGCCATGGACTCAAAGGTCAGGCGCGGGCGCCCGCTGGAGGCAGAACCCCTCCTGGCGGCGCTGACCAGGCCGGCCGGTGTGCTCCGCAGACGCGAGGGGCGCCTCTGTTCCAGGAGGGGTCTGGCCCCACCCGGAAGACGGAACACGTGACCTGGTGGGCTTTGGGCATCGGTCGCCCCGAGACTGAGATTATCCACGTGAGCAGCCAATCAGGCCCCACCAGAAACCAGACACTGCTTGGATGAGCTCCCTGGGCTGGCGACACTCTGTGCATGGCGTCACGCTTTGGTGCCACGCAGACCCCTCCCGGCCCCTGCCCGGCGTCTCTCCCCGGGCTGGTTTATTGTTTCCTTCCCGTCAGCCGCCGGAACCAGCAGCGAGACGTCCCTCAGTTCTGGGGGCCCTTCTAGCAACCATCCAATGTGACGGTGGTCCGGGGAACCACGACCTTGAAGTCAGCATCAGAAGTGAGGGCGTCGTCGCGGGGACCCTGCCCCCGGCCTCCGAGGTGGGGCTAACCTCGTGGGTGGGTGTCCCCTGGCCAGCTCACCCAGGTGTGTGAAGAGGGGCCTGTGGTTGGCGACGTACACGCTGGTCAGGTTGGGGGTCAGCGTCAGGAACGTGACGTACTCTGGGGGGAGCAGAGGACGGTGGTTGGTCTCAGTCACCTGTGTCACCCTTGGGGGAGCAGATTCCAGGGGTACAAAAAGGGCTTCAACACTGAAAGCTCCAATGCGATGGGGTTGCCTCAGGCCGTAGGGAGCCCCCCGGCACAGGGGGCAAGCAAGGCCAGGCTGGAGGGACAGTGTGGGGGCGTGGCCCTGGCGAGGGGGCGGGGCTGGGCCTGCCAGAGGGAGGCGGGACTCAAATCCTCCGCTGACCCTCTGAGCACTGACTTTGCAACTGACCCGGCCTCTTTTACAAAGATCCAGGTCAGAGATTTTCCAGGTACAACATCGCTCCTCATGGGACTCCTGCGGCAGGTGAGGAGAGGCCGGCCGGCCGTGGCAGGCAGCCCAGCGTCTGCATCGCAGCTGCCAAGGCCTTCAGCCTTTACAGACGCACCACACGGCGGGCCCACCCCCAACCCGAGCCGGGTGGAGAGGCAGGGAGGCCAGCAAGGTGGAGGGTGGAGGCTGAGGCCCGCTGGGAGGCGCCAGGGCTGAGCCAGCATGGGGACCGCCCAGCCCCAGCCCCGGCAGCTGGTGCCAGCACCCTGGGCAGCCCCGGCCTCAGGGGGTCAGGGGCCGCCCCTACCTCTGGCCCTTCCCCCGGTGAAGGAGCCGCTCTGCGGGCTGCAGGTGCTGTTGTCGCCCCCACACACCTGGCACACGTCTGGCACCTGCTGCGAGTCCATCCGGCCGTCGCAGCCGAACGTCTGTGAGAAGGGGAGTGACAGGGGAGCCGGGGCGCGTGTCACTGGGGGGCTGGCCCAGGACGCCCACTGCGCTGAACGCTCCGTTGCAAGACAAACGAGGCGCTTTTGGAGCCCCTGCGGCCCACGCAGGAAGCCGTGACTTGCTGCAGGTCACAGCGCAGCTCTTCGCCACGCTGACCCGGGAAGCCCTGCGTCCCAGCGTCACCCTGTGGGAACTTCACGGTGGGGGGAGGCCCTCGGCTGTGCTGGGACCCGCCTGGGGCCGCGGGCACGGGAAAGGCGCCCTCTGCTGGCCCGCGCCTACCCTGCAGCTGCCGCTCACACACAGGCTCAGGGTCCCGGCCTCGGGAGGGCTGCTGGGCACACACCGGGTCCCATCCAGGAAGCTGTCCCCACGCCTCACGATGAAGCTCTCGCCAATGGCCCGGCACATGTATCTGCACAGAGCGTCCCCTGGGAAGGCGGAGGGACAAGGGACCCAGATGCAAGAGTGGCAAGGCCCAGGCAGGGTGGTGACCCTGCAGGGCATGGCCCAGGTGGGGCTGCTGGCCCCGCCCCGCTCCCCTCTGCAGCCCCAGGCCCCACCTTGGCTGTGCCGCAGGGCAGGGCCCCAGCGGTAGAAGGAGGCGTTGCCTGGGGACAGGTGCAGAGGGTTCCGGTCGGTCTGGGCGCACTGCTCAGCCATGAACTCCAGCTGGGTCGTCTCGCAGGCCTGGCCAGAGAGGGCGGGGCAGGCACAGAGGGGGTCCTGGGGGGGCAGCCTCACCGAGGGCAGGTCTTAGTGGACAGGAATCAGTGAGGGCCAAGGTCAGTACCACAGACAGGAGGTGCTGCCCAGAGTGTGGAGAAATCGCACCCTTGCCCGGGGCTGGTGAGAAGGTTCCAGGGGTGTGCTGTGGTGGGTGGGAGAGGCTTGGGGGTCCCTCACAGAGCCAGACACAGAATTACTGTGTGACCCGCATGTCGCATTCAGGTGTCTACCCCAGAGGGACTCGAAGGAGCCCATGTGCACGGGAGGCTCAGGCCGATGGTCACGACAGCCAAAGGGCGGAAGGAACCCAAGTGACCACTGCGGGTGAGAGCAGGGGACACTCTGTGGCCTGTCCAGGTGGTGGGGCGGCTGCAGCCATGAACAGGGATGGAGCCCCGACACCCCCCCACCGCAAGGGACCTCGGAAACATGGCGCACGAGAAAGAAGCTGGACGCGAACAGCCACGCGCTGTGTGATTCCGAACAGAAAGTGGACTGGCGGGGCTGGGGCCCCAGGGCAGGGCGCAGGGCACCCCTGTGGGCAGCAGAAATGCTTTGGGGCTGGACAGAGGTGGTGGCCACTCAGCACCGTGCACGCGCTCCATGCCACGGGTCGCACTCAGAACGGCCGGTCTGCCCCCAAATTTGTAACTGGAAGAACCCAGACACACAGTGCAGTGCTGGGGACGGACAGACAGATGGTTCTCACCACAGCAACTTGGGGGCTCTGGTAGCAGATGGCCTTGGGGCAGGGAGGGGACACTCAGGGCCCCGCTCTTGGGCGCAGGACGATCCTGGTGCCCACCCTCTGGTCCCAGTGCTGATGTCAGCAGCACCCCTGCACCCTCAAAGTTCCTGGTGTGAACCGCAAACGACAGCCACCCCGGCCCCTCTGCTCCCCCAGGGCCCAGGGGCCGCCCGGCCCAGGGAGCAGGCCCACCTGGGTGTTGCACATCTCAGCCTGCAGGTCGGCACCGGTGCACGCAAGCCCCCCGAAGGCAGGTCTGCAAATGCCCATGAGACCCAAGGCGTGAGAGGTGGCCCAGAGGTGCCCAACCAGGCAGGGTGGCGCCCCCCCCCCCCCCCCCCCCACCCGTACCTGGGGTTGTTGCACTGCCGCCTCCTGATGGCCACGCCTCCTCCGCAGGACCGGGAGCAAGGACTGGGGGGGCCCCAAGCTGACCAGTGCCCATGCACGGCCTCCATGGGAGGCAGCTCCGCCAGGGCGCGGCAGCGGCCCTTGGAGCACCACTGCGGAGCACAGAGGCCAGGGCACTGGTGTCCCACAAGGCGCCCGCACCCACAGGGCTCCCCGCACCAGAAGGTGCAGCCACCATGCATGTGACCAGAGGACCACAGGAAACTCCAGGGCCCTCTTCCCTGGCTCACGGGCCCTCCTGTCTCCTGCCCGGAGTGAGGGTGGCCAGGCTGCGAGCTCCCTGCGTGAACCTGTGTGAGCACGCCCCCACATGCCCGCACACACCCCCTCACACACACCGCCTCCCCCCACTCTGACCTTCTCTGGGCCGCACTCCGTCCAGTCCAGGAGAGGGAGGAGCAGGCGGCTGCAGCTGCCCTGGTCCAGGGGGTCTGTGTGGCAGGACAGGGCCTGGCACATGTCCTGGGAGAAGGGACGAGCAGCCAGCACAGCCTGTGAGGCCGCTGTCCAGCCTTCACGGTCCCTCCAGGCTGCTGGCAGGGCTAGTGGCCAGGGAGGGTGGGCAGGGCGGACTCGGTCACTAGGAACAGGGACAGGGCCATCTCGGCCCCTCGGCCCCTGTCCCCCTTCGCCTCCCCTCCCCCTGCCCGCTCACTCCTGCTGCAGGGTTCAGCTGGGGAGGACACCTCCTCCAGGAAGTCCTCCAGCCTAGCTCCCTCTGAGTCAGAGCCCTTGGTACCTGCCCATTTAGGCTGAATGCCTCGGGAGGCCGTGCTAGGATCGGCTCCATGTAATTGGTGGGGCCCAGTCAGAACGAAAATGTGGGGCCTTGTTCAAAACTTTAGAATTTTGAGGAATGACTGACAGCCAGCCCGGGGTTCCCACAGTGGACAGTGGGGCTCGAGCTGAGCCGAGGGGCTGTTAGACGTGGGCAGGGGGAGCTTGGGGAGGGCTGGAAGGCTGGGCCCCGGCAGGAGATGGGCACTCACCAGGCTCTCCCTGGAGAAGGTGCAGGCGACCGCGGAAGGACCGAAGGCCATGCGGCACTGCTCGTCGGGCCCGTAGTAGAGACCGGGGTGTGCCTGCAGGGGGCGCCCTGCGGGTCCGGACTGGGGCCCCGGAGGGTCCAACACGCAGCGCGCCCGTCCTGCGCTGTAACAGGGCCCGGGCTCAGGCCCAGGTGGGCACCGGATGGGGCGGGGTGCAGGGATGGGCTCGGGTTGGGGGGTATGAGAATTCTCCACCTGCGCCCCCCAAGTAGTGGCGGAGACGGTGCTGGGCCCTGAGAGGAGCGCGGGGGGCGGGGCCAGGGAAGGGGGTGGGGCGGTGGGTGGTACCCGGGGCGGGGACAGGACGGAGGTGGGTGCACCGGGAGAGCGAGCGCAGGGAAGCTGGTGAAATGCCGGGCGGGGCACCCGGTGGGACGGGATGGGGGCGCTGACGGGCGATGGAAGGCGCAGGGTGGAGGATGCGGCTACCTGAGCAGGTGCAGCAGCTGCTGGCGGCTGCAGGCGGACCACGCCAGGCCCCCTTGAGCAGGCGGGGCGCCAGGGGCACCCATCACGTGGCCATTGGGCGCGCAGCCACTGCCGGGCTCGCCGTCGTGCTGCAGGCCAAAGCTGCGGAGTGCAGGGCGGTGCTGGGCGCGGCTGTGGCCCCCCGCCGGTCCGCTCCTGCACGCCTGCCGCCCTCGGGCCACCGAGCGCAGGGCGTCCTCCCACTGCGTCACCGCCTGGCCCCCCGGCCAGCCACCTGCTAACCCCTAGGGCAGAGCGAGTCCCCGGTGCGCGGCCACAGCGTCCCGCCCCAGCTGGGCCGCGCGGGTGGCTCCCGCCTGTTTCTGATGGACGGACACCGAGAGGCGTTAGAAACGTGCAGGCACACTAATCCGCGGCACTGTGAGTCTGGGGATGCCCGCGGGGGACCACCCTCGACCTGGGGGCCAGCGCTGTCGAGCTCGGGACTGTGTATGGGGGTTAAAACAGTGTCCGAGAAGATGTGCAGGCCTCCGACCATCCCTCCCGCTCCAGTTTCCCTCCAAACACGACAGATGGAGGAATTGTCCTGGGCTGTGGGGGCAGGGGCGGAGGCAAGTGGAGACTCAGGGGTGGGGTGGGGGTGGAAGGGGTCGCTCGCCCCCTACTGGGGACCTGGCCCACAACCCAGGCATGTGCCCTGACTGGGAATCGAACTGGCGATCCTTCGGTTTGCAGCCTGCGCTCAATCCACTGAGCCACTGAGCTACACCAGCCAGGGCCAAACCGTGTTTTCGAATAGCCAACTTTGATTTGCTCGTTTCTTTCCTAAGTGTCCCTTAGTTACACAGGAATCGCCAAGTGTCAGGGCCCTAGGCCTTGTCCCAGCCCACGCCCCCCACACTCCCTGGTCCCGTGGGGTCAAGGGCGCAGGCACCTTCAGGCACCAGTCCGCTGCCAGCCTCCACCTGCCCTGCCCCCCAGGGGCCCTGCCCGGCTCCTGGTCTGGGCCGGAACACAGCTCGTGGGGCCACATACCTGTGTCCGATCTCATGGGCAATGGTGACCCCCAGGTCGAAGCCGGTGTCCTCAGTGATGAGGCAGCTCCATGAGGAGGAGCAGGCGCCCCCCAGCTGGGTGACCCCCCGAACCTGCCGGTTACCGTCAGGCAGCTCCAGGTCGAACCTCAGGGAGACAGGAGAGACCCTTGAGGCGCCCGCCTGCCTGCCGCCAGGTGAGGGGTGCAGAGAACGGGAAGGCCCAGGGGGCACAGCTCCCAGCGGCCAGCTCCGCTACCTGGTGATGTAGAGGACCAGGTCGGCGTGCCCGGGGTCCGTGTCGTCCTGGGGGTTGACCGTCCGGCCCCACTCACAGACGCTCCGCAGCGAGGAGCTGATGTCGGCCGTGATGTTTGGCGCGCCCTGGGGACCGGAGACGGAGCCCTTGTTTACCCACGCCCCCGCAGGGCGCAGCTGCTGTGGCACCTCGGTACCGCTACCGACCCTGTTACTGTCCCGCGAGACAGGTGGGGAGACCGAGTGCTGGCCGGAAGCCCCCGCCACCCCCCGGGGTTCTCTGGTTCCACGGGAAGAGGTGAAGAGGGTCCGCGCAGACTCTGGGCTGCTGCGTGGCACCCACCTCGTGCTGCGTCAGGGTGACCATCCTCACCAGGTGCACTCGGAACTGGGCCCCCAGGGACGGGTCCCGCAGCAGCTCCGAACCCTGGGGGAGGGCGGGCGGGAAGGTGACCTGGGCGGGGGCGGCCACCAGCCCCCTTCAGGTGCTTACTCCTGGGGGTCTCCGGGGAGAGGGCTCCCTCAGCGTGGCAGGGGTGGGGGACACCCAGAGCACTAGTCCTTAGGCTGGGAGACTGTCAGAGCACCCGCGCAGAGAAAAGAAACCCCGAAACCACAGCATGGGGATGGGTAACGGTCATCGGTCCGGAGCCTTCCGTTCAAACACTGCTGCTCTCACAGCCGATTCGCCCTGTCCTTGCTCTTCGCCGCCCCTCTTCCTGGAACACCTTTCTCCCCACCTCTGCGGCTAGACCTGCCCCTGCCCATGAAGTGTCCTGATGCCCCCGCTCCGAGCCCTTTCCTGGGCCGCCCCCACCGGTTCTCTGCACACATCTGTCAAGAAGCTGATGGCGGTCGGCACCAGCTTGTCCTCTAAATGAGGCACCGCACCGGGGAGAGACGCAGCGACCACTGCCCCAGGCTCTGCCGCTGCTGCCCGAGAACCCAGGGCCCTGTCCCCTGACCTCAGAGCCTCAGTGTCCTCGTCTGTGGAATGCAGATGCAGCCCCGTGGTTGGGGGCAGACTCAGGGGCAATGCAGTGGGCACCAGGCGAGGGCCATGTGAACAGTGGCCACCACACGAGCCCACCATCTGGCAGGAGCCTGTCTGCCACCTACCACCCAGCTGTCCTCGGTCCTTGTAACACGAGGCAAGTGACCCAAGGGAGCACGGGCTTGGTGACCAATATTCAGCATGTTCGAAGTGGGGAGACCCCCAAAGCCTGAAAACAGCAGCCGTAGAGTGACTTAGACAAAACGCTTGTCACCTCCAGGGCTGCAGGTGGAGAGCTAAGCAGGCTGATCCTGACCGTGAACTGAGCCTGCCAGGGGCTACCACGTGGGTGTAACCCCAAGACCCAGGGACAGGAGGGGCTCTGAGACTGGCGGGCATCCTGAGGCTGGGACCAAGTGGTGCTAAGTTCCCCACGTTGTAGGTGACAGCTCCTGCCAGCCCCTCCTCACGCCCCTCCCCTCTCAGCAGCCTCCCAGGGGATGGGGGCGGGGCCTGGGCTGTTGGTCCGCAGCTGGGATTAATTCCCTAAATGCTCCGAAAAGCACTTTGGCCGGACTGCTCTTCACGTAGTGTATACGTCGTGTGGGTTTCTCCGATGCGTCTAGCCGCGCCCCGCTGGGTGCCGGTGACCTTCTGCTATCGACCCCCCAATGGCGGGTGAGCTTCCGACAGCCCCGAGCAGGTCTGGGCTGTGCACACTTCACGTGGGAATTCTCCCACCGCCGGCCCGGGGTGCGCAGAGTCAGTGAGTGGAACGGGAGCCTCGGGTTGTCGCACACCTGTCTCTCTGCTGCCTCTGTGTCCCCGAGACAATGGGGAGTCCTGCCTGCTGCCCTGCCTGTCCCCCGGGAGACCAAGGTGCCTGTGGATCTGGGGCAGAAGCCACAGGTGAGGGTCTCCCCCCACCCCCGCCAAGGGACCCAAGTAGCAGGTGGCTGCAGGGTGTACTAGGGAGCGCAGAGGGACCTGTCCCATCTCCACCCCCGTGAGAGGGGCAGGAGGAAGGACAGGGCAGACCCCTGTCCCCACCCCTCAGCCCCGGGCCTGGAGCGTGACCCAGTGCAAGGTGTGCAGCGAGTCCAAACTACCAGGTAAGCCAGGAGCCCCGCCCGCAGGGCAGGCCCTGTGTGCGGAGGCTCCGGAGCAGGGAGGGCGGGCTGGTGGCGGCTCTGGACGAGCCCCCTGCCCTGCGGGCAGCGCCGCCCCACAGGGCACTCACCACGTGGAGGCTGGTGAGCACGTATCGCTCCGTGTCCTCCTGGTGAGCCTGGTGGACGTCGGGGCCCACGGCCACCAGCAGCCCCAGGTGCAGGACGGGCAGGGGCTGGCTCTGGAGGAGAGAGGACGGACGGCCTGGCCAGGGAGGAGGAGGCACGGTGAGACCAAAGGGTCTAGAAAGCAGGCAAACCGAGGCTCCAGGCGCCTGGTCAGCCTCCCTGATGGCCCTCACGGTCCCCACGGCCAGGCCACTCTGTCACCCTGTGCTCCTGGGCTACCAGACACAGCGGTGGGGTCCTGTTTCGGTCACTTACCACTTAGGGAGTTGGTAGGCCCGAGCCCCAGCTTTCTCGTGGGTGATGTGAGGGAACAGGAGGACACCTGCCTCCTGGGGGCACAGTGACAGTGACCTGCCCCGTCCGCCCCCGCCCCGGCCTTCTGGGAGCCTGGCACCCCGAACACAGGTCCAGGGCCTCCTGACCCTCCGGGGTAAACCCGTTCAGAGGGTTGAGACATCGAAAGCTCTGTCATTCTCTGGACACGGTGACCATGAGAACTGATGGCACCGGCCAGCTAAGAGGACAGAAGGGGCTGCGTCTGAGGGGGATGGCCTCTCCAGGCACCTCACGGGCCCCGGGACCAGTAGTGACTGGGTGTTTCAGGGTGTGGGTGGCAATGTGGGATGTGGGGGGGCTACTCTGTGGCTTCTGTGTCCTGGTCACCCCCAAACCCCACACTGAGCACACACTGGAGAACAGGTCACTCCATCATGGCAAGGAAAGTCCTGGTGCTCCAGAAACTGTGCGACCCCTCCCCAGCAAGGGCCCCCCACAGCCCCAGACCTCAGAGAAGCCAGTTACAAGTGGGGCCCCAGGTCCCCACCAGTGTTTCGATCAAGGGCACCAGAGGCTCCACTCTGAAAGAAGCCGGCTCCCTGGAGCAGCCCGAAGACTAGCACCCAGGCCACGGGGCAGGGCTGTGGCTGCAGCTGGACCTGGTGCCCAGCCTGCTCTCCCTGAAGGGATGTTATTAACATCTGTGGCCAGAAACCAACAGGAGTCTGTCAGCGGAGGCCCAGGGGCGGAGGGCACCAGCCCCTAGCGACATTCTTTGGAGACACTGAGCAGACTCCACGGCCGGACCCCAGCTCCGTCAAGAACACCCGGCCAGCTGTCATCCCCTGGGCAGGAAGTTCACTCCCAGGGGCCACGGCCGCGGCTCTGACCCCTCCCAGCAGAGCCACCAAAAACCCCGGACCGGACCCAATGGTGAGACTCCCTGCAGGCGCTGGGGAGCTCTCGCCAGGAACATGCGAGGGTAAGTACCTTCCAAGGGAACATCGGGGTGCGGGTGGGGAGGCGCCTCCTCGGGCTCCGAAGCCCAAAGGAGTCCCTGCAGGAGAGAGGGAAAGGTAAGGAGAGAGGGGGGCACACCAGGGAGGGGGAAGGGGCAAGAGGCAAGGCAGCGGCAGGTGGGGGGCTGCGGAGAGAGGAGCCGTGGGGACGGGACCGGCTGAGCGGACCACCTGAGACCAGCACCTTCCTCAGCGGGCATGCTTCACCCCCCCCCCAGCGCAAACCGGGAAGCTTAAAGGACACCCCAAGGCAGCCACCTCTCTCCCCTGGGAGCCGCTTCAGCACCCAGAAAGCCCGGGCCTCACGGCTCTGACACTCACCCACCTGCGGTCCGGCAGGGAGTCCCCAGCAGCCCAGGAGGAAGGCGGCCGTGAGAACTGCCTGCCCGCAGGTCCCCCAGGGGTGAGGCTTGCACATCCTGACCGCGACCAGCTGGCCCATCAGTGAGGAATGTGACAGACCCTGCTGGGCAGGCGGGGCGCTAGCTGTGTTTACTCGTGGGAGCTTCCTCCCAGGGCGGGCCCGGAGGAGCGGGCAGCAGCCACAGGCTCCTCCCGCTGCACCCTCCTGCCCTCCCCTGGGGGGGGGGGGGGGCCAAGCACCCGGCCCAGGGCTGGAAGGGGCCCAGGCTGGAAGGAGCGGAGGGAGCGCTGGCCCAGGGCTCTCACCCTAGTTCAGCCTCCCTCAAGCTGCCCTCCTCTGTGGACACCCCTGCCTTCTGGAACATTCCGCTGTCCTCTCCTCGACCCTTTCCTCACCCGGGGCAGATTCCAGCTCTGCCCCACAGGACCTGCCCCTGGGGAACAGCCCCTCCTGCTCAGCTCAGCTGTGGCTCCTTCTGGGCCTGCTCACGAGGGACAGAGTCACGGAGCCAGGCCGGCACCTCAGCCCGCCCGGCAGGCCACGCCACTGCCTGGGAGGTTCTTGGTCACACTCTCTCACCCCCAGGACACAGCCCCCAACCCAGAGAATGTGGTTGGTGAAAAGGGGTCTCAGTAGGTAGCTTTCCACCTGCCGCCTTCCCCTGCCTGCTTCCCCTGGCCCTCAGTGATGGGGGGGGGGGACGCCCATCAGTGCATTCTGGGCCCACGCCCTGCCCGGGCTGCACCCCCCTTATCCTTCACAGGCCTTCCACCCCAGGCACTGTCTCCTTGCTGTCTCTCCGTGACCCACGCTGACCCACAGCCTGAAGCCCAGCAGCACCACCAGGGGCCTGGGCAGGCATCTGGAATCAGCACTAACCGGCCTCTGCCTCCCGGTCCCCCACTCCCCTTCCCGGTCCTCACACCCGGCAGCAGTGACCTTCCTACAGCTCAGATCAGATTGAGTCACTCCCGCTACAAGCAGCCCCCTCGTCCCTTTGCCCTCAGGATCACGTGTCAACTCCTTCCCACAGCCCCTGAGGCTCTAGAAGCCCCCTCTGCCCACAGCGCCAGCCCCGGCCTCGGCTCAGCTGGCTTCACCAGGCAAGGCTCTGCTCTGCTGGTGTTTGGAGCCCCGGGGTCCGGGCTCACGTTTCGGCTCCCCAAGCAGCCTTCCCTCAGGACCTTGTCTCAGCAGCCCTCCAGGGAAGGCTTGCCTCGTTTAGGAAATAAAAATCAAGACAGCCAGTTAAATGTGAATCTCAAATAAATTTTAATTTCAAACACTGCAACCATTGTGTGCGGGGCATTCACCCTAAACATGACCCTTTATCCGAAACCCCGACTTCTCTGGGTATCCTGCACTTGTCCGGTCTCCGCTGCACCCCATCCTATCATCCCCCCGGCGGCGCCGTTGTCCCGAAGCACCTCGTGGAGTTACCATCCCCACTTCCCCAGCGGCCCCGCACACATGCAGAGCCGCGGGTGGCAACTTCAGGCAGGTGGACGGAGCCTGACCCGTTGCTTGGGAAGGTGATGCCAAGGGCTGCGCCTGGCGAGCCGGCACTTTCTCCTTCCTCGTGTCAGGTTAAGTAGTAACTAGAGTGCAACCCTCGCAACGCTGTTATTATCGGGTGTCGCTGCGGTGCCTTTGCAGCCCTATGGCCCTGGAGAACCAGGCTGTGTGGCCTGAGTCCCCCGTCCCGCCCCTGGGCCTCAGTTTTCCCATTCCCTACGGCAGACGCCTCTTTCGCCGAGCTGGGGACCGCCGCGCCGAGCGGGACTGGCCCGGGCTCCGCAGGCCTGGCCGCTCGCGCCCCCTTGCGGCCGCCTGCGCGCGGCGCTCTGCCTGCCCGGCCGCGGTGCTACACCGACAGCGGCCCTCCAGCTCCCGTCTGGCTCCTGCGTCTCTCATCCCCATCCCGGCTCTCGTGGGATCCCGGGCTCACCCCAACCCAGTCCTAGGTCGCCTACCCCGAACGCCGCTCGCTGGGGTGGCGACCCTTTCCCACGCGCGCAAAAATCCCCGCCTTGCTCCCTGCCGCGCGGAACCAGAGGAGAGGGCCGCGCTTCGGCGGGTCGGGGAAGGAAGAGCACTTCCGGGGGCTGGGGTGCGTGTGTCTAGTTCCGCTTGGGGTCGCTTCTGGTTTCGCTTGCGGGGTCCGAGAGGCCGGTTTCCCTGAAGCTGGTGAGTTGGTTGGCAGAGCCCGGAGTCGAGGACAGTGCGCCCCGAATGGGTGCGGTGGCCGGGTGGGGGAGGGCGGGGGCGCCGGCTGCCGCCGGCCGAGGCCTGGACGCCGCGCTCTGCTCAGGCTCTAGGTGGGGCCAGGATGGCGAAGGCGAAGGTGCCGACCCCCAAGACCGCCCCGGCCGACCCCGCGTCTGAGCCAGGGCTTGTCAAGAAGCCAACACGGAAGGAAAAAAAGAAGCTATGGAAAAGCAAAGCGCGGGATGTAAGCAAGAGACCGACAAGCGACCCCAAGGTTGAACTGCGCCCTCCGAAGGCTCCGGAGGACTTTTCCCAGAACTGGAAGGCGCTGCAGGAGGTAAGAGCGGGGCAGCGCTGGTTTCCCGGGCCTCCGCGGACGGAACCCAGAAGCAAGACTCGGGCGGGGGGGGGGGGGGAGGTGTTGGAAAGCGAGCCTCGGAGGCACGTTGTAGTAGAACCTTGTAAACATGGCCTTCTCTGGAGAAGGGGCTTTTGGGGGCTTTTGAACCCCAAGGCAGGCAGATGGCAGGAACTTGGCGTAGAGGACCCCAGCAGTGAGAGGCACAGTTGGTGACAGCTGCCCGCAATTGCTGAGCTCTTAGAATGTGCGGACCCTGTCAGAGGGTCCAGGTGTGTGTGTGTTTCACGCTCACACCCGCACTGTCAGGTGGGCCTCCTCTACTGGCTCCGGTTTACCAGCAAGGAAGTGAGCCCAGAAGAGTCGGCTTGCCCAGGACTGCAGATGGGTCTGCAGAACCAGAGTCCGACGCTGAATCCGGGGCCTTGTCCCGTGTCTGTGGGCAGTGCTTACCTGGAGGTTACTCTCTGCCCACCACTAGTCCATCCCCTTCACTGACAAGGGCTCACCTGGAGCTGGCTGCTGCTTTTGGTTTCCAGAGAGGAAATCGAGGCAGAGAATGGAGGCACGTGGCCCACGGCTGCCCAGTGAGTGCTCCAGGGCAGACCCACAGAGCCCAGGACAGGGGGAGTGGGGTGTGAGCACGTGCCCTTGGCTGCTGCTGACCCTGAGTTTCTTTGACCGCTTTCTGGAGTCTGTTCTGGAGCCTTTTAACCTGGTGGATGGAATCTTAGGATGGAGGTCCCATCAGCCCCTGCCTGGATGGACAGGGCCCATGAAATTCCTGCGGGCTACTCAGGGTCCTCTCTGGCTTCTGGGGCTGTGATTCTGCCTCTTGGTTTCAAGAGTGTAAAGCGAAATTGACCGGAAGGGATGCTCATGGTGGGAAGACCTTGAGCTTTGCCGGTGCATCCAGGGATGTAGCTCTCCCTGGGACCCTCACGGCCGCAGCCCTGGAAGCCCTGGAAGCGGTGTCCATGCACCAGCCTGTGGGCCTGACCTGGAGGAAGTAACTCTGCAGTGAACTCTCAGTTGATCATAAATGGGGAAGCAGGCCGCTCAGCATCCCTGCAGGCCCAGCGTGGAGGAGCCTGTGCTCGCTTGTTCTCCAGGTGGTTGAGGTGTGGGCCTGAGCTCGTCGCTTCTACGTCGAGACAGGACGAGCAGTCACTTCGCCTGAAGTGGCTCCCAGATGAGAGTGAAGCGGGCTGTTCCCCAGGCCGTGGGAGACTGGGTCTCGGGGGTGTCATGGGCCGAGGCGTGGCAGCTGCCGTGTGTGTGTGTGTGTGTGTGTGTGTGTGTGTGTGTACAGAGGTACACGTAGGTTATTTCAGTCCCTTGTGTGTAGTATCCAGTTCAAATTATCACGCATCTTATTTTGTGTCCATCAGCTGCTGAAACAGAAACCGCAGGCCCCGGAAAAGCTTCTCGTCACGCCTCAGGTGGATTCCAAGCAGCACCCCAAAACCCACCACCAGAGCCGGAAAGCAAAGGGGGGCCAGATGGGTGTGGAAACGGCGCCCCAGGAGGCCCCCTTGGGCCCCGCCCCTCCCGCAAAGGGCAGCGGAGCAACTCGAGGTGAGAAGGGGACCAAGAGAAGGACTGATGGTGACCTTGCTCCACAGCGAGGGGCCCGATCACGTAAGAAGCGGAAAGCGGAGGAGGTAACCACCGCCAGGACTCCAGCCCCGCCCACTGAGTAAGTGCCACTCGGAGGACCAGCCATATTGCCCGGCTCAGCCTCTCCTGCCACGGGCTGCAGCCAGCCTCAGTCATTGTCACACTGAGGACAGTCATAGCAGCCAAGGCCCAGCAGCTTCAGGGGACCGAGGTGGGGCCGCCTCTGTAGCCCCCCCTTTCTGGGCCCTGCACTGTGTGTTTCTGCACCCACTCCTTGTTGCCCCTGGAAGGCCGACAGACTGAGGGCCGGACACGTCAGAGCTGCCCTGTCTCTGGGGCGGGGTGGGGCAGGGCAGGGTGGGCTCCCAGTGCCCCCTGTGGTTTGTGGAATGAACCAGTGCAAGCCAGGAAGACTCGCTGGAGTGTGAGGCCGGTTCCTGACATCCCTGAGCCTCCCCGCTCTGGTCACGGGAGGTGTCTGTTGGGTGGGGGGTGAGACGCGGCGTGCCGAGCACCCAGCAGCCCCTCGCTGGTCCTCTGGTGGTCACTCACATGGGCAGGGCGCAGAGGCAGGGGCCACCTCTGATCGGCTCCGCTGGAGGCCAGGTGTCACCGGGCTGTTGGGTTGCTCGGGGTGCCGAGCAGGAGCGTCCGAGGGCCTGGCTCATGTCATCGGGCCGTGCACGCGCCTGGAAGGAGAGCGGCCGCCGCTGAGGCTGGTGGGCAGGAGGGTGAGGAGGGGCCGGAGGATGCGTCGATGCTGCTGTCTTCGTGACACTGCAGGCGTGGTCGGGTAGGAGCCGGCCACTCGTCGGGGCCGGAGAGCCATCTCTAAGGGAGTGATTTGCAACCTGAGCCCAAAGGACTCGGCATCCAGGGCAAAAAGTTACCTCCGTGCGTGGTGGGGGGATGCGCAGTGGGGTCTGCACATCTGTTTCATCGACATGCGTCTGCTGCGTCGCCTGGGTGGGCAGCGGCGCGCACACGCCGCTCTGCAGTCCAGCGGGAGGCGCCGGCGTGCTCTTCAGGCCTCGGTGACCTGGTGCCCGTCAGGTGGAGCATACAGGTCGCCACCCTGCACTGGCCGTGCCACCTGTAGCTCCCAGTCCCTGACAAACAGCGGGCACAGAGAGGCGGTGACGTGGAGCATCCAGTGTTGGAGTTCCAGCCGTGGGGCGTCTGCCCAGACGGCGCGGTCAGCCTGCCCCTCTGCCTTGCAGAGAAGACATCTGGTTCGATGACGTGGACCCAGCGGACATCGAAGCGGCCATGGGCCCGGAGGCCGCCCGGATAGCAAGGCAGCAGCTGGGGGTCAAGGACAGCGGTCTGGCGCTGGAGAAGCAGCAGGCCTTCGGCGGGTGCGTGGCAGGGCCTGGGGCGAGGTGGGGGGGCCTTCAGGAGGCGCCCTCTCCAGGGTCCTGCCGTGCTGACCACACTGGCACCTTTGTCCCCTGAAGCCTGACCAGAGCTGTGGCCCTGGACTGTGAGATGGTGGGTGTGGGCCCCGCGGGGGAGGAGAGCGTGGCCGCCCGCGTGTCCATCGTGAACCAGCACGGGAAGTGCGTGTACGACAAGTACGTCAGGCCAGCCCAGCCGGTGACTGACTACAGGACGGCGGTCAGCGGCATCCGGCCGGAGCACCTGCAGAGGGGTGGGTCCCTCCCCAGGCTGGTGGTCTTTGGGGGGCTCTTGCCCATGCATCTTTGCCTTGGGGCCTCCGTGTGGCCCGGCCTGAAGACCAGAATGCTGTCCCCAAGTTGCTCTGTGTCACTCGGCAGCAGGGACTGAGCTGGAGACCAGTGGGGGGGGGAATGGGAGGTGAGACAGGTGCTTGGGGACCTTATGACAACTTTGGGAGGCCATGCACCGTGAGGGGCCCGGACCGGCTGCCAGGAAGGGCTCCAGGACCTGAGGGTGAGGATTGAGGATGAGGCGTAGCTGGTGACCTGGTCAGCAGGTGGGTGTAGGAGGTGACAGCATGTGGCCCAGCTCTGGGGACACCCTGAGGGCCAAGTCTGGGGGGTTTGCTGGTGGGCTGGCTGTTGAGGGGGGAGGAGCAGAGAGGCATCTGACCTGACGCCAAGGTTGGGGACCAGGAGGTCCTAGAAATTGGGGAATTGAGGCCACTGCTCTGTGAGGGGAAGGCCACTGGGTCCCCTTTCTCAGAACCCTGGTCTCTGCACCCAGGAGACAGCGACCCTGCATTACCCCTGGTCCCACTGGGGTGGGGGCAGAGTCACGAGGGGCCAGCCCTCCCCTTCCCTTGGGGGGTGGGAGCAGGCCCCAAGGGGTGCCCCTGACAGCAGGGCAGAGGCCCCGGAGCCGCATTTCCCACCGTTCGCAGCCGAGGACCAGTCTGTTCTTCCCTCCATGTGGAGACACAGAACAGGAGCCTCGTTCCGTAGCGGACTCGGTGCTGCTCTGGGCCTTTTTCCCCGGTAGGGGGAGGGGGGTGGTGGCCATCGGACTTCAGTGGAGTCGTATGGGGCTGGCGTCCTGGGTCGGGGCTCAGCTGGCCAGTCCCAGAGACCTGACCAGGGGGTGACCGGGACCTGTCACTGAGCACCGCTGCGGTTCGATTTCAGGAGAACAGTTTGAAGTGGTGCAGAAGGAAGTGGCGGACATGCTGAGGGGCCGGGTCCTCGTGGGACACGCTCTGCACAACGACCTAAAGGTGCGGCCCCCCCCCCCCCCGCCACCCTGCTCTCGTGCGGGGGGTGGGGCTAGTCTCTGACCTGAGCCCCTGTGCAGGAGCAGGCTGGGCTCCCTGCATTGCAGGGCTTTTGTTGCCTTTAACCACCTGCGTTCTCCCCCAGAGGCTGAGGCTCCGCCTCCACTGCGTGGCTCAGCAGAGCCGGCTGTGACCCACACCGGGTGTGGCCCCGCCCACCAAGCCAGCACCTTCCATGGGGCACAGCCACCCTCGCCTCTGAGGTCAGACCCCCTCCTGTCAGGGAGCCTCGGGCCGCTAAGGCTGTGCTCGCCTGCTCTCAGTGGCTGCCGTGGGGAACCGGTGGTGGGTGGTGGCTGGGCTCAGAGGGTCCCGCTCTGGAGTCCCAGGCAGCATGGCCTGCAGCCTCTGCTCCCTGAGGGTCTGACCTGGGGAGAGCAGTGGGGCAGGCAGAACCCGACCATGGTGCGTCCTCGTTTGGGGAGCGCCCCTGCGGGGTCTGTGCCGCCTGGAAAATGGCCCCGACCTATGGGGACTCCCAACCTCTGCCCCAGGACAAACTGGCTGCTGGGTGACGGGGACTGGCCTTCTCCCGCCTCCCCGGTTCCCCCGTATCGTTTTTTGCCAAAGTGCCTCTCACCGTGGGCGCCACCTGGAGTCAATGTGAGACTCTTTCCAGAAGTTCAAGTTCACAGCAGTTTCTCTTTATTCATGTGTGTGATATGGGAATTCCTTGTAGGGGGGTCGTTTGAAAAACATGAGTAATGACTGGGGACTCCAAACGACAGCGACGGTCGTGGTCTTTCCTCCCAGGTGCTCCTCCTCGACCACCCGAAAAGGAAGATCCGGGACACGCAGAAGTACAAGCCTTTCAAGAGCCAAGTGCGGGTGCGTCCACGCGGCCGTCCATGTCACAGTGGCTTTGCTGGCCCCTGGGGGTTTTCGTCTCCCCTTCAACCCGACTAGAAGGAGCCCCAAGGGAAGAAGTAGTCCTAAAGGTCACCCACATGAGCTGGTGTGACCGGGCCGGGCTGTGTCCGGGTCTCTGGGTCTCTGACGAGACCTTTGGAGGTGCCCAAGGCGGAGCCTGTCCCCGGGCCCAGCCGTCAGCAGGATGTTAGCTGCAGGTGCAGGGCAGGGCACTCGGGTGGGGCCCCTCCCAGCGTGGCTGTCCCTGTCCCTGCAGAGCGGAAGGCCGTCTCTGAAGCTGCTGGCAGAGAGGGTCCTGGGCATCCGGGTGCAGCAGGCGGAGCACTGCTCGGTGAGCACGTCCCGGGCGAGGCCCGCGGGGTGGTGGCCGTCCCTGCCCTGGCCGTGGGAGCGCCTGTCACCTGCAGGGCTGTAAAAAGTGACCTGGCCCTGGGGGGGCAGTTACAGGGGGTGGAACCCTAGCTGCCCCCAGTGGGCAGTGGGCAGAGTGCCTCTGTGATGGGCCCTGGTGACGGGGTAGCAGTGTGGGGCCGTGGGGCCCAGGACCTGGCGCTGCTGTGCCGGTGCCTTATGCCCACCCAGCATCGGGTTGGAGGCGCCTTCCCTCCGCCCACGTCCTGACCTGTGCCGTCCGCTGAGGCCCCCCCAACTGCCCCACCCCGGGCCCCCAGGTACCTTCTGTGCCCAGGCCCCCGAGTCGCAGGAGCGCCGCCCTGCTCGGCTCCCTCCTCACCCACCCACTGTCCATCGTGTGGCTGTGCTGTCACCTGCTGGGGACAGTCACGGGTACTTGGTGTCATCCAGGTCCAGGACGCCCAGGCTGCGATGAGACTCTACATCCTGGTGAAGAAGGAGTGGGAGCGCCAGGCCCGGGACAGGCGCCCGGCTGCCACCGCCCCGGGCAGCGTCCCCGACCCCGGGCACCGGTGACCATGTCCTGGGGCAGACCACGCCTCCCCAGAGTGGAGGGCGTGGCAGCACACACACCCCTGAGAACAGCCTCTCCCCTGGCCGGGCCGGGTCCGGTCAGCTTGGCCAAAACCCCAGCCAGGAGTTTTCCGCGGCCGCCTTTGGACTTGGCGACTCCCGGTGGCGGTGCTCCTTCCTGCCCCTGCACTACCGCCTGCCCAGCTGAGCGAGGTCAGCGCCCACAGCGGCCCCCGAGCGAGGTGACACCGGTCAGTCCCTGAGGCAGTGCCTCCCCCGTGGGCAGTGGTGTGCCGCCCTGGGTGGCCTGGCCCAGGGTCCCCAAGAAGGCACGGGAGCCCCCGTGTGTGCGAAGCCCAGGGCGTCACCACCCTGCCGCAGGCGCAGAGAGGTCCGGGCCCCTGCGGAACAGAGGAACTAATAAACGAGGTTTTATTCAGGTGGGGCCTGTTTCAGTCCCTGTTCAGAGAGGTCGGGAGACCTGCGGCGTCCGTCCAGTGTGGCAGCCTGATCAGGCCAGGGCTGAGGCCGCAGGGCGACCGGAATCCCGCACGTGGCCGCCTGCCCGGCCCTGAGGAGGGTGTCTTTCCGGTGTGAGGCCCTGGAGGCGGGGAGAGGGCTCCGGGCAGGTAGGGTGTCTGTGTCCTCAGGCCAGAGCCCCTGGGCGCTGGCGGAGTGGGGCAGCCCGGTCTCCCCCAGTCTCAGGAGCACGCTTTCTGCATACGAGACCAGCTCCTGGGAAGAGGGGGGACACTCAGTCGGTCACTTTCCGCAGGCAGTCTCGTCCACAAGGAGCCATCTGTGACCGGGCCTGTCTGCCCCTCCCCTTTAGCTCGGGGGCAGGGTGTCAGGCTCTCGGCCACCAGGCCCCTGCTGCACGAGCCTGGCCCCTGGGGGCGGCCCTCCCTTGGATACTCACCAGGCTGGAGGGGAAGCGCCCCCTGATCTCCTGGACCAGGGCCCCGATGCCGCTGGACACCAGCTCACACAGGATGTCCCCTGCAGGCAGAGCAAGGGTCATGCGGCGCCAGGCCCAGCTCAGGCATGTCGGAGGGGGGCCGACAGGACAAGGTCCCTCCCACTTGGGCTCTGGCCTGGGTGGGCTCCGTGCACGGTGGGCACCTCTGGGAGAGCCCCCCCATCCCACCAGGCAGGCTCGGAGCAGCCGCCTCTGCTGCCCCCTCCCCCAGCTCCCCCGGTGCTCACGGTAGGAGATGAGCTGGGCCAGCAGCTGGCACACGTTCTCCACCACCTCCGGGTCGTCCCTGTGCCTCGCATAGGTCTCCCTGGTGAGGGCAAGGCCGCTGCCACGCTCCTCCGGCACCACCACCCGCAGTGCTGCCAGCTCTGGGGGCCGGGGGAAGGGGGGACCAGTCATTCCCTGCAGCTGTCTGTGCTCCGTGGCCTCTGGCAGTGGGGTGTGCTCAGGGGACAGGCCCTTAGGGCTGTCCAGGGCGAAGTGTGTGGGGCTGCACGGGCCTTGGCCCTGGCAGAGGCGGCCGCAGTCTCTCAGAGCCTGGGGCGCTCCGAGGTGGAAACATGGGGCTCCCAGGGGGCGCCCCGCGTTGTGGGTGGGGTCTGTGGAAGCAGGGGCCACGATGCTGCGTGGATGGCATGTCACACACCCTCCTGGAGCTTGGGGGGGACCAACTCTCTATGGAGGTGGCTGGACAGTCACACAGCCAGCGAGAGGCCAGGCCTCTGGGGTCCTGGTCGATGGATCCTGACTACCCCACCCCTCGTGGGCCCAGTGGTGGCCCTCAGGACCTCAGCCCCTTCTCCGTCCAAGGGTGGCAGCTCACCCCTACCCCAGACTGCAGCCGGGGGGCCCTGGGCAGGGCGGGGGCAGGCCTGCAGCCCAGGGCGCCTCCGTCTGAGAGGGAAGATGCCGTCGTGCCCTCGAGGGGCTGAAGGGGCCCCACTGCCTTCTTCGGGCCCAGGCCCTGTGAGGCCGAGCCTGGCCCGGCCGGGCACAGACGTGGGACCAGACACACACGAGCTGACGACCCTGGCGGGCTCAGGCTGGGTGTGGGCGACTCCTGGGGGTCTGTGCTGGGGCGGGGCACTGAGACAGCCCTGCCTCCTGGGCAGTTTTGAGGAGCGAGGTGCTTGGGAAACCTGGGCCCACTCGCCATGGACAAGAAGGGTCTTAGAAAGCACTGAGCAAAAGAAAAAAGTTAACGTGTGTGTGTGTGTCCATGGCAACTTCTGGGTTCCAGGGAGAGTTGCTCTTCTTTGGTGCCTTGCCCCAGGGGGGCAGCCAGTCCCCCCCCCCCAGCGCAGGCTGTCCCCAGGCTCACCGGACACCTGGGCGAGGCTGGCCAGGGCCCGGTAGGCGTTGTTGACCAGCAGCACCCTGTCCTGGTGCAGCCGGATGCTCTGCAGGAGCAGAGCCACCACCTCCTCAAACAGCTGCTCCCCGATGCAGCCTGTGGGGGGGCGGCCACATGTCACCTCAGGGGCCCGGGGCCCCTCCCAGACCCAGGGGCCCCGGGAGGCTCACCCAGCATAGCCAGCAGCCAGAGGACCGCACAGCCAGCTTCAGCTATGTCCGCATCCGCTGGGTAGGTGGCCAGCAACTCAGCAACGGGGGCCGGGGCTTTCTTCAAGAGGTCCTTGCTCATGGCGTCAGCTGGGGCCAGGCCAGGGGACACCTCACGCTTGGGCGACTGCCGGACTAGGCGTAAGGCCCCCACCGCTGCCTCCCACCAAGGCCAGCAGAGGGGGGGTGATTTCCAGCCCGCCAGGGAGATTGAGGGGGACTCTCTTGAGTCCCAAACTCTTGAGTTTGGGTGTGGGCGGGCCCTCCCCTCCCCAATTCTGGGGCCCTCCTGGCCAGGAGCCTTCTTCCCTGGGGCAGAGCCACCACCACCCAGGTGCTGCCAGATCCTGGCGGGGGGGGGGGCACTTTTATCGATCGTGCTGTCCTGATTTCCCCCCTTTCCCCTCTCCACCCAGGACCCCCACTCCCTGAGGCCATCCCCCCACCCTTGATCGTGTCCATGGGTCATGAGCGCAAGTTCTTCAGCTTCTCCATTTCCTGTTCTGTACTTGGTGTCCCCAGGGCTGTTCTGTGACGACCTGTATTACTTCTCAATCCCTCGCCTCTTCCCCATCCCCCCAACCTCCCGTCCGGCAGCCTTCCAGTAACTCCTTTTCTCTGCTGCTATTGAGAGTCTCTCTTTACCTTCACCCTTTGTTCTAATAACAATGTGTCATGGAGTGGGCCTCTTCATGTCCATTATAACTGGGACCCTGCACTTCCTGGCTGAATGAGGGTGGGCTGACTTCCTGAACCAGGGACTGCGGGGAAATCCCAGGGTGTGAGAGCTGGCAATGCCCCTGGGCGGGAGGCACCCCAGGAAGGGGCCCCCTAGGACGGTCCCTTGCCTGGGCCTCTCCTCACCTTTCTTCCCCTCTGCTTCTGGCTCCTGAAGAGCACGAGGGACAGGCCGAGGAGGGGGCCCCACTCACCGTCCACCAGCAGGGTCCAGAGTAGGCGCAGGCTGGCGAGGGAGACGTCCCTGTGGTCGGACCAGGTGCCCAGGTGCTCCACCAAGTGCTCCAGCAGCCCGGCCTCCTGCAGCTCCTCTGCAGCGAGCCCTGCAGCGGGTGGAGTTGGGGCGGTGGAGACGTTCTCCTCCGGGAAGCCCTCCCAGAGCACCACCCCCGTCCCGCACTGTCCTTGGGCAGGCTGTTCGGTGGTGCACTCCCCGCTACAGGGCCCCTGCTGGGCCCGTCCCAGGTGGTTGTCCCGGGGGCCACAGGCCCCAGCCCCACCCCCTGGGCCACTGAGCAGCCTGGACCCTCTGGGACCCGTCTGGTTCCTGGTGGGCGACCTGACAGGGGGCCTGACCGCCCACCGAGGTGGACACCTGCTATTGTGACGCGCCCTGTCCCCTCCACAGTGGCCCAGTGACGTGTGGCCAGCTGTCTGGTCCATCGCCCAGCTGCCCTTGGCTGCCACGAGCCTCCAGGTGAGAATCTGTGGCTCCTGACCAGGTGCTGGGGGGAGGGGCGGGCGTGTGCAGCCCCCCCTCCTGGTGCCCACCCCGGGGGCCTCAGGAGCCTGGCGGGCAGGCGGACGCACCCTGGCTGCAGATGATGGTGAGGAGACTGTACACGAGCGCCGTGAGCTGCCGGGCCTCCGGGTGGCTCTGCGCGGTGCTCAGCAGGAAGGAGGCGAGCTCGCCGCCCATGGGCACCTCCGCGGCCGGGTCCTGTGCCAGCGCTGCCCGGCCGACCGAAGAGGCCCCGGGTCAGCCCCAGCACCGGGGGTGGGGGCGGCAGCCCCTCACTCTCCGTGCAGGAAGCGGAGGTTGGCCCGGTCCCACTGCCACTGAGCGGGGCCCCGTGAGGGCTTGTGTGAGGGGGTGGAGGACTCACAGGTGGGGGACCCGCCTGATCGTGCGGCCAGTGGCGAAGGGCCGGCGCCTGCGGTGCGGGCCCCCGAGAGCCCACCCAGCTCCCTGGCCGGGGTGGGCACCCACCTGGGCCCAGGATGCGCAGCAGCAGGGAGCTGCCACGCAGCTGGATGTCCAGGGTGCTCTGGTGCAGCTTCATGATGAAGACCAAGTCCTCCACCTGCTCCTCGGGCCACGGCAGACCTGGCAGGGCGGGGGCAGGGGGACACTGGGCAGACGGCAGGCCAGACTGGGCACTGGAGGGGGCCGCCGTCGGCAGGGTGTCAGGCAGGGCGACCATGCTCAGCGTGTTGCCGCCCGGCACCGTCCTCAGGACCACAGCCCTGCGACCAGAGCTCCCCTGCAGCCACCCTCACATGCAGACGCGGACACCGGACGGCACTTCTCTGGACCGGCGTGCCCGTCCGCAGCCCCTGGCCGCGCCTGCCCCAGGACCGCCCCTCCGGGGTCCCGTGGCTTTCCTGCACAGCTGTGCTGTGCACTGGCGAGGGGGAGGGGCAGCGGCGGGTAGGGGACCAAGAGTCCGCCCTGGCCCACTCCTTCCCCACCGCTGCTTCCCCCTCCGAGCCCCTCCCCTCTCGGGCCCGAAGTCCGGCTCCAGGAAGCCAGGCCAGGGCCAGTCCCTGTCCAGACCTGTCTGAAGCAGGCCAGGCTCTGGGGCAGGAAAGGCCGCCATGGGAAGGGGCCCGCGGCCTCCCTCGGTGCCTGCAGGAAGGGAGAAGCACCCTTCCACGGCCTGCTCCGGGGGGTGGCGGGGGAGGGGGCCGGGAGGAGAAAGGCCAGGACCAGGGCTCTGCTGCTGCAGCGTGGGGTCTGGAGGGGGCTCCGTGCTCCGGGGCCGTGGGACGGACCCTGGAGGAAGGATGAGTGGTGGGCAGACGGATGCAGGACTGGTGGGTGCATGGTGGGCAGATGGGCGGACAGATGAGTGGAATAAGCAGCTGGGTGGGTGGACGGACAGATGGATGAGTAAGTGAAAGTCGTTTTCAAGCTGCTGAGACGGAGGCTGAGCGGGTACATTTGACGAAGCCGCATGTTCGCTGAGTTAAAAAGGTCGCATTCGTTGATGGCGTGTTGGGGAAACGGGATGGGGGGCACACCCGTGGGGGGCGGTTTGCAGTGTCTGTGAAAACGTGAGGTCTTCACGCCCTGCACACCCAGGAGTGTGTCCCGTGGAAGCACCCAGGCCCCCGCGTGGGCTCCAGGGCGCTCGGGTGCCGCCAGGGGGGCTGCTGGAAGTGGTGGTGTCTGCGGCAGCAGCCGTGGAGCTCGGTGAAGAGAGGCCACGGGAGACGGTTCGGGCCCTGCACCGGGAGGCGGTGGCCACACAGAACTGAGGCCTCATCCAGGCGGGTCGGAGAGGCACGGGCCCCGTGGGGACAGAGACCGGCCTCAGAAGCACGAGGGACACTACTGGGGGGCGTGGAGAGAGGCCTGGCCCCCCAAGAGGAGCTGGGCGAGGGGAGGGGAGGGGTCCCTACCTAGCTGGTCCTCGGGCATCGTCAGGAGCTTGTTCATGACCTCGAGCTGTACTTCAGCCCGCCCGGGGAAGTCGTACATGACCTCTGCAGGGGACAGGAGGGTGTGGGGAGGGCGTGGAGAGGGGCCCGCCCGCCTCCAGAGCCCGTGCCGCGGGACGGGCCGGGGAAGCGGAGCAGCTAGTGCCTCACCGGCACCCTTCCATAGGAACGGGGCGGCGTGGGCAGACAGCGTGGGGTCCCTGCCGAGCGCCACGTGGCCGGTGGAGGACTGAGCGGCCTGCCCACACCCCACCCGGGACACAGGGCAGGGAGGGCGGAGCCACCGGGGGACCTGAAAGAACCCCTGTGCCCCGGCCTGGGGCGTGTGGTGGGGCCTGGGGCAGGCACCCGGGGTGCGGGGTGCGGGGTGCTGGGCCGGTGACAGAGGCCCGAGGGTGTCTTGTTGCCGACAGAACCCCCACCCCCCGCCGCTTTCTCCCCCCACGGGGATGCACCCGCCAGCCTGGGTTCTGGGCGAGCGCTAACCACGCAGAGAGGGCTGCTGTGTGGGAAACTCTCTGGCTGTGGGGGCCGGTGCTGGGCGATCAGGGGCCGGGGAGTGAGGAGGCTGCTGAGCAACCGCAGGGGCAGGGAAGCGGGTTCGGACGGGGTGCTGGCCCTCGGGAGCTAAGACACCACGGCCCATGGTGTCCCCCACCTGGGCCCCCATCATCACCTAAAATGCTGGACAGGTGGCCTTCCAGCAGGATGCGGGAGATGAACTCGGGCACCGCCCGCTGGTACGGCGCCAGGTTGCCTCTTGGGGACCTGAAGTTGGTGTTCTCCAGGGCCCGTTCAGTGATGTCCCTGGAGAGAGTGACAGAGCCACGTGGCGGGTGAACTGACCCTCGTGGCGCTCCCCAGACGGATGGATGCATGGACAGACGGACACTGGGCAGTTTCAGGACTCTCGGGATGGCCCTGCCCAGGTGGACGCTGGCCCCCGCCCTGCCGTGTGGACTCCATCTGGCACACCTCTCACCTGTCACAGGTGGGTCTCCCTGGCGCCCCAGCAGTCCACCCCTGGGAGGGACCGAGTCCCCTGCCCAGGCGGAGGGAGGAGGGTGCTGGGCCCCAGCACTCCCGCCCCTGTGAGTCCTTCCTCCACAAAAACACACCAAAACCCAGCTTTTGCACCCGCGGTGAAGGTGGACACTGCCCAGGCTGGCTTCAGCGCCGCAGGTCCACTTTTCTCATTTTGAAAATAAACTAGAATCGGCACGTTTGCCGCATCCTGGGGTCACGTGCCCCTCACCAGACGGAGAAGTCGGTCTCGTCCTGTCTGTTCCCCAGGACACGTCACCAGACCAGGCTGGACGGAGACCCCTGGAGACGCCCGCCAGGGGCCGTGCCCGGAACGCGGTGGAGAAGCGTGGACAGACACCGCAGTGCGGGCAGCCCCGGACCTGGAGCTCACCTGACCGTTATCCGCTCCGAGGGGTCGACCTGCAGCATTTCGGGCAGAAGGGAGCAGAAGGTCTCGACGTGGGGGACCCGCCTCTCCCGCACCGCCCTCAGGACGGCCTGCAGGCCCTCCGGCTGGCTCCGGATGGACGTGCGCAGCAGCATGGCCTCTGTGGCCTGCGAGGGGACGGGGATGATGAGTGAGCGGTGAGCGGGTGGGGAGAGGTGGCTGCCACCTCCGCCTTCCACTGGACCCCCGAGTCCTTCTGGAAGGAGTGGTGGCTCAGAGAGAAGCCAGTGTCCAGGGCCATGGGGCACAACCCTCCTTCCTGCCCACCGGCGGGGTCCCTCAGGCTGCGCCGGGCCCCACAGTGGGGACGCGTCACCACTCCAGCCCACAGGTGACAAGCATAGGTCCGGCCCCGATGGCTTGCAGCCGAACCCATCCTAAACTCAAACAGGGACCGCCAGGCACACCTGGGGTCCGTCCTGCCACCGACAGGGGTGATGAGGACGCCTGCAGGGGCCTGGGGTCTCGGTTACCCAGGGCCGGGGGCCGGGGGCAGGCCGGGGTGTGGGGTTTGGGGCTCACCCCCAGGAAGGAGCAGCTGACCATGTCGAGAATGATGCAGCCCAGGGACCAGATGTCGGCCTTCTCCGTGAAGTGGAAGTCGAGAGCCTCGGGCGCCATCCAAGACTTGTGAAGGGGGTCTGTTGGCCAGAGAGGGGGCCGTGAGCCCCGGCCTCCCCAGGGAAGCAGCAGCTTAAGAAAGAAGCCCTTGGCCGCCCTGCTCGGGGAGGCGGGGTCAGCGTCTGCCGGGCGAGGGAGGAAGGGGCCCCCCGCCAGCCCCCCACCCGCCCTGGTCTTCCTGGAGCCGCCTGCCTCGGCAGGTGCCCTCCCGGTGGCTGCCGTGGGTGCAGGAGAAGGAGGAAGGCAGGCTCAGTCTGCCCCCTCTGCGACATCTTGCTCCTTTATTTATTTTTTTTCATTTTTTTGAAAGACTTTATTTATTTTTAGAGAGAGGGAGAGGGAGGGAGAAAGAGAGGGACAGAAACATCAATGTGTGGTTGCCTCTCGCATGCCCCCCGCTGGGGACCTGGCCAGCACCCCAGGCCTGTGCCCTGACCTGAACTGAACCCACAACCCTTCCACCTGCAGGGCGACGCCCAACCCGCAGAGCCGCGTGGGTCAGGGCGCATCTTGCCCCTTTAAACGTAGGTCCTACAGGACCTACGGGGCAGACCTACAGTCGCCCCGCCCTCGTTTCTTAATCTGAACCCGATGAGGAGCCTCCTGAGCAGGGTCCTGGGTCCAGCTGTCAGGCCGTGGCCAGCCGCAGGCAGCCCCTCCCTCTGTGGCCCTCCATTCCCTAGTCCAACAGAGCAGGGGTGGCTGCCAGGGGCCCCCACCATCCACACTCCCAGCAGATCCACCCACCCACCTGTCTGTCCCTTTGTTCACACATCTGTCCACCCATCCGTTTCCTGTGCATCGACCAGCAGGTCAGCGCCACCAGCACCTGCCCCCCAGGGCTCTGGGGCGCCCCACCACAGCGGTGCTCTCCTTCCTGACGCTCCTGCCCTACGCCTGGCTCCCTCTGCCCCGCCGTCATTTCAAAGGTGGGGGAGCTCACGTCCCGGACTCCGGGCTCATCCATCCCAGGGTCCCTTCAGCGCCTGGCCCCCCACAGCCTTCTGTCTGTGCATGTCACGGTCGTCCCCCAATCCCCTTCGTCTCCCCTCACGGTGGTCAGCCCTTTCTGGGGGTTGTGAGGCCCCCTCGAGCCTCCCTCCCCGCCGGCGGGCTGCTGCTTCCACCCGGGGTTTGAGCCTCCGCAAGCCCGGGAGGGCTGTGTGGGGACCTTCGGAGCAAAGACGGTTTTGACATCACCACGTTCCGGCCCTCGGAGCGGCCACCACCCGCTGGACTTCGAGCAGCCAGCTTCAGGTGGACGGCCCTGCCCCCAAGGCTCCCCAGCTACCACAGCCGATGGGGGGGAGGCGACCACCTTCCTCTGCTCGGATGGTCCACTTGGCTCTGTGGGTCATCAGCGCGGCTGCACTCAGGTCCTGCAGCTTGCAATGGTTGCGATTGACCAGGGCCACGTTGGAGGGCTTGAGGTTCCTGAAACCAAGGGGACACCATCACGCCCCACCCACCGGCCCGCGTGTGCCCTGAACCTTACCCCCGCCCCACCCAGCCCCGCCCCTCCCTCCCACGGAGGCCCCTCTGCAGCCCACTTTCCTCCTACACACAGGAAATTCAGCCGGGCATTTTACATTGCAGGAAACGAGCGGCCTGCAGGTGGGGACCCGCCCCATCCTTCTGCGGCTCCTCCCAGGTCTGAGCTTCGATGCCTTAGCTGGTGTGGGGGGGGGGGGGCGGTCGAGCTGGAGCCCTGAGTGTTGCCCTCAGACACAGGGTCCGCCTGATTTCCCCTTCTGGAGCTATGACATGGATCCCACCCAACCTCCTTCCCGGCCCCTCAGACCACAGATGCCAGGGGCAGGACTGGGGGCGGGTCGCAGTCTGGCCACCGACCAGGGCCAGAGGCCACGGCAGCCAATCTCTCCTCCGGTCCGGAGACTGTTATCTGCTCTCTTCCCTTGCACTTTAGAACCGGCCTCGCACTCCCCTGGCCCCCCATGAAGCCGAGTGGGGAGGGCGAGTCCCTGGAGGTCGGGGCGGAGCTCTGGACGGGAGCCAGGCGCATGCGCCGAGGCCCCACCCATCCCCCTGGGTCCCGCACCCAGGCACTGGTGTCCGAGGGGACCCGGCCCCCGACCCCTGTCACCTGTGGACGATGTCCAGCTGATGCAGGAACTCCAGGGCGTCCAGCACCTGGCCCAGCACATTGTACATCCACTGGGGGGAGAGCGAGAGGCGCCGTGTCGCGGGGGCTGCAGCCTCGCTTGGGTGGGTGGGGGTGGGGGCCCTGCAGCTGCTCCTCCAGGTCCGCGACCCCGCCCAGCAGCCAGCAGGACCGGCCTGGCTGCAGGTGGCCTCACCGGCTGAGAGCTCAGACCCCGCACCCCTGTCTCCACTCGGGGACCCCGAGTGCCCCACCCGTGGTTGTGGGCCTGCTGGGCGGCAGAGAGGGTGAAGTCCTTGGTGCCTGCTTGGGCTCACCGATCATGGCAATGAAAAGAGCCCTGGCAGAGAAGGTTCTGGAAGCATCACAAACAAGGGCAACTCCAGGGCAGTGACTGTCCAACGTGCCCCTGGGCTTCCACGCTGGGGTGTCAGCCAGTGGCCGGGTGGGCAGGACCCCGGGATGTCCCCCGTCCACCCTCCACCCAGGCCAGCTCACCGCTGGGCTTCTGAGGACACTCCTGGGCTGGAGAGGCCCCACCTCCCCCGGGGACACGATGTGAGGTGCCCCTGAGCACAGGTACTCGGCGCCCGGGCAGGCGCAAGCCATCTGGGGCGGACCGTGGGGCCTAACTGTGAAAGCCACCTCGACCTAGCTCTGGCCACCACGTGGCCCTGGGGCAGGAGGGGCCTCTCCCACAGGACACAGACACCAGCCCACGGAGGATGCTGATGCGCCGACTTGGCTGCAACAGGGAACTCGCCCTGTTGAGAGAGCCAGCCAGCCCAGCGGGGCAGCTCCGGTGCTTAGAACATGCGATAGGCAGACGTTGTGGGTCTGATCCTGGCCAGGGCTCACCAGCGGTGAGCACACGAGAAGGGGCAACAGGTCGATGGTTCTCTCCCTGTCTGTCCCCTCTCCTCCTCTCTCTTTCAACCCAGTAGGTAAAGATTAGAGAGAAAAAAAGAGAACTGGCGAGGAGAGGACTGTCTGGACGCTTGCACCCAGGACACAGAAAGAGCTCACACAGATCAGCAGGAAACGACAGACAAGCCGGATTGAAAACCCGAACATATATGAGACGGTTTCCACTGGGACGGAAAGTGCTCGCTCTGGTCACTCACGACCACTAAAGCTCAGCGTCTTCTTTCATTCGAGTGAACAGGGGGACTCGCCGAGGCGCGGCCGAGACGCTCCCATGGGCGGTGACAGTGAGCCCCGGGCCGCCAGGCCTGTGGGCAACACGGGAACGGGAACGTGTGCTGGGGCTGCCCACGCCTGTTCTGCTGCCCGGGGGCTGCTCGCCGCGGCGTTTGACCGGGAAAATGAGTGTCTGGGTCACCAAAAGAACCCCAGCCACGTTCAGGGCCGCCTTGTCCCTCACGGCCCCGAATGGACGCGGGCTCGGCATGGCCGTGATGCTGCGGCAGCAGCGGCCACAGAAAGGGAGGTTGTCCGGATGTGCGCGCGGCGCGGGTGGGCCTCAAGGGCGCCACGTGGGGAACCAGGCACGAGCGAGCAGCCCGGGCCGCGTGCCTCACGACGCTGCGCCCGCCGGTCTGCGCACACGGACTTCAGGGCCAGCAGAGGCCGGACCCGGGTCCTGGCTGACCAGGACCCTGTGGCGCTCCGGGAGATTGTGCGGTACGGCCGTGTGAGTGTGCCTAGCTGTATACACGGACCCCAGGACATGGGCAGACAGGCCCCAGGGGCCCTGCCGTCCCCTCCGCCCCACTCCCATTGGGGGGCCTGCGACGTCCTAAGGGTCCAGGTGGCCCCGGACGGTCTGTCTCACCTCCCAGTCGATGACTTCCTTCTCCTCCCTCTTCTCCTCGATGACCTTCTGGAAGCTTCCCTCGCTGTAGGCCATCACCAGGCAGAGCAACAAGGAGGAGGTCTGCTGGGGACAGGGGCCCCTTGGCTGGGGGCCGCAGCTCTGGCCCCAGAAGCCCTGGCCACTTGTTGTCCGTGGTGGCTGGGGGAGCTCTGCCCACTGCGGCCGGGGCACTCGAGCCCCTGTGAGTGCCCCCTGCTCGGGTCTTCGCCCCCCCCCCACGGCACCTGCACTGTGGACGTCAGGGCCGAGGACCCCGCCCCTCCACGGGGAGAAGCACTCCCTGTCTCAGGCTCAGCTTCCGTCTGCCCTCCCTCAGAGGGGCTGCCTGAGGAGGCCCCGGCACAGCAGGTCAGGGCCTCTGAGGAGGGGCAGCAAGGGGACGCCCCCACCCCCAAGCCTGCCTGCTCCCTCTGCGAAGAGCAAGGCACCACCCTCGGGAACACGGACACGCAGGAGCCTTTGGCTGCGGAACCAGCTCAGGGGCCGAATGAGTGAGGTGCCGGAGTCACAGACGCCTGGCCTCACCTCCCGGCTGGGCCACCAACTGGGTGAGAAACTGGGGGACCTGGTGTCTCTGAACTGGGACAACCGCCCCTCCCCACTGAGGCTGTTGGGGCACACCTGCACCTGCCGAGAAAGCCCCCAGTGTGGCCCCAGAAAGTGCCAAGTCAGGGTGGCCACATTTACAGTCACCGCCACTGCCACTCAAGGGGGGACCGTGGTGCGCGGCACTCTGCCGGCAGTCCACCGTTCCTGCAGTTGCCGAGTGACCCACCTGGCTGTTCCACGTGATGAACATCTCCCGGTACATGGAAATGTGGGCGTGCCGAAGCCTCAGCAGCGGCATCAGCTGCGGGCACAAGAACAGAGGAGGGGAGGTGGTCGGGGCCCGGACTCTCCGTCTGTGCTTCCCAGTCCCACACGCCAACAAAAACACCGGCTTCCTGCTCCGGGCAGGCAGGGCACAAGGACAGTGCGTGGCTGGCTGCCGGTTAGCAGCCACGTGACCGGGTCCCAGCTGCAGCAGGTACATGCAGCCTGTGCTGTGTGACGGAGGAGCAGCTCCTCAACCTCTCTGAGCCTCTGAGCCTCACCCGAAAACAGTGTGACCGTGGCATCTGCCTGGCAGGGGTGTCACAAGGACTGAGGGCCCCGATGCTGGCCAAGTACCTGGCGGGGCAGGAAGAGAGACAGGCGGGGTGGCGGGAGAAGGTGGGGGGCTAATGGGAGAGGGTGTACGAGGTGCCCTGGCCTGCCTGCGGGTCCCCTGCCCCCACCCCCAGCTGGAAGTGTGGTGAGAAGGGACACAGCAGGCAGCAGAAAGGACTCCTGCCATCCCACTGTGACTGAGAGCCAGGACTGCGCCCGTGTGGACGGGCTGGACGTGAGACCAGGTCGCCCGGGGGCCGTGGAAGGGGCCGGAACGTGGGAAGCTGTGAGGGTCTGGGGGCCACAGGTGGGCTTTCTGTCCCTCTGTCGGAATGTGGCCTGGGCCCATCCCTGCATGCCGGTCACACTGGGGACCCAATTGCTGTGTTGTGGGCAAGAGTTGAAAGCTGGCCACTGCAGACCCTGCAGACCGAGGACAACGAGGGACGGTCACACAGGGCGGCAGACACCACCCAGTGAAATTCAACCGGGCGACGTGGCTCAGAGCCTTCTCGGAGTGACCAAAGTGTGCAGCAGTCACCACCGCCGCAGCTGCAGCCGGGAGGGCGCGCCGGCTCCGCCGGGGGAGCGAGCGGAGACGGTGCACAGCGCCCTTGCTGCACAGCTCTGTGCTTTCCGGGGCTCTGACTGGGACGGGCATTTTCATCACTGGAAACATTTTTTAGGAGGCGGTTACTGGGAGACGAGCCGAGGGACTGGGTGGACACGCGCCCGTGGCCTCCTCTGAGAACGTGCACATGGACTTGTCTGCGCCCAGGTGGACAGGGGCCTGTTTGAGTGCAGATGAGCTTCACAGCCTGCCGGCTCTGGTTCCCCCTCCTGCCACCACCCAGGCTTCCCCCATCACTCTGCGGGGAGCCACCCAGGGTTACCTCCTCCAGGGCCTCGTTGGCATGGTGATCGTCAAGGCATTCCACCTGCAGAGATGCACCGGCACTAGTTCAGTAAACAGGTCGTGAGCCTTCACCGCCATCACTGCTAACACCACCACCGACACCATCTTTACCGTTACCATCTCTACCATCACCAGCACCATCAACACCGCCTGCACTGACTTTTTAAAAAGCTCCTGTTTGCCCAGGAGACAACGAGGCCATCCCCGCATGGGCCAGCGATGGAGCGAGAGGTGGGTGAGGACTCCAAGCCCACAGACAGGAGGCCTGGCAGAGCAGAAGGGCTCGCCGCCGGCACGGGTGTCCCCACCATCTCTACCACCAGGGGGTGCCAGCTTGTTCCCCTGGGCCCCTAGCTCGCCAGGCCCACCAGACTTGGACACACAAGGGCTGTCCCGCTACAGTGTGCACTGCACCCTGCTGTGCCGGACAGAGGGCCTGGTGTCTGGTTCTTAGCTCGGTGTGACCTTGGCCGAGTCCCTGCCCCCTTTTGTAAAACTGGGGGCCCCCAGGGAGGCAGCTTGAGTTCAAATCGTCTTGGGGGCTGCGTGACCCCGGCGTGCGTTCAGCCTCCCAGAGCCCCGCCACCTGTCCGGGACTGTGAAGTGGGACCGTGGCTCCGGCTTTGCTGGGCCAGCGGGAACTGAATGAGATGACACTTCACTGAATTTCTGGTTGTGGCTGCTGTCAGGGTGAAAAGGGGCACTTTCTCTACATCGAGGTGACAGCCACGTGTGAGGGGAAGCTGGAGTGCCTCGCGCTACCCCATACCACCCCTGCCTGACTGGGTTTGCCTGGAGGCTGCTGGCCGGAAGGAGTCCAGCTGTGTCTGTCGCATCAGGAAGCCCCTTGACAAGGGGACCCGCCCTCACTGGGTACCTGGGCACAGCCGCTTACCTGCTTCAGCACAAGCCTTCTTTTGCTTTTTCTGTCCTCCACCACCAGGTTCACCCCCAAGGCCCCGGGGTTCAGCTGGTCCAACACCTACCAGCAGAAAGGGAAGAGGCTTTCAGGAAACTCACCCAGCTTTTCCCATCCCAAAGTGCGGTCGGCTCCCCTGCCTTCCCTTCCGGCCCTCAGGCGTCTCCACCCTGTCCGGCAGACAGAGAAAATGACTGGCGAGGCCTAGGAGCTGTTCGAGGCTTGAACCCGAGCCCAGCTCTCCGGGGCCAGCTCCGGAGCTCTCCCCTCAGCCCTGTGCCCGTCTTCAGTTTGCAGCGAGGACCAGCAGCACCCGAGAGCCAGCCCAGAGTTCGTCCCTCCCTCCGCCCCCACGACGCCGCCCCCCCCCCAAACTAGGCATCCAAACAAGAAAGTATCTGGTATAATCATAGGCACAGCCACGTGTGTGCCTGGCAGCATGCCATGCACTCTGCATGCCGGTCCCCACTCCCGCCATCTCCATGTCCACGCTGGGGGAGGCGAAGGCCCAGGGGACAGGTCCTGCCCAAGGCTGCAGCTCTAGTAGATGAGACAGCCTAGATTAGACTGGAACTCACTCAGGGTCCGACCCTGGAGCCTGGCCAGGAGCCGGACCTGCCGAGAGATGGCCGCCACTCGTACATGGGCGTCAGGGGGCAAGGCTGGATGATGGATGGAGGAGGCGGGGCGGGTCACAGAGGAGAGGTGGGGGGGCAGAACCTCGGGTCTCGGGGCTTTCTGAGTCCAGAAGAGTTTGAGGGTCCTGTGACCCAGCCCCTGAGAGCAGCCTGGACCCCGCTCAGGGAGTGACAGGGGCAGCGTCCTGAGCCGGCGACGCTGCTGTGAGATGCGCAGGCCCTCATCCAGGGCGGCAAACTGCACAGAGCACCTAGGTGCAGGGTCACCATGTTTTTCTCCCCTGAAACGGTGACTTTACCTCTAAACCTCTGGCCCCCCGAAACCCCCTGCTTCACCACCGGTGGGCTGCCCTGGAGTCCTCCAAAGTGAGAAAGAAAGTTTCAGGCACAGATGATTTTCTGGAGAATGGCATTTTCACAAAGGCCACACCGAACATTGTGTGGAGTTGACGTGTTACCCACAGAAGCATTTAATTAGACGTTCACGGGTTTGAATTCTGCAGCTTTCCTTTGGTGAATGTTTCAGGTCCTACACCTGTTCACAGGCCAAGGAAACGGCCCGAGCCCCCCTGCTGGGGACTACTGACAAGGTGTGTTGGGAGTTTGGGGGCTCCTATGAACTGTGGGCATTCTGGGTGTCCTGTCCACGTGGGCCCAAGCCCACGGACGGGTGAGAGGAGGACGGAACTGTCCTCTATGGGCAACATTCAGGCAGATGAGGCCAGGGAGTCCTTAATTTCATCCACGGTTTCAAAAAGGGGTAAAGTGAGGCCCAGAGAGGCAAAGGGCACCCAGGAGGCCACCTTTGGGGGAACCCTCCGAGTTGGAGGCAGTCACTGGCCAAAAAGCGTGTCCAGCGCTTCCTTGGTGGGGGAGAGCACACTCGCAGCCACTACCGAGACTGCGACCGTTAAACCAAGAAGGGGTTCTGGGTGGCAGCAGGAGGTCCAGGTCCCTTGTGGCTTATCCCAGACAGTCGGGCCCTTGTCCCCCCAGCCTCCCTGCCAGGGGACACCTCGGCACCTTGTACTTTTCCATAATGACTCGTCCTTTATCTCCCTCGGTGGCGCGCTAGCAGTGTGCCCCCAGCCGGCGCCAGCGGTGGGACCCTCGACTGAGCATGTTCAGTCGGACCGCATCTTGGCAAGCACCCCATCCCCCACCCTGGGGAAGACCCTCGGCCCGGAGTGTGTCTCCCTGACCACGTGACCCTCCTGCCCAAACGGCATCCGCGGGGCCGCCGGTGTGTCCCTCTGGCGAGCGGACGCTAAGAGGCCTGACCGTTTTAAATTTCGTGCTGTGTGAAGTATCCAACACCGTGGGCGGGGCCGAGCGCGATGGGCGGGGCCAGGAGGGGCCGACGACCTCAAAGCGCGGTGGGCGGAGCCTAACGCGTGATAGGCGACGTGGGGGGCGGGCCTAAGGGCGCGGAGGGCGGAGCGGCGAGCGCGGTGGGCGGTGTGGCTGCGGGTGGTGCGAGGCCCCTTTAAGGCGCGGCCCGGGCGGGCCCGCCGGCGCGGCCCCTTTAAGGCTTGGCCTACGTGGCAGCCGACTAGAAGCCAGGCCGGCCGCCGGGCACTTCCTGTGGAGGCCGCAAAGGGCGCGGGTGCCGAAGGGGCGGACGCGGAGCGAGCGAGCGAGTGAGCCGAGCCTCCCGCCGCCGCCATGGGCCAGAACGACCTGATGGGCACGGCCGAGGACTTCGCCGACCAGGTGCGGCCTGCGGCCCGGCGGCCTCCCCGCCCCGGGCCCCCTCCCCCGAGCCCCCTCCGCCGGCCTCCTCCTCCGGGTCCCCCGCTCTCCACTCCCGGACCCCGCGCCCCGAAGGCTCCCAGAGCCGGCCCTCCTCCCCGAGCCCGGCAGGGTCTCCCCGAAGCCTGGGCCGCGTCTTCACCCCTCGGATCCCACCGATCTCATCGCTGGGATCGTACCCCCTCCCCCCAACCACGACCCTTCGGCCTGGGCTCGTTGCCTCTCCCGGCCTGGGACGCCCCCAGACCCAGCTCCCGAGCCCAGCCTGCCCCACCACGATCTCCTCACCACGGTCTGGGGTATATTCTCGGTCCCTGCTTCGGCACTTAGCTCCGGTGACCCGTCCCCCTAGCCTGGCCCGGCCTTCCTGGAAGGCGAGGGGTGTGAGCGGCTGCCTCTCCGCCCCCTGAGGCCGCGGCCCGAGCCCTGGGGGGCTTGGGGAGCGCCCCCCATTCCGGCTGCTGGGGTGATCCCTGCCCGCCTCTCCTTTGCCTGGGCACTCCTAGGAGGCGGGGTGGGGAGCTGGATGCTGAAGCGGGGTTGGTCAGACAAGGCAGTCTGGGGGTCCTCCTGGAGGAAAGGGGGCGCCCTGGTATGCACCCCAACGGCAGAAAGCACAGCCCTTTTCTTTTCTGTTCCCCAGGTGTGTGGACTCGGTGGGGTCCCCTTGACCCCACAGTTTCCCTCCCTGGACTCTGCCCCGGGGCAGAATTGAATAAGGATCTGTCTTACACAAGCCCGGGAGGAGGGGACGCTGGGCTTCCCTGGTTCTCCTTCCCAGGCTGCCCGGGCAGGCCAGGGGAGCCGCCAGGTGGGCGGCTGAGTGAGGCTGTCAGATCAGAGGTCCTCCTGGCAGGCAGAGGGGACATAGCACCCAGCCTTGGCAGAGAGGGGGGGGTCCCTCAGTCTGCAAGCTGGTCCTTGTCCGCCGGTGGCCCCAGACAGGCATTCGTATAGGCTTTGCCTGAGTTCAGAGCAGCGAGGGCCAGTTCCTGACTCCGGGGGAGGGGGACACCCAGCCACCCAACTCTGCGGCTACGATTCTTGGAAGACTTGTGTGTGCTTTTTAAAAAACAAAAAACGAGTGTTTTCTGATTAGTTATCAGTGAACAAGATTTTCCGTTTCGCCCCCGGGGTGGCTGGGTCCCCAGTGTCCCGCTTTGCTGTGGCCCCATGCTATAAAAACGGTAGGGGTGGGGGCATTGCTATGGAGCTCAGCCTTTCTTGAGGCTTCCGCCTGGAGTCTGCAGGCACAGTTTCAAACCTGTACCCTTCTCAGAGCCAGGCTCTCCAGAACCACGCAGGCCTGGTCGGTGTTCACTGACATAATGTTGGTGACCCAGTTTTATCTCCCCAATCAGCAACCCCTGGGAAAGTCAGCTCCTTTCAGCCGAGGGAGCCGCGAGGGCCGGGGCCCTGCCGTTCGGCCTGGAGGAACCTGATTTTGCAAGTGAATTTCACAACCAAGTCCAGACACAACGGCTCTGGCCAGGCTGCTGCCGACTGTCACACGGTCAGCACCCTGCCAGCAGGCACTGCCGTCTGTCCCGGCCACGCGCCCTCTGTGCATTCTGACTGCTTTACACGAACTCGCAGAATCTGGGGCCCGGAAAGGCCCTGGTGGGGCGCGCAGGGCAGTGGTACCAAGTGAGGGCTGCGCCGGGAAGACCAGCGAGGCCCTCCAAGGCCAGAGTCCCTCCTCTGGCGTGAGGGCGAAGAGGCGCACGCAGCCTGAAAACCAGAGTGGCCCGGGAGGGTGGGTTGGCTGCCCTGGGGATGGCAGAGGTCATGTGGGTGACGCAGGGGTCTAGAGGCCTGGCCCTGCTACCCTAGGCAGGTCCACGCAGCAGAGCCGGAGTCTCGGCTTCCCGGGAGCAAATGTAGCCCAGCTGGGTTCGCACTCTTGTTTGTAATGTGTCCACATAGTGGCAAAGCTAAGCAAGCAGCCAGTAACAGAGGGACGAGAGTCCAGGCCTTTCAAGTGAACGCGATCTAATCTGAAGGGAATGGGGAAACATCAGACAGTGCCACGTGCCTGCCCTTCTCTAGCCTTTGCCTTCAGAAAACAGAAGCAGAGATGAAGTGGCGGGATTTGACCCGGAAGCCAGAGTTGCTGAGAGCATCACAGAAAAAGGCCCGTTCACCCTCGGGCAGTTAAGCCAGGAACTCTGGCCCTTCCTGCACCGTCCCGGGGCCAGCCCTCTGTGCACACTGCTCTGGCCCGAGGGGGACCAGCCAGTGTCTCCGTCCTCGGACGTGGAGGGAGGCTGCATGGCCGTCCGTGACCTTTCATTGAGGTTCACAGCGGCGAGAGCGCAGGGTGAGCCGTCTGGTTAGCTGGCCCTGGCATCAGGCCCTTGCCCTGGGCAGCCTGGGACAGCGCCCTCCCACCCCCAGGGGGCCAGGTGCCGCAGAAAGTGCTGAGTGTGCTCCTTGTGGGAGCCAGGCGCTCAGCAGCCACCGGAGCTCGGTCTGCGGGGCTGAGGCGTGTGAACTCAGCGTCCCGCAGAGACACCCCACTCTGCGCTGGTGCTCTCGGCCCATGTCCAGGACGTGACACCCACCAGCTGGTCACCAAGGTGACGTGCACACGGCGAGGGGCCATTCTCCAGTGCGGTCTTGCCCTTGTCTCCTGCCCCCCGGTGTGACAGAGCCCGGCCAAAGGCTGTCACCCCAGGAGCTCCTGCAGCCTCTGGGAGAGTGCTGGGTGGTGAGGACAGCCTCACAGCACGCTGCCCCAGCACGGCCACTGCAGTCAGGCCCTGGGCTCACAGCCCACGGGTGCCATGCATTTTCCTCTGCTCTGACCCTCATCCCCACCCGCCACCAGGGCTTCCTGCCCTGCGCTTCAGGAGTGGGGAGAGAGGAAGGCAGAGCGCTGACGCCCTCTTCCCCGCTCACCTGTCTGGGGTGGGGACTTGGCGAGGCTGTGGTTAGTGAGGCTTCCTCGGGGCAGGGGGGGTGAGGCGCCGCTGGGTTCTCTGCCGTTTGGCTGTGCCCCTGCGGTTAGGGAGCCCCTCTGTCACCTGTGGCCTGTCTGTGGAGAAAGCCCAGCCGACCTCTGCCTGTCCCTCCGGGTGCGGCACGAAGCCAAGGGGCAGCACTCGGGGAGACCGGCTGGGAGTCCTGGGCTCACAGTGGATGTGCCGGAGGCAGCGCCGCAGGCTTGCGTGGCCCGGCCCACGAGAGCACAGCCCCTGACCTTGGCGGTAAGGAAGGCCGGCCGCCTGTTCCCTCCTCCTCGGAGTTTCCACTAGCCAGGAGGCGCAGGCGGCCTCCCTGGCCCTTGGGCCCGGGACAGGAAGAGAAAGTGGGTGTGCGCCGTGCCGGCACTGCAGGCGGCACTGCAGGCGGCTCCGTCCCAGAGTGACGGCTCAGTCTGGTGTCCTCGCGCTTCCTGAGTCCCCTCAGGGCTCCGGAGTAGCAGCCCCTTGGGAAGAACCTCAGCTGCTGTCAGCGGGGCTTGGTCATGAGCTTCGGAGACCCTGTGAAAGGCAGCCCTCGGGGTGGCTGTCCCTCCCGAAGGTGCCTCCAGCCCCAGTCGCTCCGGGCCCTGGGCCGAGGGCTGCTGGACGCCAGCCTAGTGGGACCACCAGCCAGGTAACAGCTCCCCCCCGGGTGCTGCCCGGGGGCCCGTAGCCAGGTCCTTCTCTGCCCCCCGAGGGAGCACTGGCCTAGGGACACTGCCGAGAGCAGCTTGGAGTGGGCTCAGTGGCCAAGTCTGAACCAAGGTGACTGAGACCAATGTCGGAGATGAGGTGGGAACCGGGCTGGGCCTCATGCCGTTGACCACGGCTCTTTCCCTCGTGTCTAGTCGCCTTGGGTGCCACTGGAGGGTGGCCAGGGGCGGGGGGCATCTGTGTACGGGCCGGACAAGGAGACAGGAAGGCCGCCTGCGTCCAGGCCACACTTGACTTTGGAAGCCAGGTGCTCGCTCGGGTCAGAGCACGGGGCCTGGGCCGTGGCGGCAGGTTTCCACAGGGTGGCCACAGCCGTCCCCCCCCCCCCCCCCGGCCTGTCTGCCCAGGGGGCGGGGGGCAGTGAGTCACCCGTCTGAGGGAAGGCTCTGCCGTTGCTCTTTCATTCTCCGACCCAGACACTGAAATTAGGAGTCCGGGCTCGTCCTGGAGGCCTCCCGCCCGCCAGCCTCCTGCAGACAGGGCGCGAGCCCAGGGCGCCGGCTCGCGGGCCTGCCTGGTGAGCGCCACTTGGGAAGTAAGTCAGAGCACCGCTGCCCTCCGTCCTTGCATCCTGCCTGCCGTCCCCCCAGCCCCCACCCACCCAGCGGCCCACCATGGCTCTAGTCTCTCAGTCTACTCGGCCTCACCAAGCACCCACCCTGGGCTGTGACGTCCCCGGGAGCCCTGTCCTGCTGAGGCCTGTGTCGTTGCTAAGGTCTTGGTGAGGCCCTGGCAGGAGGCCTGGCTGCAGGGGGGGTGCTGTGTGCCTGCTGGGGGCCAGGGCGCTCGCACCGTTGCTGGGCATTTTGAAAGTGTCGTCCGGCAGGAGCGGGAGGGGGCATGGTGCCCTCTGTCCCGAGCCCTGTCTGCTGTGGAGCTCACAGTCGTGCGGGGCGTGCGTGTCCTGTGCGTGTTCTCTGCGTGGACTCCAGCACTGACCGGGAGGGCCTGGGACCCCTTGTCACAGAGGGTCCGCACCCCACCCCTTCCCTCCGGCTCGATGAAGCTGGCGCAACCCTTACAGCTGCTTCGCCAGCTGCCTTCGCGGTGGAGAGGGTAGCACGGGCCCCCCACAGAGCACTGTGGTCACACAGCTGGTGGGGAGCGGAGCCGGGAGGCGGCCCCAGTGCCCGCCTCTGCCCACGGGGACCGCCGTGCCCGCCTGGCTGTCTCTGTCATCGTGACGTCTGCCATCGCTTTGGGACGGGGGCGAAAGGGGCTGAGCAGGTGTGTGGAGCCGACCACATGGGGCTCCAGCCCCTCACGTGGAAGAGGATGGCGCCCAGTGTGAGGCCACTCGCTCCCTCGGCCCCTGCTTGGTCACCCTGGCGTCCCCGTGTGCTCGGGCCAGTTGCTCACCGGTGCACAGGGCGGCGTTAACCACTCCCCGCACCCTCACTCAGCTTTCAGACACACTTTCGTCTGCGCCTCCGTCTCCATCCCTGCGACGGGCTTATCAGCCTGCAGAGGGCCGGGCGTCGGTCGGCCTGTGCTTTTGAGGGTCGAGCTGGCCAGCGCCCTTTGGACTCGCGCCTGCTGACACATCGGTCCTGTGGGCGGGTCCCCGGTCTTTCTCCCCAGTTCCTGCTCTGTTATCATGTGCCCAGGGCTTCTGTCCCTTTGTACCCCAGCTGCGCTCCGCTGGCGGGCAGCTGTGCCCGGGGCACCCCTGGTGACGCTTGTCCCCCTGTGTCCCCCTGCGTGTGTCTCCTGAGCACACGTCCTAAAGGGCACAGAGCAGGGGATAGCAATCGACATGCTTCTCTTTGACGTCAGCCTGGGACTCTGCTCACCTGCCTGTTAGTGCCGCCCGCCGCACCTTTCGTGGGTTTAGTCTGCGAGACCTACTCGGGCCCCTCAGAGAGCCCTGAGCCTCCCAGCTGCTACCCGCACCAAGTCCAGCTGTTCACCGGCAACTGTTTGCCAGCAACAGTGCGCCCGCAGACGCGGAGCCCCGGGAGGTGCCGGCTGGGTGTGGGTGGGGAGACCAGGCGGGCCAAGTGCGAGGCCGCCGGGGCTGGAGCGCGGTTGCAGCCGAAGTGGACTGTCATCTCAGGGCACTCTCCACTCTGGCCCATCCTGAGGGTCTCTGCGCACCACTGGGTGGTCAGGGCAGAGGGTCAGTGTGGCCCTGGGCGAGCCCTTTTCCCCGAGGTTCTAAGCTGCCGAGGCCCGGACCTGGGGGGAGGCCCGGACCTGGGGGGAGAGGCGGCGTCTTGAGACAGTTCTTGCTTGGTGGCCACTAGACCTGTCTGCCGAGGAGGCCATAGAAGGGGGTCTCGCTGTCACCGTCACCCCGTCACTGTGTGGGCTCTGAGCCCGGTGGCCCGGCGCTGGCGTGCTAGCAGCAGGGGCCGGGGAGCGGGGGCTGGCCCGGCCGTGGCCCCTCACCGGCACCTATGGCCCGACAGTTCCTCCGCGTCACGAAACAGTACCTGCCGCACGTGGCGCGGCTCTGCCTGATCAGCACCTTCCTGGAGGACGGCGTGCGCATGTGGTTCCAGTGGGGCGAGCAGCGGGACTACATCGACAGCACCTGGGGCTGCGGCTACCTGGTGGCCTCCACCTTCGTGCTCCTCAACCTGCTCGGGCAGCTAAGTGCGTGGCCCCGGGGCGGGCGGGCTCCCTGGTTGCTGGGTGTTTGGCCCTGGCTGGTTGTGGGGGGCCTTGCTAACAAGGGGGACCCGGCCCCTGCATTCAAGGGCCCAGTGCAGGAGATGTGGCTGAGCCAGGTGGGCGGGGGCGGAGCTGGGCAGTGAGAACCCAAGGCGTCTGGAAGGATGAATCCGGCAAAGGGGACAGACTGGGCCAGAACGCAGCTCCTGGGGGCCTGGGGCCTTCCTCCGCCACCAGGCAGTGTGCGGAGGGGGGCGGGGGCTGCAGCCTGTGCACCGGTGGGCAGGACGGGCACGAGCCCATGGCGGCTTTCTGGCTGGCTCGTGGGTGGGGCTGTGCCTGGCCCTCCCCCTTCTCACAGCCTGAGTGTTGCACGGGGCGGCTTGCTCCTGAGGGCCTGGTGGGGCAGCGTCTCCTGGCCGCGCCCTCTGACGCTGGCCTTCCCCTTCCCAGCCGGCTGCATCCTGGTGCTGAGCAGGAACTTCGTGCAGTACGCCTGCTTTGGGCTCTTCGGGATCATAGCACTGCAGGTAACCACAGTGAGCGGTCGGGCTTGGCTCCGGAGCCCCGGCGCTGCCAGGGGCGTGTGCGGGGCCCTGCTGCTTCCTGCTGTGGCTGGAGAAGGGCTCGACTTCCCTCCGGGCCACTTGGACCTGGGGCAGCAGTGCAGGGCCGGGCGGGCTGCACCCTGCGTGGGCACCCAGCACCGGGTGCCCCCCTTCACCACCCTCTGGGGGTGAAGCAGCCCTGGCTAGTCAGAGGTGGCCGTCAGCCCACGGCCTCGGGGTCTGGGCCACCGTCCCTGACCGTCCGCTCTTCCTGGACGCCTGGGCTCAGCTGACTCCGCAGGGCGTCCAACCTCGGCTGTCGTGGGCGTCCTGGGTGGTTTGAGTGTTTTCTGTTAGAACAACTGCCTCGTGCTGTAACTCGGTGGGAAAGAGGCTCTGGGAAGGTGCCACCACCCTAGTGTCTCTGTCCTCTGTCCCCCAGACGATCGCCTACAGCATCTTATGGGACCTGAAGTTTCTGATGAGGTACGTGCACTCCGGTCGGAGCGCGTGCCGTCACCTCCCTCCCCAGCTCGGGGCTGGGGCTCTGCCAGGCTCCGGGGGGGTGTCAGCGGGGCCTCCCTGCCCAGGACCCCTAGCACACCAGTGAGAGCAGTGGCCTCTCCGGACCCTGGGTTTCGTGGGGAGGAGGGGGGTCGGGTGCAAACACACCGGTTCCCAGGGACCCAGCTGGTCTGCAGTGAAGCCGAGGCCAGCACCTGCTCCGAGGGTGTCGGTGACCCTCGCTGTCTGGTGGCACAGACACACCTGGGTCTTCAGTCAAGTGAGTAGTGGGACTCCACAAACTGGACACAGCTCTGGGGCCCTGGGGACCCGCGCCCTCTGTGTCCTGGTCAGTCTGCAGAGTGGGCAGAGGGCCCAGCCTCCCAGTCGGGCCTGGTGCTGAGCGCGTCTCTGCCCCGCAGGAACCTGGCCCTGGGGGGCGGCCTGCTGCTGCTGCTGGCAGAGTCCCGCTCGGAGGGGAAGAGCATGTTCGCGGGCGTGCCCACCGTGCGGGAGAGCTCCCCCCGGCAGTACATGCAGCTGGGTGGCCGGGTGCTGCTGGTGCTCATGTTCATGACCCTGCTGCACTTCGACGCCAGCTTCTTCTCTGTGAGTACCGCCTCCTGGCCACCCGGCCTCCCGGCCTCCCTGCGCGGCTGTGTGTGGAGTGGGGCCCTGGGTGGCCGGGCGGAGTCCAGGGAGCAGCAAACTCCCAGGCTCCTGTGTGCCAAGAAGGCGCCTCCATCTGCACCAGGTCCCCGGCGCCGGTCCCTTAGGCAGACCCCATTTTTCCTCTGCTTTCTGCCCTTTACCGCATCATCTTTGATGCTGGGGGCGCAGAGTTAGAGAAGGTTCTGCCCTTGTCCCCCAGGGGCGTACCAAGCAGGCCTTGGCCGGCAGGCTGCGGGGCCGGGAAGGCTGGTGCTCCGGAGTCCTCCGGGCTCAGCCTCGAGCTGTATTGGGCCATTGACCAGCCGTGCACAGACCGCTGCTGCACCTCCTGCGCCCACGGCCCCTGGGCACATCCCCACCTGCAGCGCACCCCCCAGCTGGCAGCCGCCGTTTCGGCAACCCCTCAGCCCCACTCCGGCCCTGGCAGGGACACTTCAGTGCCAGGGCCCATTTGTAAGGCACGGCCTGCCTCTCCTCACATGCGCCCGCGTTTCTCACCCCCCCGGCCACGCAGATCCTGCAGAACATCGTGGGCACTGCCCTGATGATCTTAGTGGCAGTCGGCTTCAAAACGAAGCTGGCCGCCTTGACCCTGGTTGTCTGGCTGTTCGCCGTGAACGTGTACTTCAACGCCTTCTGGACCGTGCCCGTCTACAAGCCCATGCACGACTTCCTCAAGTATGACTTCTTCCAGACCATGTCGGTGATCGGGGGCCTGCTCCTGGTGGTGGCCCTGGGCCCCGGTGGCGTCTCCATGGACGAGAAGAAGAAGGAGTGGTAGCGAGCCCCGTGGCCGTGGAGGACCGGTTCCAGGGACAGCACCTACGCACCCTGCCCCCTCCCCACTCCGTAAAGGCACAGATGTTTGAGAACTTTCTTTGTAGACACCTGAAAACTGATGGCCAAATCTGCTCTACGCCCACCCCTGGCGGCCTGACCATTTGGTGCCGGCCGGACGGCGAGCACAGCCCTTCCCCAGCAAGGTGTCGGCCCGCCTCCGCCGCTTGGCACAGGCGGCTGGGCGGCCACACCTCCTCCTGTCCAGTCTCTCTCTTGGGTGATGGGGGCCTTCAAGCTGTACTGTGAGCAGATACATCTGTGTATCCTTCAAAGCAGTCTCCCTCTTATTTTTTTTAAGGTTTACGTTTTTAGCTAAAACTACTAAATGATCTATTTCGGATGGCCCAGCCACACCTCAAACACTGTCGAACTCCCTGGTTCAGAACCGCCCCGTGGTTTCCACGGTGCCTCTGCCTTGTAACATGTCCTAGGGGTGGTGGGAAAGTTTAGAGGAACCCCAACCCCCCAGAACCAGGTGGTACTAGAGGGGCTGCTCACAGTTCCTGGTCAAAGTCATTGATGAACCAGAAAACTGGCCTGGACCGATGTAGTTCACACCGGGTCACACCCTGGGAGCCAAAGGGGCTCACGGTGGGGATGAGGTTCTGGTGGAGCCCGGGGCTGCCACCACGGTGGCAGAGCCAGGCAGCGCTGGCCCACGGAGCAGACGCCTCACACTCGGCCTTTTCACACCTGGTGGGCGGTGGGCAGAGCCCGCCCTGGCTGGGCGCCACCTGAGTTTTCCCTTTGGCCTGAGGGTCCTCCCAGGGCACGTGGCCACGGCTGCGTGTCCACGCGGCTGTTGCCCGAGCAGAGCACTCTGCGTGCTTTGCTGACTGCAGCCCAAATCTCTGCGCCTTGTGACGATGCCTGACCGACTCGGACCCGACACCCGTGGCCGAGGTTTTCGGATGTGGCCTTGCGCTGCGTCTCTGTGGGCGTGAGTGCTGCGCACTGTCCTGCACCCATCCACGTCCCGGCAAAGGCCACCAGGGGAGCCGGGACACCCCAGGTCCTTCAGGGGCAGGCCCCTGTGGCCAGGCCAGCCAGACGTGGAAGGGGGCCCGTGGCCTTTCAGAGCCTGCCCTTGGGGCTTGGCTTTCCCTGGCCATCAGCTCTGTACAAGCCTGGGGTCCCCAGGGTGGCCAGGGGTCTGGGCCGTCTCTGCCTTCCAGACCAGCCGGCGTGCTGCACAGCCTCCGAGCCCCAGGGCGCTGCTCAGGGAGGGGAGGCTGCCTTTCGCCCACCAGGGCCCTTAGAACCATACCTGGCTCTGTGGCCCGAGCCCACCTGTCACAGCAGACTCATCCCGAGTGTTACCTAGACAAAGCCGTGGCTGCAGGACAGGGCATCTCTGCTCCTGGTCACTCGCTACCTAGAGTATTTGCTTTCTGACTCTGCCTGGGCCCAGGGGCCTCTTGTCCACCACCCCCAACACAGCCTGCCAGCTCCACTGAACGGCACTCCCCAGCCCCGAGACCTCTGTGGGTCTGTGGAGGCAGGCGCAGCCAGGAGGCGTGGCCCCCTAGTCGCCGGCAGGAGGTTGCGGCCCGGGTTGGGGCAGGTGCTGTTGCGGGAACAGGAAGCGATCGACCAGTTGGTATTGGCAAAGATGATTTCTGAAAATATTTTTTGCTTTATGAGGGAAAATAGGTATCAATCTCATCATATGCTGTATTTTGTATCTTAGTTGTGTTCGAAAACATTTTGATTTTTGGAAACACCAAAATAAACAATGGCGTTTGTTGCACGTGGTGTGACCCTCGGGTGCTGTCCGGGGAGCGGGGCCCACCCCGGGTACTCCTGGCTCTGCAGGAACACCTGGGCCTCGTCCACACAGGGCCCTTCCCTCCGTCCCTGCTGTGTCCTAGGAGCAGAGGACAGCGCCCTGCCACGGGGGCAGCCAAGCGGCAGACAAAGCCGGGGACACCCGGCAGCACAGATCTCGCCGTGGGCCGCCAGCAGAGGACCACCACGCGCCGCCCTGACTCTGGGAGGCCATGGTACGTTAACCTGAGTGCTTAAAGGAGCTGAAGCGCTTCGGCCGGCGGTGACAGCTTCTCGACTTCTTCGACCCGCTCAATGGCTTCTGTGGTGGGGACGGAGCACCAGTCAGCACCCGGGTGTAGGGCGGCAGGGTCGGGGCTCCGCCTGCAGCCTCCCCACCCCCTCGGGCCCCACTGGAGACATCGCTTCTGACCCCAGCCATGCGACAGACACAGACTCATCCAACCCCGTTCTGCTCACCCACCGGAGGGGTCAAGGTCCCTGCACTGGCCAGAGGGGCTCCTGCTGCACCCTGGCAGCGCCCCACAAAGACCAGGGAGCCTGCTCCTCGCAGTGTGGACCCCAGAGCAGCCTGGAATGGGGCTCACGGGGGTGGTGCCAGCAGGGTGCATTTCCTGCCGGGGGGCTCCCTCCATCTCTCTAAGGGAACCGAAAACTACCGCCAAGGAAGCTGCTGCCGGTCACAGCCCTGCCTGCCCCTCACCTTCGGGCACTGGAGGGCCGGCCCCGGGGCCACCCCCACCTCCTGCGAGTCCCCCGGATGTCCTGGCCTCTCATCCTTGTCTGTCAAAACGCCATTGGGTTCGCCCCTGTGCTCGGCCCCTCCTGGGTGCTCTTCGGTGAACAGCTCGGCTGCGAGGGATCAGGTTGGGGGCGGAGGTGAGGGTGGGGGGCACAGGCCAGAACCCACTCGCTGCTGGAAACGGACAGGACAGCCGTGACCCGAACACTACCCGAACCCAGCCAACAGGAGGGCAAAGGGAAAGGGCGTGTCCCGCTCACCTGGGTACAGGTCTGTCATGCTGTCATCACTGTCGAGCGGGGCCGTGTCACCATCATCATCGCTGGACTCCGGCTCCCAGAAGGCTGCTCTCAGGCGGGGTGGCCCGTCACTGTTTGCCTGGCCTTCCCTCCTCCTCCTCTTGTGCAGAAGGCAGGTGGGCACGAACTCCACACCCTGCTTGTGACACTCGTCATCTGCAGGACAGGCCGGCACACTGCCCAGGTCTCCCCGTGTCCAGCCCCCAGGCCCCATCCCCCTGGAAACATGTCCACAGTGACAGGGAATGCCACCAGCTCAGGTCCTCCCAGGCCAGGAGAGGCCAGCAGGAGTGTGACCAAGGGACAAGAAGGCGGGACAAGTCTACTGGGCCTGGAACACCCTCCTGCAGCTGGGAGGGCAGTGATCTACACGGGGCTCAGGCCCCTGACCTGGAAGCCACACCAGCCTGTCGCCAAGAGGCTGCAGCCCGTGGCAAGCCCAGTGGCTCCGTGGAAGTTGGCACCTCCTCTGCCCACCATGGCGGGGCCTCCCTTGGAGGACCTTGCTGCGGCCCCACTGCCCCCTGAACCAAGGACTCAGGCGGCCTCTGCAGGGCGGTGCAGCTCCCCCGGGGACAGGTGATGTCGTGGGCCCCCCTCTCACCGTCCCCCCAGCTCCTGCCATCATTCGAGGCGTGGACGAGCCCTGCCTGGGTCCCTGCATTCGCCTGACCACCTCCAGCATCCCACCCCTTCTTCCTCACGGACATGTCACCACCAGAACCCAAATGTGGCGTCTCCTCAGCCCCTCGGCCAGGCACCTGCACCGCCACTCGGAGCCCCCTTCTCTGGTCTCGGCCCCGGGGGTCAGCCTTGGTGCCAGTCCAGCTCCCAACTCCTTCCTGCCCACGGCGAGGGGCTCCGCAGGCCCCCGGACACTGGTGTGAACCGGGAGCCTCCTCCCCGCCTGGCCACAGGTGGACACGGGCCTTATTCTCCACTGGAAGCAGCAGAGTCTCCGGCCTTCTGGTCCCCCCCACACACTTCCCGGGCTGAAATCCACTGCACTGCTCTAGCCTGGCTCTTTCCCCGCCTCCACCCCACCACTCAGCTGCCCCCATCCCATCTCCCCCTTGCTGCCGTTAGGTGAGAGTCCCCCTCTCACTCCCTGAACCTCCTCTCTGCCCCAGACCCCTGGTTCCTGTCCCGTGCGCAGGCCCTGCCTTGTCCCTTCCCTCCTGGCTCCCCGGGTGCAAATGCCACCTGGATGTGAATGTGTTGCACCAGCCGCCTCTCACCCTGACACCTCCCCTTCATGGTGCTCACCTTCACTTTTAACTTCCTCTAAAAGTCCATGACCCAGACTCCGCTGTCACCTGCCAGTTCTCAAGCCGAGGACTTGGGACTCGGTCGCTTCGTCCCTGCCACTCACTCCTCGGCCAGCAATCCTGCCCACAAACAGCCAAGCCCCGACCACATCTCTCCACCTTCCCTGCCAACACCTGGCGACCGGCTAGGAACCACAGCCACCATCTTCACCTGGAGGGCCACACTGCCACCCACGGTCTCTTCCTCTTCGTCCCTGATCCCGAGGAGGAGTGATGCTGAGACATGCCCCCCCGCAGCTCCCAGCTTCCACAGTATCAGTGTACTCCGACTGCGCATGCTCCCAACCACGACTTCCGGGACGCTCTGTGCTCTCGCCCACCCCCTCTTCCACCCGCAGTACATGGCGGCAGCGCAACAAAGGCTAGTCCTTCAGAAGCTCCACGCCCAGCGTCTGTGCCTGGGACCCTGTCCTCTCCCACTGAGCACGTCCAGCCAACCCAGCCCACGGTGAGGCCCTCGGAGAGGCTTTCCCAGGCCTCTGACTCAGGCGGGCCCCGCTGGTACCGGCCCTGTCCCCTGGCAGCGTCGATCACAGGCACGCCAACGTCGTTTCCTCGTAACACTGATGACCTGCCCCAGGAACGCAACTCTGTAGTCCATCAGCCAAAGGTAAAACCGGCTTCGTTACCGTCGTTTCGCATAAAGTCCCGGGATCTGTGGCCACGCTAACTGAGGAGGGAGCCTGCTGCCTGCCCTGCATCTCTCCCACTGTGCGGGACTGGCGCATCCACCCAAGAAGGACCTTGGCGCCACTTCCACCCTCTGGGGGCACTCGTCCTGCGTGAGAGCAGGCATGCGCCTGGATCTCTGTGGCTCAGGGGGACTGTGCCCCCAAGTCACTTACATTTACGCAGAGCTTTCTGGTAGCGCCGGCCTTGCGTGTGCCTCAGCACGTGCTCAGGGGCCTTGTTGATGTGCCGCAGGGTGAGTTTGCAGAACAGCTGGCGCCTAAGGGGCAGGGGGACCTTGGTTTGCAGGACAGTTCAGGAGAAGTCCAGACGCCAGCTCCCCGCAGAACCGCCCCGAGGAGCTGATGGGGGTGGGGGGTGTGTCCAAGACGAGGCCTGGGTATCAGGGTCCTGAAAAGATCCGGGAGAACCACCAACCCACACGGACGGCGGCCTAGCCGTTTTCCTGGCACGTGGCCGGCCCTCGCAGGCTCTGCTGCGAAATCACGCGAGGGCTCAGTGTGAAAGTTCTCCATAAAGGAGAGTGCTGCCATCCCTCTCCCTTTTGACTATTTCTGCCAATCACTCGCTCTCGGCTAAATCAAACTTCTGGTTCAAAATAAACACGTGAACCTGAGCTCGAGAGTTCCAGACAAACCTCACGTTACAAAACTGCCAACAAAGTCCGTAGGGACGGACGTCGCCCGGACTCGGGACCCCCGCCTGCCTTGCAGGTCTCCTGACTCCGCGCAGGCCGGCTCAGGGGTCCGGAGTCCACCGCCCCAGGCTATGCCTGTGGGCGCCGCTGCGCCCTGCGCCCCACGTACGGGTTCTTGGTGCTGGGCACGATGTGCGGCTCGAAGGCCGCGTAGTCGAAGGCCGGGGAGGCGCGGGCCAGCCTCTGGTACTTCCTGCCGCTGGTGTAGACCCGGAGCTCGGGCAGGCGGCAGGGTAGCTCGTGGCCGGTCAGAACACATCTCACCTGCGGGCGGAAGGCCGGGGGCAGTCAGGGGCACCCGGGGACCGGCCGAGGGGGGGTCCTGGGGGAGGTCGGGGACTCCGGCCCCGCGCACCTTGCAGGCGCCCGGCTGCAGCCGCAGGCTCGGGTGCTCGCGCAGGAACGCTCGCACATCTGCGGGCAGCTCATCCATGGCTGGGCGGTATTGCGGAGTTCGAACCACGTGGACCGGCTGGAGGGCGGGGCTTGGCGGTGCCCCGGAAGCAAATGCGCTGAACGCCGGAACCCTGCGCGAGGAGATGGCTATGTGGTGGCTGGGGAAGGTGTTGCACGGGGCTGCCGGGCGGGTGGGCGGGCAGGGTGTGTTCCGCCCCCGGGGATGGGGAGCTCACCCACCCCTCGCGTTTCCCCAGGCCCCCGCCTGCGCTGCCTGGAGGAGCGTCCTTGCGGTACCCCGGCGCACAGGTGAGGACTTGTTCAGGTGGGCACCTGGGGAAAGCCGCCCGGCGCTCCACGGTGCACGGCCTGTGGGTGCAGAGAAAAGCTATGATCGCCGTTACCAGCCTCGGTGCTGGAGACGTTAATTAACCAACATCTCACTGGCCTCATGAGGATCCCACTCAGGACATAAGCTGGGTGTCCGGGGCCTAAAGGAAAGCAGTTCCCATCGGGGCAGTTCGCACGCGGCCGCCAGACGACAGCAGAGGCTGACTAGACCGGCGCAGAGCGCGCCGTGTGCGCCCACGGGCGCTCCGCCTGCCTGCCTGCCCCAGGCCTGCTTTTCGCGCCAGGGGGCCGCGTCGCTGTCTTGCGATGGGACCTAACCGAGAGTTTAAATGTACTTTATGTGTACGTCCCATCTCTGAATGTCCGAGCGATGAGAAGGCAAAGCTGGCGCTCCTTCTTTCCAGAGTACCAGCACCGCACCGTTCCCATCTTCTCCCCGGCGCCTTACTTGGCCTTCCCCCGCCTGAGCTCCAAGCGCCCTTCTTCTGCCTCTGGCCTCTGTAACTGGTTTCCTGGGCCCACGCAGCCCAGCTGGCTCACTTCTGGTACCTTTGTGACTTCCCAAATACACTTTTATAATTTGGGGGTGGGGCAGGAGGGAGGAGAAGCAGAACTGTTAGGAGAACCCTGTCAAGCAGTAGCCTGAGATTACATCGCGTTTCAGTTATTCAAACCGCAGCAGCCAGTGCGGTTTGTCTTATCCAATAGAATACATCTCAGCGTGCTCCTGCGTCAAAGGCATGGGATGGTGCTGCAGCTTAATTACCCAGGGTCGAGGTTGGTGGCAAAGCTAAGACTGAGCCCTGGGCCTCATTCAGTCAGTAAACACCCACCGAGGGCTCGGTGCCAGGCCCTGGGTCAGGAGCTGGGCTGGACACTGGTGCTCTGGCTGGCTCCTGACTGCAGGTTTCGGGCGGCCCCCTCCCCCTACACCCCATGCTCCTAGACAGTGTTGGCGGCGTCTCCAGGGCCTCCCGACCCCGAGCCAGTGTTGTGAACTCCCTAGGGCTGGCCTCGGGGCCAAGCAGGTGTGGCAGTTCGACAGCAGAAGCTCCTGCCACGAAAGTTGAAGATGACTCCTTCCTCCGGTGGTTCCTGCTTCTCATCCCAGTGACCGCCTTTGGCCTGGGGACGTGGCAGGTAAAGACTGGCCTCCGGCTCTTGTGGCCTCGAGTTCTTGTTCTGCTGCCACGTCTTGGGCTTCTGCTCTGTGTCCATAGGTCCAGCGTCGGAAGTGGAAGCTGAAGCTGATCGAAGAGCTGGAGTCTAGATTTATGGCTGAGCCTGTCCCTCTGCCCGCAGAGTGAGTGGGGCCTCCAGCGGGGGGCTGGTCTCCCTGGGAGTCAGCGTGGTGCCTGGCTTCTTTCTGCTCGCCGCCCCAGCCCTCAGAGGGGATTCCTCAAGATCAGGGGTCCTCCCTGGGGAGTTGCCTGAAGGACACCGGGAAGTCTGTCATCCTGGGCCTCACCCCGTCTTCAGGCCTGCTGTCCCTGAGGGGTCCCCCACAGTGCAGACGGCACCTAAAGCGGTAATTCCGAGCTAGTGGGAGAGAGCTGGCACCACCATGTCCGGACTGGAGCGGTGTTTTGACCCAGTGCCTGAAAGGGGGCTCCTGCCCTCTCCCCTCACTTCCACACCAGTCCTAGACAGCAGCTGTGTTCCACAAAGCTGTCATCCAGGGGACAGGCCACTGCTTGCAGACGGACTGCTACCTGCATAGAAGGTCAAGTCCAAGCGGGCGTCCACATTTGTAGCTTCCCAGCCGAATGTGGACAGTTTGGTGATGTGGTCATGTCCACTCCACGACACACGGGTCGGCCTCCCCTTCGGCGGCGGGGGTGGGGGCACGCTCTGCACCAGCCTTTCCCTCTGTGCCTGCGCATCACCTACATCACCCCTCTGGTCAGGGAGGCTTCGTGGTTTGTAGCCCCAGGAGAAAAGGGTTTGTGTTCCTCCGGAACTGTGCCTGCCCGCAACTGTGCCTGCCCGCAGCTCCATTTGTCCCCTCCCGTGCAGCCCGATGGAGCTGAAGAACCTGGAGTACAGGCCCGTGAGGGTCCGGGGGCACTTTGACCACTCCAAGGAGCTGTACATGCTGCCACGGACCATGGTGGACCCGGCCCGGGAGGCTCGGGAGGCCGGCCGGCTCTCCTCCTCGGTCCAGAGCGGCGCCCATGTCATCACGCCTTTCCACTGCACCGACTTGGGGTGAGCAGACACACGGGGCACCAGTGGGCCTGGTGGGTACAGGCAGGGCGGTTCCTTCTCTCCACCCCCAACCGGGGAAGACCTGGGGAACCCAAGATGCCTGGAGAGGTTCAACTCTTTGAAGGGTTTGAAGGTTGGAACTCGACACTGTGGGGCCAGTTGCCGGACTTGCTGCTGCACAGCCCCCATGTACTGAGCTCTGAACGGGGTGCAGAGCGAACCATGGGGTGGCACACTAAAGGACGGTGGTGCGTGTAAGGAGTGTGCGGGGAGCCAGCTTGGGAAGGAGGGGTGGGAAGAGCCGCCCTGGGCAGCCTAGCAGAGCAGCTGCTTCCCCAGTGCCAACTCGTAGATGGTTCTGGTCCCGCAGCTCCCTGGTCAGAGGCTGGGATGGACCCCTGGGGCCCCTGGTTGCGGGGGTGTGGAGGGAGGTACACAGGGAAGCGGCTGCCCCAGCCCAGGCCCTGGGGGCTGGAGCCCCTGGCTGCATGCTACAGTGTGTGTGGGGGGACCCTTCCACTCCAGGCAGGGGTTGGTGGCTCTCCCCATTCAAGAGGCAGGCACAGGAGCACCTTCCAACGGCCCACAGCAGCCTTTGGGGGCCCAAGGGCCTGGCCCAGTCTGTCCCCACCGAGCTCAGCTTTCAACAGCCCCCAACCCTGCACCAGAGTTGTTCCTGAGGGTGCTCAAGCAGGTGTCAGGGACGGCCTTTGCGGGGAAACCCTTTCCCCCCTGCACACCACATGCTTTCGTCACTGCAGAGTCACCATCCTGGTCAACAGAGGGTTTGTCCCTCGGAAGAAGCTGAGCCCTGACATGCGGCAGAAAGGCCAGGTAGGGGTGACTGCTTCCTCAGGCGAGAGGGGCTCTTGGGAGCCACCCTCCTCTGTGCCATGCACCCCAAGCACAGCCCCCACTCCCATTTAGATTGAGGGGGACGTGGAGCTGATCGGGGTAGTGCGGCTGGCAGAAACCAGGAAGCCTTTTGTCCCCGAAAACAACCCAGAAAGGAACCACTGGCATTATCGGGACTTGGAGGCCATGGCCAAGTTCACAGGCACAGACCCCATCTTCATTGACGCAGACTTCAGTAAGTTGAGCCCAGCCCAGCCCAAGTAGCTGGAGTCAGTGCCTGTTTGCGATGTAGCCTGTTGGGGGCAGGGGAGGACGGGGCAGCCTGGGGACCAGCCAGGTGCAGGCAGAGGGTCCCAGGGAAGTGACTGGAAATGGGCTGTGCAAACGTGGGCAGCTCGGGGAAAGAGTGCGCTAGGAAGGCTCCGAGGGAACCGTGGGCCGGGTGGCGGTGGCAGGAAACCGAGTCGATTCCCATCCCCACAGAGAGCACAGTGCCCGGGGGGCCCATCGGAGGGCAGACCAGGGCCACCCTGCGGAACGAGCACATGCAGTACATCGTCACCTGGTGAGTCCTGCACCCCCCCTGCGCTGGGCCCCTCCCCGTGGGAACCCTCACTGGACACGGTCTCCACCCCAGGTATGGACTCTGTGCGGCCACATCCTACCTGTGGGCGAAGAAATTCCTACGTGGGACTCGGGGCACATGACATGGTCGTCCAGGTCCCCCCGAGCTCAGGACGTCCGGGCTCGTGCCGGCTACACAGTCGTATCAATAAACCACTGGCTGCTACACACACTGCGCCCTCCTTTCTGCCCAGACAAGCTAATGCCCCGGTCCCACCACGCAGCACCGAGACCACTTGTTCGGAGCTGCCTGTGTGCCTGCTGTGACTGGCGCTGACACGCGAGGGCCCCGGTCTGAAGGCGAGCTCGCCGCCACCCCCATGTCCTCGTGGCCCGAAGGTCAGTCACTCTCACACCCGACAGCCGAGACTAGGGTGGAAGGAGTCTTTATTCCTCTTATGTACAGAAACGCAGAGCAGGCTCAGCCCAGCTTGGTGGCCAGCTCCTTGGCCTTGGCCTTCTCCAGCTTCGCAATTCGAGCCACCGACTTGGGGCCCAGCACGTTGCCTCCCCAGTGGCGGCGGATCTGTGAAGACAGGAGACCCGGTTAGCCTGGCCAGGCACCCCCCCCACCCACAGCACGCTAGGGCGCTGTCTTGCTCGGTGGTCCTGTGCTGACCGCAGGACGAGAGGCCCACAGGGAACTGGCCAGTCCTCCGGCCGAACGTGTGATGTGCCCGAGCAGTGCTGTGTGGGAAGCTGCCCCTACCTCGTCGTATCTGTCGTTGTAGTTGGTCCGGATGGCCTCCACCAGCTTGGCCAGAGCTCCTTTGTCCTCCCTAAGCAGACGGGAACGTGTGGGTCTCTGCCCCCCTGGTCCCTGCCCCCACCCCCCCAAGCAGGATGGCCACCTCTTAGGCTCCAAATACCAGCCTTTAGCCTCAGACATGACATGACCACATGGTTTGTTCAGCTGAAGAAATTCATGAGCATCACTGGCAAAGGCTCAGATATGCGTGTTCCCTTAATGCAGCATCTCGAGAGATGAGGGAACGGAGGGGGGAGGGACGGTCCCCTCGGACTCTGGGGTGCTGGGCCCGCAGTGCGCACTTACGAGTTAACCTGTGTGAAGGCGACGGTGGTGCAGGTCTTCCTGTGCACCAGACGCCCCAGCCGGGCCTTCCCCTTGATGATGCAGTAGGGCACCCCCATCTTCCTGCACAGGGCGGGCAGGAAGACCACCAGCTGGAAGACAGCGTTGGCTGGCTGAGACAGCGTCCTGACCAGCAGCAGACTCACAGGTGGGCGGGGTGGCAGTAGCTCAGGGTTAAAAAGCTCATGTACTTGTACTTCAAGGGTTAATTCAGTAAGAAAATCACATCATCGCAAGAGCCACAAGACGGCTCGCCTCCCATCCTTCGGGGACAGCCGTCACCCCACTTTGGCCCTGGAAAGTACTGGTGGCCGGGCCCACGTACCTCGATGGGGTCCACGTCATGCGCCATCACAACCAGCTGGGCCTTCTTGTTCTCCACCAGGGTGGTGACGGTGTTCACGCCTGTGGCATGAGACCGGGTCGGTGTGAAGAGCAGGGGCCAGCAGCAACCTGACCCTTCACGGGGATTCCAGACGGGGGCCGTTCGCCCTCCCGACCCCCTCACCTGCTCGGAGGACAGGGGGCCTCTTGGTGGGGACATCCCCTTTGCCGGCAGCTTTCTTCTCAGCCCGGGCCAGCAACCTCTGCTTCTTCTCCTGCTTCGTCTCTGGCCGATACTTGTGTGCCAGCTTGAGCAGCTGTGTAGCTGGAAACCACCATCGGTTCAGGCGCACCACTCCGCCCGAACCCCGGCCCTTTACCGAGACTTGGGCGAGATCGCTGTCCTGGAGACAGGACAGCTGCGTTTGGAGAACTCTCTAGACGGCCCTGCCCAGCATGGCTCAGTGGGGCCAGTACTGTCCCACAAAGCGGGAGGTCTCTGGTTTGATTCCTGGTCAGGGTTCCCACAAGCCGCAACCCATCAACATTTCTCTCCACCCCCCCCACCCCAAAACAAGTCTTAAAAAAAGACATCTCAAGCCCTGGCTGGTGTAGCTCAGTGGATTAAGCGCGGGCCTGCAAACCACACAATTGAGGTTCGATTCCCAGTCAGGACACATGCCTGGGTTGCAGGCCGGTTCCCTGCAGGCCAGTTCCCAGCGGGGGACGCACGAAAGGCAACCATACATTGACCATACATTGATGTTTCTCTCTCTCTCCTTCCCCCCTTCCCCTCTAAAGATAAATAAATAAAATCTTTAAAAAAAAAGACATCTCAGGACACGTGGGTAACCTTCCCAGGTAGGCCTCCACCAGGTTCTGGGGACTGGATGAAGAAACCTGACCTTCAGTGACCAATCTATTTCAAAACACCAGCTCCTCCGCAAGCAAAGGCCAAAAGCCTAGCCCTGTCCACTGGAGGTGGTAGCCGTGTGTGGCCAGAAGCCCCTCCTGCCGGCCACTGAGCCCACCTGTCTGGCGGTCCAAAGCCTGGGTGAACTGGTTGATGGCTGGAGGCACTTTCAGGCGCTTGTAAAGGATAGCCCGCTGCCGCTGCAGCCGGATGTAGCGCGGCCATTTGACAAAGCGGGTGAGGTCCCTTTTGGGCTGGATGTCCTGTCCTGCAAAAGGAAGGGCAGCACTGAGCGAGGCTCTGACCCCGGGGTCCAGGTCACACTCCGGCTGCCCGAAGGGTGATACCCCGGAGGCGTAGGTCTAGGCATCCGCGCACATGTCGCAGAAAACAAACATCAAAGACCCAGGGGACCCGCGTTGCCCGTGTCCCTGCTCTGCAAGGAGCGCCGGGCGAGGCCGCAGAGAACCTAGAAGCCCAAAGCCGGCGGCCCGGTCCCAAACCCGCCCACAAGGCCTCGAAGCACCGCTGGGCCGCTCTGGCGCCCGCACGCACCGATGCCAAAATTCTTGGGCCTCTTCTCGAACAGGGGGTTCACCACCTTCTTGGCCTCCTGCTTCTTCACGACCGCAGGAGCGGGCGCCACCTTCTTCCCCTTAGCCTTCTTTCCCTTCGGCTGCGCAGAAAGACAGGCCGGGTAAACCACCTGCCCTCCAGTAGCCCTGGACCGGATCCCCGCAGGCGGGGGCGGCGGGTCCGACCGGAAACACCCCGCGCGCGCGCCCGGCCCCGCTCGTGCATCAGCGATCTTGGTGGTTTGGGACGTCCGCACCGACGCTCGGATAGCAAATATTCTCTCACATCATCTGCACAAGCCGGACGGCCCGGGCTGCTGCACGCCCACACGGGAAAATGGCCCCCCTTAGGGGCCCGACCGGAGAAGCAGAAGCAGCAGCAGCACATCCCGCCCCCCTCCCCGAAGGCCCGGGGACCGGCTCCAGGCCGCATCAACTCCAAGCCCCGCAGTGCGGTACTGAGATCGCCAGTTCCTTCTCCCTCGGCCCAATGCCTCTGGGCCAAGCCCCGCGGGGCTCCCCTCCGGCCAGGTGGTGGAGGGTCTCCCGCACGGCCCAGTCCCAAGGAGGATGGAGGCGGATAGAATCCAGACCCAGCGCCAGCACACCCACTGGCGAGGAGACTCACCATCTTGGACGACGGGAGGAGAGAGAAAGAAAAGGGAATTGTGGGAAATATGTATGCTAGCTCGGAAATCGCGAGAACCGGAGACGCGCGGGATTTAGGATTTAAAGTGACAGGACTACCTTCTTCCCCCCTGGGGTTGGGTGCGGGGAGCGGGAGTGGTCTGTGAGATCGGAAGGGGCGTGGAGACGGCGTCGGGACGCTCCAGGTTAGGAGAGGCGCCAGTGAGCTGGGATTTCCCGAGGGGAGCTCGTTCATCCCTCCGTCAATCCCGGCCAGGTCCCCGCCCGGCTCGGGGTCTGCGGACAAGGTGCAGATATGGGTATGGCAGGGCGGAGTCGCTGTGGAATGTTTCCCAGAACGGCTCCACGGCCGCAAGTGCCGGTCTTTCGGCGGGGCCCCGAGCCCCGGGCGGAACGCTGGGACCCCGGGCGGGAGGGTGGTCCAGGCCAGAGCCCGGAGCGAGCAGCTGGGCGCCAGGTGCAGGGTTAGAGAGACCTGTCCGAGGAGAGGTGGGGCAGGGATGGAGGTGGGGAAGCGGCTGGCGGGGTCCCCGCAGGCCTCTCGCGAATGCGCGTGGGCCTGACGCGGACAGGATGTCTCCGGCTTTCCCCGGGAGACGGCGTGAGGTCCGGTGGCGCCCCTGCGGGCCAGAGATCGGACAAGTTCGGCGGAGGGGGGGATCCCGAGATGTGCACGTTCTCGGGGGCTCGGAGAGTGGGCAGCGGCAGCTGGCCCCACTCTCATCAGACTCTACGTCCCAGGTGCTGACTACGGCCCGGGGCCTCCGCTACCTGCCCTGACCGGCGCCCGCCATGGCCCAGCAGAGGGCCCTTCCGCAGAGCAAGGAGACGCTGCTGCAGTCCTACAACAAGCGGCTCAAGGACGACATCAAGTCCATCATGGACAACTTCACTGAGATAGTCAAGACCGCCAAGGTGCACGGGCGGCCTCTGTCCTCCGACTCGGACCGTGCGCGAGGGAGGGGTCTGCTGTGGCCGGGGGTGTAACCGAGGGCCCAGTGCCCGCCGGGGGGGGGGGGGGGGGGGGGGGGGGGCCTTGTCCCTGTGGGGAGAACAGCTGGGGAGCAGTGTAGGGTGGACAAGAGCAAACAGGTGAACTGATAAACCAGCCAATGACAGGTCACCACACGGCCTCTGTAGGGAATTCTGGCTACGTTGCCAGGTTCTGGCCCAACCTGGTAGCTCAGTTGTTAGTGTCCTCCCAGTACGCCAGGGATACAGGTTCAATCCCCAGTGAGGGCACAGACAAGAATCTACCAGTGAATGTGCAAATAAGTGGGACAACAAATCAACGTTTCTCTCCCTCTCTCTTCCCTTCTGAAATCAATAAGCAAAATGGCCAGGTTAGACATCCAGCACCACTTACTAGCAACAGGTTTGGGCAGGGACTCGATTTCCCAAGGCTCTGGTTTGCACTGGTTTCCTGAGTCACACGACCCTGGGGGGATGACTGGCTGGGTCTATGTGGCCACCTCCGGGCCTGGCCAGGACCCAGATGTGGCAGCTGCTGCGTGTGGGCGAGTGGTCAGTGCCAGGCTCCTTGAGCTAGACCCTCGTGTGACCGTGGCAGACTTGGAAGCCCTGCTGGAAGACTAATGAGGATGGGGCCAGCTAGCGTGAGCTCGGAGTTCACAACCTGTTAGGCTGAGGTGGGGGGAGGTTATTGAGTTGTAATATTCACAAGACTCCTAGAAACAAGTCCCCCCCTCTGTCCTCTCCGTTTTCAGAGGAGGAGACTAGGGCTCAGACTTAGTGACCTGCAGAGCTAGGGCTGGGGCACAGGAGGCCCTGCTCCCCAGCACTCGGGGGCCCTGACGCTGCCGCACACTGACCTGGCCCAGGAGAGGCCCTGTCTGGGTGGGTGGGTATGAGCGGTTAAGAGTCTGCACCTTAGGATGGGCCAGGCAGGCCCCTTGGCTCCTGCATTCACTGCCTGAGACACACCCAGCTTCCCAGCCTGCCCCAGCCTGGGGTCTGCCCACCCAGGCTTCCAGGAGGACTTTGTAAGATAATGAAGGTCAGGGGCTTGGCACCTGGGAAGTGCTCAGTGAATGGTCACTTAAAAAAAATTGTCCTGTTGTTGCTCATTACTGAGTGCCCACACTGCTGGTGACGCTGGTCTGCACTGAACAGGGTTCATTGCCACCAAAAGACTTGATCTTGCAGGGGGCCTCCCTGCACCCGGCGCAGCAGTCAGTGCCTGCTGGCACCAGTCTGTCCAGACGAAGGTGCCTGTTCACCCCTTTGGAATGACGAGAAGCGAGGGGAGCGTTGCCCCAGGTCTGGGTCACAGTGCCCCCTGTGGACAGGCAGGATGGGGGGGGTGGGTACCCATGGGCTGGTGCCTGCCGATCTCAGACACCCTCCTTTGTCCTCCAGATTGAGGATGAGACACAGGTGTCCAGGGCCACTCAGGGCGAGCAGGACAATTACGAGATGCACGTACGAGCCGCCAACATCGTAAGTCACCAGGGGAAGAGCCCAGCCTGGGCGCCAGTGCCTTGGGGTCCCCACTGTGTCTCCTGGATGGGGCGCAAACCACTTCTTAGGAGACACCCAGCCCCTGAAGTGGAGGGGTGTCCGTGCCAGCATGGGAGGGACGGTAGCAGGCACCGCTTCAAGACAGGCTGCCCCTTCTCCCTGGTGCACAAGTTTCCCGAGACTTGTTATGAGCATAAAGGCAAATTTCCGAGTGAAGCTGGATCTGCGTTTTGGTCCCTTCTGACGTCAGAGGACAGGTGCACCCAATATTTCCATAAGCGTTTGCCCAGGCATGAAAGCAAGTAAGAAAAGGTTCGGAAGGAGCGCCCCCAGCTGGCCGCCCAGAGGAAGGGCAGGGCAGGCAGTTTGGGGAGCCAGTTCCATTTGTGGGCCTGGGGGATGGTGTCACTCGGGGGGTTGGAGCTCAGTGCCTCCGGCCGGCCGGGGGCCAGGACCCTGCCCCACTGAGACTCAGCTCCCGCCCCCTCACTTTTCACTCTGGAGTTCAGGGCCGCTGCCCCAGTTTGCCCATGAGGAGACCAGGCCGCTGCTGCTTGGCCAGAGTCAGAACGTGGGGGCGGGGCTCCGTCACACCCTTGCTCGCTCCCCTGCCCGCAGGTCCGAGCCGGCGAGTCCCTGATGAAGCTCGTGTCCGACCTTAAGCAGTTCCTCATCCTGAACGACTTCCCCTCCGTGAACCAGGCCATCGACCAGCGCAACGAGCAGCTGCGCATCCTGCAGGAGGAGTGTGACCGGAAGCTCGTCACCCTGCGGGACGAGGTCGCCATCGACCTGTACGAGCTGGAGGAGGAGTACTACTCGTCCAGGTACAAATAGGGCCGCGCCCAGACTGCAGCCTGACGGGCCAGTGTTCAGGCCCCTGCCCGCCTGGTCGCGGCCACAGAGCCCAAGCCGGTGTCCTGGCAGGCGCTCGGACCCTTGACACCGCCTGCCGGCCCTGGGCTTGGGCAGAAAACCACAGGACTTCAAGGGCTGGGAAGGCTAGAGCCGGCCTTCCCGCCCAGGGTGCCGGCCGCCTGCCTAAGAGCTGTCTGGTCCTTTAGCTTTTTACTCGGTACTTCCTCAGACCTCCCGGCCAAGGCTGGGCTCGCTCCTGTCAGCCCCCCGACTGTCCGGGAAGCACAGTGAGGCGAGTCCCTGCGGCCTCACCGAACCCCCGTGTGGGGCTGGGCCTGGGGAGGAGCAGGGAAAACCCAAGCAGGGGATGGCCCCGAAGCCAGGCCTGGGGTACTGGGGCCACGGGGTTCTCATTCAGCTGGGCCTTGTTCTCGGGCCAGAGGCCCCCCCCACACCTGGCCACACTGGGCCCCAGGACACCTTGGGGGGTGCGGCCTGTCACCCCAGCCCTCAGGGGCCACTGAGATCCCTGAACCTGAGGCTTTTGAGTGAGAGGGGCCACTCAAGTGAGAAGTCTCAGTCCGGGCGCAACTTACATAGGGTAACCTGAGGCCGGAGACTGGGAGCCTTACCCCTCTGTCCCCAGTAGCTTGGGAAGTTCCAGACTCAGCCCACAGACACGGAGCCCCTGCACCTGCCCCAGGCTGCCCTCCCTCCTGCAGCATCTTTAACACCTTCTGGCGCCTCATGGGAGCCACGCTGGGGCGGGGGCTCTGACACCCCTCGCTGGTGTGGTCTGGGGCTGGGGTCCAGCGCCTCCCCTCATGGTCACTGCCCATCTTGGCCTCTCTGGGAAGGGACACTATATCACTGGCCAGCTGCAGTGGTTCTAGACTTCTCCAGAGCATTCTGGGGCCGCTGCTGGTCCCTGACACCCACCAGCTCGGCAGACGTGTAGTAAGCACCTCCTACCACACCCAGCCTTCGGAGAAGGGTCCTGAGGGGGTCCCTCGGATGGTTTCACATGCCGCTGGGGACCAGAAACCCTGCTGGGGGCATCGCTCACAGCCCCACTGGTTCTGCAGCAACCCTTCACCCCCAGCCCTGTTGATCTCCATGACCCCAGGGGCCGGGCCTCTGGCCTGAGCAGGTACAGGACCACCCGCCTCTCCAGGTCGAGGGCAAAGGGGAGGGGACCTGCCCAAGGTCACTCACCAGGGCCCGTGTGCCAGGCTTCCTTCACCCTGCCCGTCAGTCTCTGGTGCACCCACAGTGGTCTGGGCTGGCCTGGTGGCCCCCACATCCCTGGGCCTCAGGAGGCCAAGTCCCCCCTCGCCTGCGATGCTCGTCCAAGGCCAGGGCCGCCAGCACCGGCCCCTCCACCCTCTGCAGCCCCACCGCCCCACTCGCCAGCCGCCCCGCTTGCTCGCCCGCCCGCCCGCTTTCCCCTCGTGATTTGCTCTTTGTCCGCCTCCCACTCTCTGCTGTCCTCCTGCCACCGCTCCGTGACCGGGATGGTTTCTGAGACTGAGCACCGAGGGCGGGAGACAGAGGCAGGGCAGGCTGCGGGAGGCCGCCAGGGAGACAAGTGCGGGCCGGCTGTGCCCCCACAGCCTTGTGAGCCCTCCCCCAGGGCCCCCAGCAGCATGTTGGTGAGGGGGGCAGCTGATCCAGGGGCCCCTTTGTGACAGCACAGCTGGTGCCGTGGCACAGGACAGAACACCGGGGTCTCTGTTCCTGTCACCTGATTTGGGCTCAGGCCGAGAAATAAGAAAATAAGACAGGCCTCTGCTGTCACAGCTCACGGAAAGTGCAGGAACCAAGAGAGACCACAGCGAGCCTTGGGTGCCGGCTGCCACTGCAGTGGGGGTGGGGGCTAGGACAGCCATAGGACAGACACCTGCCAGATCCGTGGAGGGACCTGCTGGGGTCACAGACCTGCATCGGCCTTGTGCCGGGTGCTGAAGGGCCCCATGCAGGGGGAGGCCTGCTGGCAGAGCGCCCACACAGAGGGGAGGCAGGCCTGGGGCACTGTTTTCTTAACTCGGCTTCTGTCTCGCTCCCCCTCCCTCGCTCCCACCCCCGCCTGCTCCTGTCCCCTTGGTCTCTGGTGGTGGAAAAGCTCGAGTCTGTGCGAAGCTAATGATCTGCCTCTGTGCGAAGCTTACTGGAGGCTGGACCACGACACCGACCCTGCGGACGGCCTCTCGGCCCCTCTGCTGGCGTCCCCGGAGCCCAGTGCTGGGCCCCTGCAGGCCGCAGCCACGGCCCACTCCCACGCTGGTGGCCCTGGCCCCTCAGAGCACGCCTGAGCCCCGCCCCCTGCCGCAGCCTTGCTTCTCAGCCTGGGCTCCCGCTTGTGCAGCTGCTCCGGCCTCCTTGGTGGCCTTGTTGGCAGGGCGGCCCACTCTTACTCAGGCCACCTCCATTCACTGCTTTCCTGCCCAGCTGGGCAAAGGAAGCATCCAGAGCAGTCTGCCCACGAGGACCTTCCCAGCTGGGCAGAGAGGTCGCCCCACGTCCGGAGGCCTGACCCGAGCCTGCCGCTCCCGGTGGGGAGGGGGCTCTGGGTGAGCGCACATGCAGCAGTTATTTTGTTGTACGAGAATGTTGAATGAAAACAGCACTGCCCTTATGCCTTGGCCGGTTCTTCATTGTTCGCACCGGATCGTGCCATCATTTCAGGACTCCACTGAGCCCCTGGGGCTGTTGGAATGAGCTCCTGGACTCTGCCTGGACTTGGGCACCAGGTCAGCCTTTGGGGCTCCGGGCGGGCAGGGGCTGGGTCATGCTGGGGTCACAGCTGCACAGCACTGCTGCCTAGAACTGCCTGTGGCCCAGATCCTCCGTGTTTGGTGAATCTGCTCTCTTGCACCCCGAGAGGCCTAGGCACCTGTGCCTCTGGTCCCTGCTGGTCCTCACTGCGCCCGAGTCTGTTGTCCTCAGCAGTCCAGGGAGGAGTGCCCCGGGCTCGGGAAGGGTCGGTTGAAACAGTCGTGGAGCTGGGAGGCAAAGTGGTAGGAATTGGCACTTAGCCCAGATGGCACCCTGAGTCCAGCGCCACTGCCCCAGGGTCACCTGAGTAGTGGGGAGGGCCACTGCAGAGCAGCCGGGGCTTCGACCCTGCCCCCTGCCCCCTGTGCTCTCAGGAGGGAGCCTGTTGTCCTGGTGTTTGGAAGAGGTGACAGGCCACAGCCAGCCTCAGGGATGGGGAGGGCTACAAAGCTGACCCATCTGAGGTCCCAGAGACCCTCACAGCCAAGCAGAGGCAGCAGCCCTGGCTCTCGCCCAGGTCGCTGGGTGGGCCAGGCAAGCTGCTTCCCCTTGAAGCAAGTTTCCCATGGAGAGGGTGCGTGGTACCCTCCTGCGGCCCTTGAACTGTGGAAATAACTTGTGCTTAAGCACTAAGGGAGAGAGAGTTCACCACCAACCGAAGTGCAATGGGGGAAGGCGAGGAGGAGTGGGCCAGGCCAGGTGACTGGGGTCGGGTTCCCGTCCACTTCTATACTGAGCAAGGCTGGTCTCCCATTTCGCCCTCCTGGGCTGGTGCCGTGGTGCCCAGGGGGGAACAGAGTTGTTCCTCTGAAAACAGAGTGACTGTGGGTCCCTTGTCCTCTGCAGCCCGTGCCCCCGCCAGGCAGGCAAGTTGGGTGAGGAGGTGCACCACTGGCTTCCAGTCCCCCGGCCCTGGCCAAGGGCACACGTCAAGGTCCCGCAGCCTCCATGTGGCTAAACTGGTCCATCTCAGCCCTCACCATGTTGTTATGCCAGCTTTTCATTCTGAGAGTGTTCACCCCAGAAATGTGTGAAGGCACCGAGGGCCCCCACGCACAGCAGCTACTGCCCGGTTTGCACCCTCGCCCGCTCGGCCTCACAGGAAAGCCATTCGAACATCAGCGGCAGGACACTCAGCCTCGGATACCCGGCAGCCTCTAAAAAAATCACACTCCCCATGGCCAAGGCCCACATCTCACCCCAGATGACCGATTATCCCATAATGTCATCTGGTGCCATGCCACATTCTCATATCCCCAACGGTTCCATAAACATTTTTTTTTAATAAATTATTTATTTATTTTCCGGGGGGGAGAAACATCAATGTGTGGTTGCCTCTTATGCACCCCCCCTATTGGGGACCTGGCCTGAAACCCAGATGTGTGCCCTGACTGGGAGTCGAACCTACTACACCCTTTGGTTCACAGGCCTGTGCTCAATCCACTGAGCCACACCAGCCAGGGCTTTAATCAACTTTTATTTGGATTGCATTTACTTATAATCTTAAAATCCAGGGGAGAACCAGGGTGGTGGCCACAGTGGGTTGAACGGAGCTCCAGATAGACTGTGAAGGGCAAGCTAACGGGTTTCGCTGCAGGTCTGGACTGGCTTCCAGGCCTGACTGTGTGCCCGGCAGAGCCACCCTGCCTGAGCCAGGGAAGGAAGGCTGTGAGGGGTGTCTATTCCCCATTCCAACCACAGCAGGTGAAGCTGTGTGTCACGTTCCCCAGCGTGGGTCTGGGGGTCACAGAAGTCGGGACTCGAGCCCCCAGCTGGGGCACTGATGGGGGACAGTTGACAAAAGAGATGTGGTTTAGAGACCCAGAGAGCAGCCGGGTCGGGAGGAGGAAGACCTACTGTCTGGGGCCCCCGAAGCCCCGTGAAGACAGGGTTTTGGGGAGGAAGGAAGGTCGGCTGGTCACACCCCCAGCCAGGTCGCACAGAAAAGGTCACGCGAGATCAGGAAGGCCCTTCAGCGACACCTGCACTCAAAACCCAGCAACCGTTTGCTCTCCCTGGCCTGTGGCGACTCAGCCAGCACCGACCACCCCTGTCCAAGGGAGGCCTCCCTGGGGGTGGGCACCCAGGACGGATGACCCCTGCCCCGGCGTGGGCTGGCAGCCCATCATTCCGACTCCGAAGCGACCCTCAAAGGGTTCTGGGTTGTGTCAAAGCCTGTCACCGCCAGGAGTTCAGGATCACAGGTGTGGTGGTCTCAGCCTCGGCCTGATGGACACCCCACCTCCCCCGGGGAGTTTTTATAAAAAAGAAGCCTTGCTTGAAATCTTAGCTTGCGATTCTACGGTCCAGAGCAGAAGGCGCCGCCCGGGCCTTCCCCGCGCCCCCGCCCCATCCTTTTCTTCATTTGGCCGCTCCTTCATTTGGTCCTCTTATCGCCGGTAGCCCCGACCCGTAAACTCGAGGAGGGCACAGTCGGATTCTTTCTTCCCTCCTGCACCCCGGGGCTCGGGATCCGCCTGGCACTTGCTAAAGCGCAGCCCTTTCTCAGCCATCGCGGCCCCGCCAGCTTCCACGTGGGATCGGAGGCGGCAAGTACTGAACTATTTGTCCTACTTACTGAGCCCTCCCACGTACTGGGCATTGTGCCGAGGGCGCAGGAACCGGGACTGCGGGGTGGTCAACACCGACCCCTCGTCAGACTGGAGGTCCTGGGGCCTCCAGGCCACGCCCACGGGCGCAGCCCCGCCTCCAGCCACCTAGGCCTCGAGCTCCGCCCCCCTGTCCTTTTCCGGTGGAGCTAGGCATAGCTAATAGAGCGCCGCACGCTGGCGGCTCGGCGCTCCGCTGCCGGCGCCTGCGCACGTGGTACTTCCGGCAAGCGCGTTTCCTCGGCCTCTACCTGGTTGTTTAGGGTGGCGCGGGTTGCGTACTCGGTGTGAGTCGTCGAGAGGGTGCCTGTCCAGTCCTCGGTCGTTGCGCCCTGTCCCTCCTGTTTTTGAGCGGGACCTCGAGTGAGCCCGCCCGCGCCTCCAGCCATGGTCTCTCTGCTCGCCAAGGATGCCTACCTGCAGAACCTGGCCAGGAAAATCTGCTCCGGGCCCAGCGCGGAGCCGCAGAAGCGCAAGTCAGGTAACGCGCAGCCCAGGGCTGGGCCTGGGAGGGCTTGGGAAGGGGGTGCCCCTCCCCGCCGCGGCGGAGTCCGTGCCTACCCTATACTGCACCCCGAAGAGCTTTTCGGTGGTCTGGACATGTGGGTGCGCGAGACGAGAATATAAAATACGGAAAGGAAATATGTAAGTGGTATTTAAAGCCCCCGGTTTGCCCTGCTTGTCGGGGGTGTCAGACTGGAGGTCCGAGGGTCTCAGCCGCACCTGCCCCCGGGGCAGGGGGCACGGCCGGGGTTTGGAGGAAGTAAGCCCGTGACGTGGGGCGTGTGGCGAGAAGGCAGGAAGAACGTGCTCCTGTCGGGTCACACGGCGGCAGGGGTGCTGAGGCTACCCTCAGGAAGTAGATACACAGCAGGTTAAACAGAAACCGGCCTGCTGAGAGCGGGGACTTGGAAGTACTGCCTGGGCCTCGGGGAGGGGACGGTGGCGGCGTCTGGCGTGGCGCTGTCAGGGGACAGTTTTCTTACTCAAGGAAAACATAATCGTGGCAGAAAATTAGGAAAAGTGAGTTTTCTCGTCAGTGATAATTTAGGTCTGTGTATTTCCAGGTTTTGCTTTATTTTACTGGTTAAAACAATTGGGTTTTCCAAATGTACACATTTTCTTCAGCTCTCAAAATGGAAGCCTATGTAATTACTATTTTTAAAGGTTTTATTTACTTTTTTCTAGAGAGAGGGCAAGGGAGAGAAGGAGAGGGAGTTGCCTCTTGCAGACCCCCAACTGGGACCAAAACCACAGCCCAGGCATGTGCCCTCACTGGGAATCGAACCGGCAACCCTTCACTTTGCAGGACAAAGCTCAACCGAGCCACACCGGGCAGGGCCTGTGTGATTACTCTCAGGGGCTTCTCGGTAATCACGGCTGGCTGTGTAACAGTGCCGTGATCTGTCCTCCGGGAAGGGTGCCGTGCACAGGCCGGCCGAGGCCTCACTGCACACTGCTGGGTCCAGCGTGGGGACGTTTATCAGGGTTTGGCGTGCATGACCAGTCTGCTTTCTCCAGGAAGTTCATGGTTTTGAACTCTGCTGACAAGGGTCACCAGCACCCCCAATTGTCTCTGGGCAGCCTTCTGAGATTAAATCACTGGCAGTAGCTTCTGCCTGTTGAGTGGGTCGCAGATTGGGACAGTGTGCCTGTCTTATTTTGTATTTCAGTGGTCAAAAGTCCAGGCTCAGAAGCTGCTGGGCCCCCAAAAAAGAAGAGGAAGAGGGCACAGAAGAAATCCCGGGATCAGGAGAAGAAGGTTGTGGAGCCCAAGGCCCAGGCCCTGGGGGAGAAGGCCTGGGGCCCTTCCGGGGCCCCTGCAGGTGAGGAGCTCCTGCAGCAGCTTGGACGGAAGAGCATCACTGCCCTCGGGTCCCTGAAGGGGTGTAGTGAAAGCAGAGTTGTTGGGGGGCCCCCAGGCTGCGGCAGGCAAAGAGATGGGAGGTGGGTCTGGCTTGACTTGTCAGGAGCGCTTTGCTGCAGCACACAGGGATGTCCTGTTCCCGAGGGTGTGCTGGGGGCCAGTCCTGGGCGAGGAGGCCGAGCAGAAGTTCCTGGAGCTGCCCTGCAGATCCGCTGGTGGCCACCAGCGGTGGAGGGGAGCGCACAGAGACTTGGGCTCTGAGGCTGGGTAGCGGGAGGGTCCCCAGAGGTCAGCACTGGGGACCCCCTTTCAGCCCCCCATTCCTTCTTGCAGGTGGCCTGGCTGCAGAGCCTGAATCCTTCTTTGCCCTGGATGTTCTGCGGCAGCGGCTGCATGAAAAGATACGGGAGGCCCGGGGCCAGGTAGGTGGGGATAAACGGGAGACGGCCCAGGAGCCTGTGTTCACTGCCCCGCCCAGATTGGACGGTCAGGGGCGTCTGGAGTCAGGAGAACATGACCAGTGAGCTCAGCCTCCCCCTCCAGGGCAGCACCGAGGAGCTGTCCCCCACAGCTTTGGAGAAAAGGCGGAGGCGGAAGCAGGAGCGGGACAGGAAAAAGAGGAAGCGGAAGGAGCTGAGAGCCAGGGAGAAGGCCGCCAAGGCAGCGGAGGCCATGGAGGCTGCTGTGCCGCCAGCCAAAGCGCCGAGTGAGGAGACCCCGGGAAAGCCGGGGTTGTTGTTCAACAAGGTGCGGCGGGAGGAACCCTGGTGGGGCTGCTGTGTTTGAGGGCTTAGGTGTGCAGGCGGTAACTCAGGTCACACTTTCACCTGCAGGTGGAGGTGAGCGAGGAGCCACCTGCCACCAGGGCACAGCGCCGGCGGGAGAAGCGGCAGAGGCTCAAGGGCAACCTGCCACCGCTGACCGGGAAGAACTATCGGCAGCTGCTGGAGCGGCTGCAGGCGCGGCAGAACCAGCTGGAGGCGCTGCGCGGGCAGGACGCAGGCAAGGCGCAGGAGCTGGAGAGCAAGATACAGTGGACGGCCGCGCTGTACCGGGCAGAGGGGGTGCGCATCCGCGATGACGAGCGCCTGCTGCAGGCCGCCCTGCGGCGCAAGGAGAAGCGGCGGGCGCAGCGGCAGCGCAGGTGGGAGAAGCGCACCGCCCACGTGGTGGAAAAGATGCAGCGGCGGCAGGACCAGCGGCGCCAGAACCTGCGCAAGAAGAAGGTGGCTAAGGCCGAGCGACGCAAGGAGAAGGCCCGCAAGAAGGGCCGCGTGCTGCCCCAGGACCTGCAGCGCGCTGGCCTGGCCTGAGGGGCGGGCGGGCCGGCCGGCCGGGTGCACCCGCGTCGCCAGCCTGCACAGGGCTCAGGTGGCAGGAGCAAAAGCAGGTTAGTGAGAGTAGGAGCCTGGCCCCAGGCTGGGCGCGGGCAAGCCAGTTCAGGCTCCAGCCTTTTCTGGTGGAGCTGGAAAGCCCCCCGAAGTTTGTGGTTGAGGGACAAGGGAGCAGTGTGAGGGGTAGGTTCCCGTGTTCACAGGAGCAGGACAGGAGTGGCCTTGGTGATGCCTGTGTTGGTCCAGAACTCTCTTGGAGGAGCCAAAACCCAATGCTGTGACCAAGCCCCGGTGGAGCTGATGGCTCCAGTCACTGGGAGTGACCGAGGGTGTGCCTGGAATCAGTTTATTCTGTTTATTTGTAAAAAGGACAAAAACTAGAATTCAAGTTAGATGTGCACATCAGGGGTTCTAAGACAACCCCGCAAGGTGGGAGCAGTGTTGAGAGAGGGGACAAGCGGGTGGGGGCAGGGCAAAGGCTGCGGGGGAGGCGGGGGAAGAACCGGAACTGAGGCAAGTGAGGCGGGGCGGAGTGAGCCCAAGCCCGAGGCCGTGGAACGCAGGTGGAAAAAACAAGGTGGGTGGCATTTCAATAAAGCAGGCGCTGAAACTGTTTTGGTCGGACTCCAGTTGTGAGGCTGTAGCTACAAGGAAGCCGGGGAGCTACCTCACTGGACAGTGGGCTAAGGCCACAGGCTGGTCCTGCTGCAGGCAGAGAGCAGGCAGCTGGCACGGAAATCCCACGGAAAAGTGGAAGATGGTTCGCATCTCTGCGGAACTGGTGACACCAGACAGACAAAAACCAGGTGGCTGCAGGAGGTCTGGTGACACCACAGTGTCTGGGTCCCGGACACACCTGGCACAGCTGCAGCGGGGGAAACACGCCCGCCCCCGAGCTGGGGAGCGGGCCTCCCAGTCAGAGGGTCAGCACCACGTGAAGGGGGTGATCTGGGCATAGTGTGCAATTTCCCACCTGGGACTTTCAGTTGCCTGAGGCGATAATTCCCAACAGGTGTTAAAGGGTGTTTGGGACCAAGGAGAACACTGCACCGAAGTCCGGGACTCGCAGCCACCAGGTGGGGGCACGTGTGCCGGAGGGGTCCGCTCTGCAGCGCGGGTTCCCGCCGACTTGGCTGGCCTGCAGCCCCATGCTGGGCTGGTGTTCCACCCCCTCCGCACTGGCTAGTTCCCTATGTCACAGGGAAGGGGGCACACAGCCCCTGGGAAAGTGGCAGGGACCATCTCTGGGGTGCCCCCCCGAGGCCAGGAAGTTGCCCCCCAGCTCCAGAGCTGCTGTGGCCCCAGCTTCGTGTGGCTGTTGTGCAGGGAGAGAACACAAAGTGTTTGGCAGGTGGCGTCAGGACACGTCGCTTCTAGGAGCGGCAGCAGCCACGGGAGACGGGACATGTGGAGAGACCTCCACCGGTGACACGTGTTGTGAACAGCCAAACTCAGACGTCAGGAGTGCTACATGTCCACCGGCCCAGCCTCCCTCCAGGTGGACAGTCACTCCCCCTGGCCAGTCAGGCTGGGAGCCAGGGTAGCGTGTGGTATGTCTTGGTGGCAGGTGGCCACGGCAGTGTCTCGTGCCGAGGCGGGTTGCAGCAGAAAACTTCCAGAGCTTGGTGTCAGAAAGCTCTACAGGGCCGAGTGGCAACCATTTACGAATGGGGGGGTTCCCCACCGATTTCCAGGGCAGCGAGTTGAACACACGTGGGACCCGGCTCCCACAGCGCTGGGAGGTGAGGGCGGTCTTGTGGTGAGGCGGAGGGAAGCTTGCAGCCTGGTGGCCCTTTGTGTAGGGCTCCAGACCTGACCCAACATCCAGGACTCAGTGAGGGGCGACAATCAATGGGGGTGGCTCAGGTGAAGCCTCTTCACTGGGCCCTGGGCGGGCGTGGGGGGGCAGCGCAGGGCAAGGGGTGGGCGAAGAGGGAGAGGGGGCAGACCGCTGCTGGTTTGGAGACGAGAGGGAGGGGTTGCCAAAGAGACTGGCTTCCCCTTGGAAGTTCCTTCCTCGGGCCCTTCGAGAGGCTGATGTCTCAAAGCGGGCCCCTGAGAGGCCGGGCGCCAGGGTCTGTGAGCCATCGAGTTCACCGATGTCCTCATTTTGGTTCTGAGTGGCCCACACTTGGCCATTTCTGCTTCGGCTTTCCCTCGAGAGAGCCGGTGAGGCTGTGGCCTCGCCTGCTGCTGAGAGGGTTGCTTGATGGGCCAGCAAGGGCGTTGGTTTCCCCACCTCAGTCTTGCAGCTGAAATTATATGGTTTTCTTACAGAATAGAAAGTCTCTGATTCTTAGGCCATGTCTTGAGCTAAGAATTTAGGGCTTGGAGCCTATCACTTTCTTTGTAGCAAAATCACCCACCCCTGTTAAAGCAGCCCCTGCATCCTGCCGTCCTCGAGTTTCTGTGGCCCTTCCCGTCCTGTGCTGGTGCTCACTAGTCTCCCCAAAAGCCTTGCCTTCCAAAGACTTTTGTTCTGGAACCACATCTCCAGATGCGGGCACCAGTGTGTCCAGAGTCCCACTGCTTTGTGCTGACAAGACTGCGATGAACCCTCAGCTAATCCGGCCAGATAGCAGATCCCAGATGTCCCTGTGTCAGTCATGACGGGTCAGCTTATGTTGCCTTAACCAAAGTACCTTCTGATAAGTAAAGTCAGTAGTTTAAAACTAGACTGATCACTGGGTGTGTCTCAGCAACTAGGAATAGAAGATAATCCTCAACCGGATAAAGAACATTTACGAAGAGCTACAGATGCTTAATGGTGTGGGACCAGGTGTTTTCCTGCTAAGTTCAGGAATGAGGCCAGAATGCTGCTTCTCATCACTGCCCTTCAAAGTCACACCAGGAGTCCTAGCACACGCAATAAGACAAGAAAAGGATAAGCAGCACAGATGTTCGACAGAAATCAAAACATCTCTGCAGATGATGTGATCATTTATGTAGAACATCCAAATTATTTGTCAACTATTTCTTTCACAGGCTGTGCTTTCGGTGTGGTATCTAAAAGGGCATCGCCTTGCCCAAAGTCATGCAGGTTTCCTACCACGTTACTTTCTAGTTTTGGTTTTGTTTTGTTTTGAAAGATCTTACTTCTTTTTTAGGAAAAAAGGGAGAAAAACATCCATGTGTGGTCGCCTCTCACACGCCCCCTACTGGGGACCTGGCCTGTAACCCAGGCGCGTGCCCTGACTGGGAACCGAACCACAATGCTTTGGTTCACAGGCCCGCACTCAATCCACTGAGCTACGCCAGCCAGGGCCGCTTTCTTTGCTCTCTTGCTCAAGGGCATCAGGGGGAAAGGGACCTACCCACACGGCCCTGTCCTAAGGAAAATCCGCATTGCCTGAAATGTGACCTCTGCCCCACGACACTGCAAACACTGTGCCAGAAAACTCCTTACTGCTCCCTGACAGCTGGACGTCGGGATCAGTGTCGGATCACTTTCCAACACCGATTGTGCAGAATGAAAAGGCGCGAGACCGACAGCAAAGGAAGAACCCGAGCCATGGAACGGCCACAAATTTTAAAAGTATTTCTCGCCCTGGCTGGGGTAGCTCAGTGGATTGAGCGTGGGCCGGTGAACCAGGCAATCGCAGTTCGATTCCCAGTCAGGGCACATGCCTGGGTTGCAGGCCGGTTCCCTGCAGGCCAGTTCTCAGCAGGGGACGCACGGAAGGCAACCATACATTGATGTTTCTCTCCCTCTCTCCTTTCCCCCTTCCCCTCTAAAGATAAATAAATAAAATCTTAAAAAAAAAAAAGTATTTCTCCAGCCCTGGCTGGTGTGGCTCAGCAGACTGGGCGCTGGCCTGTGAACCAAAGGGTCACTGGTCCAATTCCCAGTCTAGGGCACGTGCCTGGGTCGCAGCCCAGGTCCTCAGTGGAGGTTGCACGAGAGGCAACCACACACGGATGTTGTTGTCCCTCTCCCTCCCTTCCCCTCTCCAGAAAATGAAAATACATAAAAATTAAAAGACTGCAAACCAAAGCCATGCCCAGAAGTTTCCCGTTACTGCTTATTTGTCCTTTTGGGGCTTAAGCCAAGCGGACAGCTCCCCACCCTCCCTGGGGTGCGTGTTTGTGGGTCTCAGGTTCTCAGGGGCGGCCCGGCTCACTGGACGAAGAGAAATGTGGTGGCCTTTGTCACGCTAAGGTCACCAGGAACACTGGACAACATTTACCCCAGACTTTGAGGACGTTTTCTGCCCACGAGGCAGCTTTTCATCCACCACACGGTCTGAGTGGGCAGCGGGCCTTGGAGACCCCCGCTCACCCGATGGGTTTCGCCAGCACACGAGCGCCTCAGACAGCTTTGAAAACTGTTGCTGCTGTTGATGCAATGAAACGCCTCCGAGTTTATTTTTTTAAGCCATTAATGTGATTGCAAAACTCGGACTTGCTTTACAGCCAAGATTCGGGAAAGTAACAATTTGCCGAGCTGCAAATCTGAAAAATTCTATTGTGAAGTGAGCGCCCCTGTTCGGACGAGAGGGGGTGCCGTACGGAAATTATTAGAAACTAAATAGCTTGGGGAGTAAAAAGATCATAATGTGCTGATTCTTAATAAACAAGAAAAATGAAAAAAACGCTTGCCAGGTGTTTATGGGATGAAAACGCGTGTCTGAAACGTAAGGAACTCCCAGAACTCATTTAGAAAAAGACGGCAATCCAGGATTTAAAACGGGCACAGGCTCGACTGGGCACATGACGGAAGGGAACCCAGTGGGAATAAAGCACGTGCTGCGCCCCAGATCCGCAGTCTGGGGCGCCGCTCAGGGGCGGGCGGAGAGGGGGGGACCACAGCTCCAGCTGGAAGGACGGCGTGGGGCGGCAGCCTCACGGCATGATGGTGTGCGCACAGGAGGCTGCGGGAGAGGGGAGGGTGGAGAAGACGCGCGGGCCACTCTCCCCGGTTCCCCGCGCCCCGTGCCCCGTCCCCAGTCCCCCGTCCCCAGTCCGGGGCAAAGCCGTTTGGCCGCCGGTCCTCCAACCACAGTGCAGGGGCCTGAGCAGAGGGCCGTGCGAGCGCCCCCTGTGGGATGCTGGGCTGGCCTACACGGTGGCTTCAGGTCTTCACGAAGTGGCGGCGTCGTCACCTCCCATCACCCCCCGCCGCCCCTGTGCGGGCGCTCCCGTGTGCTTTACCGTCTTTCGGGAGGATGGTCGCCCCCCTGGTGAGCTCCAGAATCTCACATATGTCTATGAACTTTTTCACGCTCGAGAAGCTGGACACGTTCTGTCTGCCTGCGGGCGGGGAGCAGAGTCCTCAAGTCAGCATGGTCGGCTCTGGCCGCCTGGGCCGCCCCCACACCCAGCTCGGCTCCTCCAAGATGCCTTCAGAGTTCCTGGGACAGGAAATCAGGACGACAGCTGGCGGGATAATTGGGTGACAGGGAAACGTGGGTGACCCAGTGAGGCTTCCCTGGTGGGGTCGCCACACAGGGTCCCTTGGGCAGCCCTCTCAGCTCACTCAGTGCCTGCTGGCCAGGCTCGGCTGGTGCCCCCCGTCCCCAGCTGCACTGCTGGACCTGCCACGGAGACTCCCAGAGGCCTCCTCCCCAGGGCCTCCCAGCGCCCCTCACCCCCCCCCCCGCCCCTTCTCCATGCCCCATCCCCATGCCGGGCAGAACCTCTTTCGGCTCCACATCCAACCCTCTGTACCCCCAGCCCCCTGCTCCCTGCTCCTGCCACAGCCCCTGTGGCGGGGGCTCTGCACCCACGAGGATGTTCCTCCCCACGCCTTGCTCTTGCTTTCTGACCTCCTCTCTGCAGTGACCACCGTGGGGACTCGTCCGCGTGGTCTCAACGTGCAAGGCCCACGATCTGCCCCCAGCCTCATCCTCTGCCAGCCTGCACCCCGCAGGCCAGGCCAGACACCCTCATCGGCCTGCTGGGTCCCCCATTCACCGGGCAGCCCAAGGTGAAGGCGTCAGGTGATAGGCCTTGGGGGGCGACGAGAGTGGGTCCGCAGGCGGGGGTCGGTGCCCTCGTAGGAAGAGGCAGTGGCCGGAGCTGCCCTGCCACACGAGGACCCACCAGGAAGAGGACCGTCCCAGAAGCCCACCCGGCCTGCACCCTGCGCCGTGCGCCGCCAGGAGCAAGGTCTTGTGTGAGCTGCCCGCCCCCGCCCATGCCCCTCCCAGCCCCGCACCCTCCACACTCACTGCCCCGGACAGAGGCCCCCGGCGCGACTCTGGCGCGCTAGACTCACTGAAGAGCAGCAGGGTCTTGGAGGTCCGGGCAGCCCGCCCCAGGCGCAGGTCGACCACGCCGTAGCTGTAGTCGGTGGACAGCACGCGGAAGCCCTGCACTCCCTTCGCTGGGGGCGGGGGAGCACACAGCGGCCTGACTCCTCCCCCGCACGGGGGCGGAGCCAGCAGGGGCGGGGCCAGCAGGGGCGGGGCCAGAAGGGGCGGGGTCAGAAGTGCGCGGCCAGCAGGGGCGGGGCCGAGGGCTCTGGGACCGCTTGGGGCCCGTCCTGCCCCCCTATATTCTCCAGGGCAAAGGGACCCCTGGGGCACAGTGCCATCGTGGGAGTCCTGTCCAGGGTCTCCGGGGCCAGGAACCCATGGACGCCCCCACCCCGCGGCCTCCCCTCCGCCCCGGCCCCCTACGCACGGGTGTTCCTGAACACGGCCTTCTTTCTGTCTTTCCTCAGAATGAGCGTGTGTGACTGGCACCCCTGCACCCTGGGGGATGAGGGGGGCTGTGAACTCACCGCAGGGGGTGGGCGGTCCACTTCCTACCACAGCCGCCGGCCCCGCCCAGCACCGCCCTCTCCCCTCTCTCCTCCCAACCTCCAACTCTGGGGGTGCCTGGAGGTGGGGGCACCCGGAAGCCTCACTCCCCAGCTCCTGCCCATTTGAGGCGCTGTTGTTCCGGAACTTTTGGGTTCGGATGAGGGCCGGTCCCACAGCTTAGGAGAACCTCCAAAGGCCCCAGGCACTGTGCTGGCCTCTCCCAAAACCAGCCCTTTGAATTTCAGGGGCTGGAAGTGATGGGGGTCGTGGCTGGGGGCTCAGTCCCTGTGAGATGTCCAGGCTGGCCCATGACTCTGCCCCACCGACCCCTTTTCCCTAAGTAGAGGGAGCCGCCTGGCGCTGCTTTCGGTCAGGGGGCTGCGAAGGGGGCACTGGGCTGCTGTGTGTGCCCCCTCACCTGTTAAAGGCGAGGACCACCTTCAGCCGGCCCACTTCTCGAACCTGCACCACAGATGCGCCCAGCTTCCTCTGGTCTCTGCCCGGCAAGAACCCTTGGGTGTCAGAGGCGATGGCTAGAATGTACCAGAACCCTGAAAACTGCAGAGAGGGTGCTGGGAAGCATGGACACGGCCCCCACCCCCCAGGGCTCCCATGCACAAGGGGCGCTGCCTGAGGCCCAGCCCACATCCAGGCAGTGGGGGCCGCACACCGAACGCCAGGGCCATGTCCAGTGCCGGCCTCCTGGGGGCCCCTTTCCTTCCAGCCCCCCTGCACCTCAGCCCACTGACTTCCTGCTGCAAACCTGCGCTCCCGGGCATGACCGAAGTCCATCAGCCTGTGCCCACTGCCGCCCCCACCGGAACCTTCCACCACCAGCGATGATGTTATTCCAGAACTAGCCCTGCTCATTCTGCCCCCGCCTCTCTCTGCCCACCTGGCGTCTCCAGGTGACCCCAGGCCACACTTGCCTGGGGCCTTTGCTCTGCCCCACCTCCGGGCCCATGGGGCCCATAGTGGTCATTTGAGTTTTGCAGACTGTCCCCCACCGAAACCGTCAGCCCCTCGGGGAGAGGCCCGGTGGGCAGCCCTCTGGGCCAAGCGGAGTTTCCCCGCCTTGACAGGCGGCCTGTGTTTTGGGGATGGAATGCCAGCCCAGCCACCCCGCCTGCGCCTGCCCCTTTGTGGCCAGGCCCCGGGCTCACCTTGTTCCAGTTGAGGTTGTGGGACTCCCTGGGGAGCTGCTCCCGCGGCTGGGACCCCACGGCCGGCACCGGCACCAGCACCAGCGCCAGCACCAGCACCAGCCTGGGCGGCAGCCGCCCCAGCCCCATTCTTGCTTTCCTCTCTCAGCCACTGGACTCCGCGTTTAAATCTCCCTGTGCCCCTGCCTGGCCGTGGGCATGTGGCCACCCCGGAGCCTCCAGAGGGCTGGGGATGGGTGGGGGGAGGGACCAGGCTTTGGGCCCTCCCTCTGCACCAGGGCCAGCCTGGGCTCTCAGCCACCTGGGGTGGGGCAGTGGGGGCAGTGGCCTGCCTGGGAAGCCCTGAAGATGGAAGCCATCCTGTTTCCCGGGTCACACCCCAAGGCCCTGTCTCAGAGGCGTCTCACCCAGCAGTGAGGCCGCCCGGGACAGCAGCATCACCGAGGGTCCTTGCATGGGGTGACACGCATGTGGGGCCTAGGCTGGACATGTATGCGCGTGTGCACCTGTGCATGTGGGTCCGTGTGCAGACAGAGGCCCCCACCTGTACCTGACCAGGAGGCCCCCACCTGTACCTTGTCCCGCCTGCCCAGCCCTCCCCCCGCGACCTTACTTCTGGCAGGACTTGAGGCTCCGGGAGCACAGAGGGGCTCAGGCCTTGCCCCAGCCGCCAAGCCCACACAGGGGGCCAAACTCAGGCCTGGACACTGGGCACCCCAGCCAAGCACCCCAGTGGGCACTGACGCCAGCTCCCTCCGCCCAGCACCCAGCCAGGCTGCGTCCGGGCCAGGGGGTCTCGCCCCTGCCCAGGCAGCCCAGAGCCCCCACTCCCCCCAGACCTGGGGTGCCCCTGCAGAAGCAGCTGCTGCTTCTAGCCCAACCCCTGCCTCCCCCCCCCACCCGGGGCCTGAATGCCAGTGTCCCCAGATCCACAGGGACTCTGAAGAGGGATGCAGTCACAGGCCGGCCCTTCATCCCAGAGCTGACTTTGCTCTGAGGATGAGCCTGTGTGAGGCCCCCCCCAGCCCTGCGCCTCCCCACCCTGTCCCCACTGGGGCCGAGAAGACAGCCCAGTCCCTCTGGCCGGCACACGTGAGACACCCGGGGCCGGTTTGTAGAATCGTTTTATTTGGTTCCGCAGCCAGAGCCCCTGGGAGAAGCTGGCCCAACAACTGGCATCTGGGCAGCCAGGCGCAGAAGGGAGCGCGGGGCGAGGCCCACCAGGTCATGGTGGGCGCGGTCCCCCCGGGGCCACAGTACTCACTGAAAACCAAGACAAACATGGGGGACCCCAGTTCACTGGAGAGGCCGCTGCTCCACCCTCTGGCCTCCGGCCACTGGGCCCTGCCGCCCACTGGGGTGTGTGGGCTCCCAGGGCCCTTCCTGCCCCGTGGGGAGCCGGGGAGCCCGGCGGTGCTGGGGAGGCAGCTTACCTGGAAGGCCATGTGTGCACAGGTGACTGGAAGGAGCCAGGGGGTGGTAAGGGGCGCAGGTTGCCCTGTCGCTGCCCCAGCCCTGGGGCCTCCCAGCCCTCGCCCAGTTTCCTCAGGCCCAGCCCATCCCCTGCAGGCCTGACTGGGCGGGTGACTCCTTGAAGGCACCCCCAGTCCTGCCGGACTCCCTGAGGGCCCCGAGATGGAGCAGAGGTGCCCGCCACACTCACCATCCGCCTGCAGCTGTGCCTGCTGCTGGGCCAGGAAGCCCAGGCCCTGGCTCCACCTGGTGAAGCGGCTCATGGCCTCCGGGCTGGCCCGCTGCGTCCGGCCTGCAGGGGTGGGGGGCGCCCTCCCTGTGAGGGCCCGGCCGGGGCAGCCGGTGGGGACGGCGGCCCCTCCTCTGACCCCAGGGCCACTCACTGTACAGCTCCACGGTGCTGAAGGCCTCGTCCTGCTGCTCCAGCTGCGAGAACACCACGGCGAAGTCCCGAAAGTTGGTGCCCAGCACCCGGTACTGCAGCACGCCCAGCGCTGGGGAGCAGAGCCCTGTGGGGCTGGGCCACCAGGAGCCCCAGAGGCCCCGCCAGCAGGCCCAGGGCCCCGGCCCACGTCCCTGTCCCTGCCCAGCTCGCCACACACAGAGCTCATGGTGGCTGGTGGACGGGCATCCGGAGAGCAACCGCAGTGCGATGGGCCAGGCCGCCCAGATCCCGTCCCCATCCGGGCAAGTCCCACCACCTGACACACCACAGAGGGAGGCCTGGGGTCCCAGCCGAGCGTGGCAGGCGCAGGCGAGGCCTCTGTCCTCAGAGTTGGCGTCCAGCCTCTGACAAAATGAGGCTGTCTTGCTTCCAGGGGCTGAGCTCAACAAAGCCTCAGGACAGAGAGGCCCCGCCCCCACCACACTGGCCCTGCCTGCGGGGACCTGGGGTCGCTCCGGGGGACAGAGGCCCAGGGACAGGGATCCCTCGGTGGCCCCTCCTTACCGGGGTTCTGGAACACCCAGGCAGAGTTCTGCCGCAACAGCTCCACTACACCCAGGTGGCACCGCTCCAGCCTGGAAAGGAGAAGGTCTGCCGTCCAGCCCTGGCGGCGGCGGTGAAGGTGCCAGGCCTGCCCAGAGGTGCAGCTCCCAGCACAGCCCAGCCAGGAGGGGCGGCCAGGCCTGGCGGAGCCCACGGGTGCGGGCATCTGGCTTCTGTGCCAGGGCAGGCCTGGCGGGCGGGCACGGGACACGCCCCCTCACCTGTGCCGAGACGACAGCACCTTCAGGTGGTTTTCAGGAGTGAGCGTCACCACGACCCCCTCGATGTTCTTGGTGGCCTTCTCCACCGCGAAGCCCCTCTCCCCAGAGGCCACGGCGACAATGTACCAGGACCCCAGGAGCTGTGCAGGGCAGGAGCTGGTAAGGGACACCCACCCCAGTCCTGGAGGCCCCTCTCCTGCAGGGAGCCCGGACACCCACGCAGCCCGTGCCCGACGGGCCGGCCCTGGGTGGCCCAGAGGCGGAGGGGCCCCACGGAAGACAGTTACCTGCTTAGGGTCCAGCCTCCCCAGCCAAGCTGCCTGGGCCCCGGGCCCCAAGACCAAAGCCAGGAGGGCCACCAGCACAGCCCTCATGTTCCCAGAGGTCCACACACCCGCACACGCCCTGGGCCAGGGTTGCGGTCCCGCCAGGCCCTGGAAGCCCATTTATATGGCTCTGAGCAAGTCACTGTGGGCGGCCAGGAACCGCCACACACCGCTCGTGGCCTCTCCTCCTGCCGGTGGCCAAGTCACCCAAGGGCGGACGCTGACTCTTCCCCAGTGGCCGCCCCGCCAGGCCCGGTGTGTGCCCTGCTGACCTTGCATCTTGACACTTCCTTCCCCTTGGAAAGCTCCCGAACAAGCACCCTAATCCCAGGCCGTCTCCCCTCTCTCCCAGGGGTCCAGCGCTCTCCCTTGCTCCTTCTGGAAAGGCCAAATCCACTGCTCTTATGCCCGGCCAGCAGCAGGCCAAGGTCAAGTGCAGGGAAAGAAGCAAGAATAACTGGTCCTCTGAGAAGCTATTGTTCTGGATAATTTTTGTTTCAATCACTGAAAATACAAAACATCCCCCAAAGTTCACAAAAAGCTCTCCCTCCCTCCTGGGCCACCCACCTTTCTGCCCTTCGGCCGTGACCTCCCGCCCCCACCTGCAGCCAGCACCCGGCACCTCCTGTTCTTCCGGCCTCCGGGCTCCGCCACCTGTCTGGACCCGCCTGCCCCGGCCAGTTTCCGCCCTTCGACTTCCCACTTCTGCTCTCCTGGGTCCCCTGGCAGCCGAGCACAGGGGGCTGTCCCAGCGCTGTCACAGCGCCTGTCTGAGCCCCTGAAAGCTGGGGAGGTGGCGGGAGAACCCTTCACTGGCGGTGTGAGTGGGTGGAAGCTGAGATCCGCATCCCCCGCCCCCCAGGTTGGTTGGCTCTCAGGGGCTCTGTGGCCAGAAGAGCAGGTAAGATTTGGAAGGTGGAGGAAGACAAGCCATTTGTCCTGCCAGGGTTTTGCGGGGGTAAGGGGGCCAAGGAAGCACCCCTGCCACCCCAACGTGGGAGATGAACCCGCAGGTGAAGGTGAGCGAAGGTAAACCCTCCCTCGGGGGGCCAGAAAGTCTCAGGCCTTGAACTTGGGTCAGGATGTCTCTGACACACATTCAGACCCCAGCCGGGGCCATAGAAACGTCCGGTTCCTCTGCATCAGGAGCTGAGAGCCATGTGTGGAACGAAGCGGTGAAGGACCTGAGCCACCGAGGACAGTGACAATTCCAGAACGGAGTCTCTGCTCAACCCGCCCCAAACCACAGTGTCCGAAGGAAGGGGAAGGACCAGAGAGCCTCAGGTCTAAATTACAAACCCCACTGCCCAGCAGGGATGGCGGGGGGTGGGGGGGGGACAGGACGGGAAGGCTCGGCTTCAGCAAGGCCCCCTGCAGGGGCGGGGGTCAGAAGCAAACTTCACGTACCCCCACACACACACAATGCACCCACTAGAGAGAACCCACCGGGCCCAAGTGAACGGTGCCTCCCGCCGCCCAAGCTGCCTCCGCTGCCCAGGGGTTCAGGAGACCGGGCTGTCCCAGCTTGGCCGCTGTGCAGAGAAACCCCAGCAAGAGTGCAGGACGGACTCCCCGGGCCGGGGCGGGGGCAGGGGCGGGATCTTTTGTAGCCTAGGAGCCGACGTGAACAGAAGTGGGAGAGAAGTGCCAGCAGAACCGTGCTGTGCAGTGCCGGATGCCATGCTCAGGACACGGTGCGCCATGGACTATGCGGGTAACAATGCATCAGAGTGTCCAGGCAAATGATCGCGCTTCCAGGAGAGAGGCAAGCGGGGGACAAGCTCCCGGCGTAAACAGAAAGCAGCAGGGCCCGAGGAACAGACCGCCAGGTGTGGCTCAGGACAAAGGGCCTGGAAAACACTGTCATTCCACACCTTGAGAATGTTGGCGGCAGAAAAGTGGCGCCAGGTGTCAACCCCAGTTTGGCAACTCAGGTTCTTGAGTTCTGGCTAAGGAAGAATCTGTATCCCTGGCTGGTGTGGCTCAGTGGCTTGAGTGCCAGTCTGTGAACCAGAGGGTCACCGGTTCGAGTCCCAGTCAGGGCACATGCCTGGGTTGCAGGCCAGGTCCCCAGTAGGGGGCGTGTGAGAGGCAACTACACATGGATGTTTCCCTTCCTCTCTTTCTCCCTTCCCCTCTCTCTGAAAATAAAGAAATAAAAATTTTTTTTAAAATGACAAGAGGAAGGGAATGATCTTAGGGACAGAAGGAAAAATAGAAAGTGCTTTGCTGACTTTCAAGCAAATCTTTGAAGCTCTAAATGAAATGGATAAACGTACAGCACAACTTAGTTTGTCAAAACTGGCCCTTCCAGAGACAGATGCACACGCACGCGTCATGGGCAGATGGTAACGGAAAACGGATGACTGGCAAGAGATGATCCATGATGGGCGGGTGGACGGACAGACGGACGGATGGATGGACAGGTGGTGGAGGGATGGATGGGTGGATAGGTGGGCAGGCGGCAGGACTCATGGACAGATGGATGGATGGACAGAGGACAGAGAGACGGCAGACTGCCAGCAGCTGCAGAGCTGGGCCGGGCGGGCAGGCCCAGGGAGGGTGCAGCTCGGACCGGCGCCGCTTTAAAGCCGCGCGCATTCTGGGTCTTCTCAGGGCCCTCTGCACCGAGCCCTCTGTTCGACCGCGGACTGTCCCTCTCTCTCCCTCTGTGGGGACATCGCTGATGACCCCTTGTGGAGCTCCTGGGTTCTCTCGCCACACCAAGCAGCGCTGGCTACTGCTGCGGGCAGAAGCGTGTCCCTGAGAATTCTCCTCTTGAAGCCTGGGCCCCGTGTGTAGTTGGGGTCAGGGCCTTCAGGGGGACGAGGGGCTTAAGCAAAGTCACAGGGTGGAGCCCTGAAGAAGAGGGGGCACCTCGGAGACCACCCCAGAGGACACGGCGGGAGCCTGCCGGCTACAAGCCAAGAGGGTCCTCAGCAGAAACCAACGTGGCGGGCACCTCGCCCTCAGATGCGCAGCCCCCAGAACCCGCCGCTGGGCCGCCCTGCTAGGCAGGCGCACACACGAGCCCGACTTCCGACCCTCGGGTTCCGTGTACCTGCCGAGGGCCCTGGCCACACAGATCCGCAGGACGCCCTGCGGTTCCAGAGTGCCTGACCGGTCCAACTCAGCCTCGAGATGGGGATGTGGGTCTCCGGGGTCTCGGTTCATGTTCGTTAGGGCGAGTCCCGGGCACGCCGGACCCTCAGGGCGGTCCGTCCCCCCAAGGGCACCTCTGGCTCGGCAGGCGCTCCCTGCCCCAGACTGCTGACCTCAAGCCGGTCCACCCTGCCTCAGCCGTGAGCCTCAGGTCCCCTGCCCAGAGCCAGAGTGCCCTTTCTACCCTTCCAGCCCCATGGATGGACCAGAACAGGCCATAGAATCGGTCACGGTGACAGAGTGTGTGATGGGGACCAGGCCCTGTGTCAGGCTGGGCCAACCTTGGGCACCAAGGGTGGGGGATTGGAGGGGGTAGAAAACAATGCCCGTGAGACTTCAGTTGGGGCAGTAGGGAGCCAGGGCAGAATGACAATGTGGGCTGGAGGGACGTATGGTCACCTTCTACCCGTGACACCTCAACCAAGGACTCAGCCCAGGGGACCCAGCCACAGAGGCCTCGGGCTCCAGGGGGCACAACCAGGCTTAGCCAGGAGGGTGGCCGGGGGTGGCCCGACCTGGGGGCTCCGAGCTGGGCAGGGCTGGGCAGGGCCCTCTCGGGAGAGGGGGGAGGGCAGGAGCCGCCATCCTGCCCCTGAGCCTGGTGGCCCTGACCCAGCCCCCTCCAGGCAGAGGTCCCGCCAGGGCAGGCAGCCAGCACCATCCACACTCCGAGGACAGAGTCTCATTTCTAGGGCAGTCACAGACAGCACACTCCCCGCCCCTACCACCACCCCCACCGCACCCCCCCGCCCACTGACCCCCCCCCCCCAGGAAAGACTCTGGCAGCGGCTGTGCTCACGGGTTTATTGGAAGCTGCTGCAGTCACCCTCCAACCCCGGGCAGGGGGCAGGAGGGGCGTGTGGGCGGGGCTCCCTGAGTCCTGGCCTGGGACCCGCTCCTAGATTAGCTCCTAGACACAGAAGGGCAGGGGCTCAGGGGCAGTGCTGGCCCCTGGGGGCCAGGGCCAGGGTCTGGGTGTGGAGGGGCGGCCCAGCTGTCGTGTGGCTCTGCCCACACACAGCCCCGGCTCTCTGCCTGCAAAGTGGGTGCTGGTCCCCACCTCTGGGGCTATGTCACATAAGGAGTGGACGGGTGACGGCGGGTTGGCACGTGTGGGATGGGGCCCCCACCTTGGGAGGGATGGGAGCGGGCAGAGCCCCCAGCAGCCCCTCACGCCCTGCTCCATGGAAGGGGGGCCCAGGGTCCGCCCCCCGTGCCCCATCCAGGCCCATCCCTGCACCCCAGCCTCCAGGGTCCCCATCTGGCAGCCGGTGGTCACCCTTCCCCCCCGGAGGCCCAGGACCTAGAGGCACCGGGAGTCCCGTCCAGCTGGGGGCTCAGCGGGGCCTCAGTGAAGGCTCACCTGCTTCAGGAGCTTGGCGCACTGCCCTGTGGGGTGGGGGCGGTGTGAGGGGCTGCAGGAGTGGGGCCCGGCCCCACCGGGGAGCACAGAGCGGGCAGGCAAGGGCCTTGCCTCTCAGGCGGTCCCCACAGCTCAGCCTGCTGGCCTGGCCCTGCTGTGACCCCCACAGAGAGAGCCCGCCCTCCTCAGGCCCCAGACCCCTCTCTCTGTGCGAGGTGGGAAGGAGAGGTGGGTGCACCCCAGCTCACCAGCTGCAACAAGTTCTCGCAGGTCGCTGTGGACAACAGGAAGTGTGAGGCGGGGGACGGAGCTGGGAGTCTGCGCTGGCTGGGGGCGTGCAGGGGCACAGGGAGACCCTGGCCCAAGGTCCCGGAACTCACGTTCCAAGCTGAGCAGGTGCACCTCCCACGGCGTGAAGCCACGCTCCCCTGCCACCTCCTGCAGCCGCCTCAAAGCTTCCTCGTTGTGGTCCCGGCTGCGACCTGGGGGGCGAGGGCATGGTGCATGGGGCGCCGGCGGGGCCGCTGCCGGACCCCTCCCAGTCCATCCATCTCTTTGCCCTCTCCTGACCCCCCGCCAGAGCTGGTGTCCCCCTGGGGGGCGGGACTGAGGCCTGTGGGGGTGGGGAGCGCACCCCCACCCCGCCGCAGCCCTGCCTGAGCTCACTGTAGAGTTTCATGACCCTGTGGCTCCTCCCGCCCTGGTGCTGGACGACGTCCAGGATGGCGTAGGTCTGGTAGTCCGTGTCCACCACCGACACCTCCTTCTCTTCTGGGGGACGAACAGACACGGGGCTCTGCGTCCCCCCGTATGCCCACCGCCTCCCCAGGGATGGGTTCCCCCAGGGCTCGTCCCTGCTCGAAGACGCATGCACACACGCATGTATACCTGTCTGTGCACATGTGTACACACGCGTGAGTGCCCGTGCGCACACGCCAGAGGGTTGCACCTCCCTGAGGGCCCCGCCGACCCGCACTAGGAGACGCGGGGTCAGACGTTTTTTAGCACCAGAGGGAAGGGGCACTGCCCTCACAGGGAGAGGCCCAGGGGCCAGGGCAGGAGGCGGAGCCAGGGCAGGAGGCGGAGCCAGGGCAGGAGGCGGGGCCATGGCAGGAGGCGGAGCCAGCCCTGAGCTGCACACTGGGGGAGGGCTCTGGCCCAGGGTGGCCCGGAGCACCGGCTGAGGCCAGTCACCACGGGAGGGCACAGGGCTGTGCGCCTCCCACAACTGAGTGCCCGGTGGGGCTGAGCGGGACCGTGAGCGGCAGGACAATGCGCTGCCCCTGCTGGATGTGGCCTTCAGGGGGGTTTTGCGATGGGAAGACCCCGCCTTCGGAACCCTCCGGACCGCGGTGGGGGTGGGGCCACGCGGCCATCAGGGACGCTACAGCCTCGGGCAGCTGCTTACCAGACTTTTTGGGGAGCTTGAACTTCCCCGGAGCGTCCCCCTTCAAGGCCAGACTCTTGTCCTTCACACAGCGGTTTTCACTGCAGAGCACAGAGCCCTGCAGCCAGCTGCACCCCACCAAGCCCCTCATTCTGGACAGGGGGCCGCCCTGAGACCACCGAGAGCCCCCTGTAATGGAACCCTGCCCAGCGAGCGCTGTGTCCCTCTGGGCAGGAGGAAACCGCCCTCTGGGGGCTGACCAGCCCCACTTCCCCGACCCCGACAGCGTCCAGGCCACGTGCAGGGGACCCAGTGGACCCTGGCCCACGTGACGCACCCCGACGCAGCCCAGGGCGCAGGCGAGGGCAGCCGGCCAGCGGTGCCTGGTCCAGGCTCTGTGCGGAGGCCTGACACCCGGGGGGAGAGGTACCAGGGCCAGGGTCAGGGGTCACCTCCTGAACTGTCTTAGGCGGGACTGAGGGCCCCCCAGCCTGGGAGCTTCCACCCTGCCCTTCAGCCCCTGGTCTGCGCCTCGTCCCGCTGCTCAAGCCCCCCATCCTGGAGGGGTGGCCGGTGTGCCTGGGCAGGCAGGCCCCCCACCCCCGTCCTCCCCGCCTCACTCACTCTTCGTACGCGGTGGTCAGGGCCAAGTGGCCCCCCTCCAGCTCCACCAGCACTGCCCCCATCCTCCCCAGCTCTGGGGTTAAGCTCTGGGGCTTGGACACAGCGGCGATCTCGTACCACAAGCCTGAAAACTGGAAGGGCGAGGAGCTGCCACAGACACTCAGGTCCAGGGCCGGGGCCACCCTCCCCACCACGGGGGACAGCAGCCTGGAAAGTCCGGGGCCAGCCCACACTGGAACTGGCAGGGGTTCCAGAGCAAGCAGTCCCGGAAGACGCCCCAGCACACCCGGGGCGGCAGGTCCCCCACAGAGGGCCCCCTGAGCTCTCCACCTTGACAAAGTCAAAGTCCTTCAGCACCGAGGAGTCCTGTCTGCTGGCCGCCAGTGCCACGCACAGCACCGGCAGGGCCGTGAGCCCGGCGACCTTCATGTCAGGCAGCTGGGTGGCTGGACCAGCTCCCTAAAACACCAGAGCCACGGCCTTGGGGCCCGGCCCCAGGCTTATATCCTTCCCCACAGGCCCTCGGGACGGGCACAGGCTGGCTTCATTAAGCAGGTGGGCAGCATAGGGCAGACCCGCCAGCAGCCAGCCGCCCACTCACCAAGCCCGAGGGGGAGACGGCCCACTGGGCAGTGCCGTCAGCTCTCACAAGGTGACTGTCTGGCCAGACCCTGGCACCCCCTTCATGGTCAGCCCCGGGGCTCTCGGACTGTGCGTCCATGGCTTCGGGCAGGGCTCGGCTCCGGGATGAGAGAACAGGACAGGACAGGACGGGCATGACCTGCGGGAATGCCCTGACCGGGGGAACCGCTCTCCCAGGTGAGCATGTCCGGAAGGTGTGCACAGCTGGGCACCACGCCAGGGCCCCCAGCTGCTGAACACGCCCCGCACGGGGAGCCCGTGGCTTCTTCAAGGCGTGCCCCACTGCGTGGCCAGCACAGGCCCCTGTTCCATGGTCCCAAGTCCCCCCCCTCGAACCTAGACATGCCCAGGTCAGGGGCCCAGGCAACCGAGACCTGCCAGCTGGCCAGGTTCAGCAGGGTGAGTCCGAGGACATGGGTGTGCCCGCCGTGCCGGCTCTCACAGCCCAGCCCCAGGCTGCGGGCGGTGCAGAGCGGCCCGGGGTGTCCTGCTGGCCGGCCATCGGAGCCCTTTGAGCACCCAGCGGTCAGCGAAGGAACAGTGAGCAGAACACAGCCAGTTGAGCACAGGTGTCCACCCCCGGCCCTCTGCCCCTGAACCGCACAACTGTCCCCCAGGTCAGAGGGAGCCCCTCTCACCAGGGAAGGGCTGAGTGACGGAGGGCATGTCACACCGGCCCAAGGTCACCCAGCTTGGGGGGTGGCTGAGGGACCCCAGGGGCCGTCTCTGCCCCGGCCTCCAGCCCACCCTCAGTGGGACCCTGGTGGCCACCCAGGGGGCACGAGACAGGGCCAGGTGGGGGCTTTCCAGCACCCAGCAGACGGTGCCCAAACCCTGACGGGGGGAGACACAGACAAACAGGGAGGTGGCGGGAGGGTGGGTGGTAGGAGATCAGAATAAAAAACGGCAAAGTGACTCTCTGGGTCCCCACACATGCAGCGCCAGTGTGTCCTGCGGGCCCTGGTGCCTGCACCTCCCTCCCGGCAGGGCCACCGGGGCCAGGCCCCTGAGCTCAGGACACCAGAGTGGCTGGTGGCTGGCCAGGGCGGGTGGCGGAGGGCTGGCTGCCCGCACGGCCCCAGTCTGGGCGTCCTGCTCGGTTTGCCCTGATGCCCCACCCACCCAGCGATTCCCACAGCCTTGGTGACTTGATCCTAAAACTCGTGTCCTTAAATGACATCTGAGGGGGCAGTGGACCGAATTCTGCTTCCTGCACCGTCCTCCTGGGCTCCAGGAAGTCTGTCCTTGTCCCCCCAGCAGGAGCTGGGGTTCCGAGGTCTAGGACCACCGGGCCCCGCAGCCCCTTCCTAGCAGGTCAGCCTGCGTGAAGATGGTTGGGGAGGCCAGTGAGCCCACATAGGGCCCGATGCCTCCACAGCCACCAGGGCCCCCGAGCTGTGGGACCCCCTGAACTGCCGCTGACCCCGTCCCCAGGGCAGCCCGAGTCCTCAGGACCCCAAGCTGGGCAGCCCTCCTGGGCTCCAGGGAGCAGGACCAGGCTAAGGGGGCCATGGGTGGCCCGACCTGGGGGCTCCGAGCTGGGCAGGGCTGGGCAGGGCCCTCTCGGGAGAGGGGGGAGGGCAGGAGCCGCCATCCTGCCCCTGAGCCCGGTGGCCCTGACCCAGCCCCCTCCAGGCAGAGGTCCCGCCAGGGCAGGCAGCCAGCACCATCCACACTCCGAGGACAGAGTCTCATTTCTAGGGCAGTCACAGACAGCACGCCCCCCGCCCCCACCGCACCCCCCCCCGCCCACTGACCCCCCCCCAGGAAAGACTCTGGCAGCGGCTGTGCTCACTATGGGTTTATTGGAAGCTGCTGCAGTCACCCTCCAACCCCGGGCAGGGGGCAGGAGGGGCGTGTGGGCGGGGCTCCCTGAGTCCTGGCCTGGGACCCGCTCCTAGATTAGCTCCTAGACACAGAAGGGCAGGGGCTCAGGGGCAGTGCTGGCCCCCGGGGGCCAGGGCCAGGGTCTGGGTGTGGAGGGGCGGCCCAGCTGTCGTGTGGCTCTGCCCACACACAGCCCCGGCTCTCTGCCTGCAAAGTGGGTGCTGGTCCCCACCTCTGGGGCTATGTCACACAGGAGTGGACGGATGACGGCGGGTTGGCACGTGTGGATGGGGCCCCCACCTTGGGAGGGATGGGAGCAGGCAGAGCCCCCAGCAGCCCCTCACGCCCTGCTCCATGGAAGGGGGGCCCAGGGTCCGGCCCCCCGTGCCCCATCCAGGCCCATTTCTGCACCCCAGCCTCCAGGGTCCCCATCTGGCAGCCGGTGGTCACCCTTCCCCCCCGGAGGCCCAGGACCTAGAGGCACCGGGAGTCCCGTCCAGCTGGGGGCTCAGCGGGGCCTCAGTGAAGGCTCACCTGCTTCAGGAGCTTGGCGCACTGCCCTGTGGGGTGGGGGCGGTGTGAGGGGCTGCAGGAGTGGGGCCCGGCCCCACCCTCGGAGTTCCCAGCCTACAGCCCAGCCCAGAGGCCTGGCGCTCACCGTGCCGGGCCACCAGGAACAGCCCGGTGTCTGCTGCCAGCTCCCGGAACTTCCAGAGGCCTGGTTCATAGTCCTCCTCCAGGCTTCGCGCTGTGGGCGGCGCGGCGGGAGCTGAGTGGGGGCGGAGGGGGATGCCCAGCAGCTGGGCAGCAGGGACGGCAGGCGCCCCGCCCCTATGGGGGGCTTACCGAAGTACTTGAGCACATGAACGTCCTCCCCCCGCCAGGCGAGGGACAGCCGCAAGATGGCATAGCGCTCGTAGTCCGTGTCGATCACTCGGATTTCCCGGCGGCCTGGGGACAAGCAGGGGCTGGGGAGTGTGGCGGACTGTGCAGACCAGAGCTGAGCCTCCGCCCCCAGCACCGCCGGACCCACCCAGGACACCATGGCAGGCTGAAGCAGCCCTTGAAGGGCCGTGGGCTTATGGGGGAGAGAGTCTGGGACGTGTGGGGAACAGCGTGGGGGACAGCCAGGCCAAATGTCTCCAGTGTGCAGGGCCAGGGGGGTGTGACCACAGCATGGGGGCCAGGGCTCTTACCAGGGAAAACGAACTTCCCCGAAACGTTTACTTCCGAGCCCACGATGTTCTCCGTCTCGCAGCTGCCCAGGCTGAAAGGCAGCGAAGGGCCCGTGAGGGGAAGGCCAGGCTGCGCTCCCCTGCCCGGCACGGTTGGGGGGTGGGGAGCGTGTCTTTAGGAAGTTCTGCAGGGGGTGGAGGGCAGGGGTGCAGGGCGGGACCCCTCCTGCCTCAGCCATGGTCTGGGACCTCCAGAGGGCCACCCACCCTTAAGCCCATTTTCTTTTCTTATAAATAGACCGAACATTATCAAAACTCTATGCTTATATTTGGGGGGGGTATAGTTCCAGGAGCAGGGGGAAGGTCTTGGGTGCTGGCCCAGCAAACTGACAGCGCCGGGGCAGGGGGCTGCCCCCAGGCACCTGGCCACACACCTGCTCCCACCCCAGCTTGGGGGACCCGGCCCCACACCTGCTGTATGCAGCCCTCACTGTCAGCTCAGCCTCATGCAGGGTCAGGAACAGGGCCTCCAGCCTCTTGGGGGTTGTCAGTGCCAGGTGTTGTTTGGAGGCCACGCCGACCTCCCTCCAGAACCCTGCAAGCTGGAGAGAGGGGACAGAGCCGTCCGGTCTCGGGGCCCCAGGACACAGAGACCCCAGGACCCCCCAGGCAGGGAGCGAGCGGGTTCTGAAAGGGCAGTGGACAGCCAGCAGCCGCAAGGCAGGACGGCAGAGCTGCAGGCCGTCATCCTTCTCGGGGCCCCTGCTGGCATCACGGCCTCTGTGGGTACTGGTCCCTAAGGAGGGACGTCAGAGGGCGGTGGTGCTGAGGGCTGGCCCACTCTGTCCAGCCCCGTGGAAGTGGACACTGCTCCGCCTGCCGGCCACCCTGGGGGAGGGAGCTCTGCCTTCAGAGAGCCCAGGTCCCCGTCGAACCTCTTGGAAAGGGCTCGTTTTTTGCAACAGAAGAGGAAGTATGTCCCCATCGTCCCCGAGCCTGCTGATGGTCTCCTGGCACCGACACAGACCCAGCCGAGGAGCCAGGCACTGGAGCATGGAGCTGGGAGCCAAACCCCAACCACCCTCCCCGTCGAGACAGGCTCCTCCGGTCCCCACAGGGTGCGGGGCCACCGACCCGGGGGCACGAGGTGGCCACCCTGAGCCCCAGACCCTGGAACCCGCAGGGGATCAGCAGCCTGGCTCAGGCCACAGGGTGGCCACAGCCAGGGCTCTGCCCACCGGGCCCAGGCACTGGCCCCCCGAGGAGGGGAGAGGCAGGAGATCTGAGCTCAGACCCTTAGGCCCCTGCCCTTGGCAGCCGAGCAGGGTCCTGGACCCCGAGGAAGCTGCTGTGGCATCAGCTGGGGCCGAGAGACCGGGGACGGGAGTAGCTGGACACTCGAGCCCCTCCTCGCCCAGCCTTCGAAAGACATGGGAGAGAAGCCCCCACCCTCGGCAGGTCCAAGCTCTGCACTGCGGTCTCCGCCTGCACCAGGACGACGCCCAGGATGGCGCTCAGCAGCCTGGCCTCCATCGCGGGTCAGCGCACACGCCGCCTCTGCCCCGCAGCGCCCGGGTCTATATCCGAGGGAGGGCCAGTGTGACACAATCCCCTGAGGACGTCACCAGGCCGACTGGGCCACCGATGGGGCAGAGACACCCGCCATCTCTGCCCCAGTATGACGCCCACGCCACGGCCTCCGGCTGGCCTGGACTGGAGCAGCTCGGGGACGAGGGGGCAGGACACAGGGGCCTGACTGGGGGCCTGAGAGCAGGACACCCCCACCCCCCGGGGCAGCACGGGACCCCGGGCCGCCCCCACACAGGGCGGACAGGATGGACGATGCCCCGGCCCCGGCCCCACAGGCTCCCAGGGCCCTGCATGCAGCCTGGCACCTGCCCACGGACACACAGTTCCGGGCCCTCTCCGAGGAATCCTGGCACAGACGCTCTGAGGGCTGGTACGTGCCGCCCAGGAGCCCTCTACGGGGTGGGGTGAGTGGGGGGGTCCCTCTGCCTGGGGGTCTCCTGCAGAGGGAGCACCTCTGAGCCCAGCGAGGGGGCGCACAGGAGACGGAGGTGGGTGCGGCTGGGTGGAGGGCCCTCTGCGGGTGCTGGGGACCCGCCAGCCGCTGTCGCCCTCCCGGTGCCCTCTGCTCCCCCAGCCGGGCCGTGCGGAGCGACCTCCCCACCGCCTCAGGCCCCTCCTCGCACAGCAAGGTGGGACCCCAGCGGGAAGGCCCCCTCAAGGGCCCACCCTGCCCACCGGGCAAGGCCAGTGAGCACACGCCGGCGTCATCCTCCAGCCCGCCTGTGCCCCGGCCCCCGCCACCCACGCCTCCCACTCCAGACCCAGGTCCCAACAATACAGATGTTGGGGTGAAGGGGGACTCGGGCCCCCTGGCACCAGCCCTGGCCCCTCCAGCCATGGGGTCCGGCTGCTCTGCCTCAGTTTCCCCATCTACCCACAGCAGCTCCTGCCCAGACGCACATCTCTGGCCCTCGGCTGACGAGAAATGAGGAGGCAGCTGGCCGCCACTGCGCCAGGAGAGCCCGCCCCGGAGAGACTCGGGCTAAGCGGACGTCCCACTCTCCTGGGGACAGGCCCCCTGGGGACCCGGATGTGGTGCTGCCTCCGACACTGACCATCAGCTTGGGTTCAGGGGTTCAGGGGCTCGAGTCAGGACGGGGTGGCCAGAGCCAGTTGGCCCCCTCCCTGGGCTGATAAGCCAGGGCCCCTGGAATGGGCTGGATCAGGCAGCAGAGGGAAGACAGGAAGTGCGGGGGCCGCCTGCCATCTCTGGAGGACCAAGGGCAGGATGAAGACCGATGTCCTCAGGGCCCACAGCCTCTGGCTCTGGCTCTGCTGGGGCTGCAGGGCCCGTGATCAGCGAAGTGAGGCCTCCAGCGCCTTCCTGCCCCTCCCCCGCCAGCCCTTTGAAGTGTGCAGCCCAACGTAACTAGGCCGTGACCTCGGGGGCTCCAGCAGGGCTCTCCTGCCCCCCATCTAATCAGGGGTCAGCACGGAGCCCAGGCCTTGGAGCCTGACCCCTGGGCCTGGACCCCAACCTGGCCCCTGCTGGGCAAGCCGCTGACTGCTGTGTGCCTCAGTTTCCAGATCTTCGAAACAAGGAGCACAGCAGTCGCGCTGCGTGTCCAGCGGACCACTGAGGGCCAGGCCCGCGGCGAGGGCTTGGGGTGCGCCGGCCGCCACAAGACCCTCGTCCAGGTCTCACAAAGGGTGACACATATGCTCCAGGGCCCGGGCGCACCGGCGGTGGGAGGGAGACCCCAAAGCCTTTGTGTTGCAGCCTCCCGCTCCTGCATCCAGGGCCTTTGCACACCCAGCAGAGCCCCCACAGTAGGGCCCACCCCATGGGGGGCCTTGGGTTCCCACAGGTGCTGGGAACCCACAGGGGTCAAGTCAGAGGTGCTGGGTGCTGCCCGGGGGTACACCCGCAGGTGCCAAGCTCAGCTGGAGCCTCCTGCCTGCCCCTCAGCCAGGGGGAGCCCAGCAGCCAGAGTCCCTTCACAACCACCTCCCTGCCTCAGTTTCCCCAGAAGCCCAGGGTCAAGATGGGGTCCACCAGCTCCCCCTGAGTGCCTCTCTGAAGAGGCGAGGAGCCCGGAGCCTGTAGAATCTGTTTATTGAGTGAAAGCGGGAGGCCCAGGGGGGTGCCTTGCCGGGGGGGCGGGGGGAGTGTCAGCAGGCAGGGACGGGCGAGGCCTGTGGAAAAGGCAGGGCCCAGCGTCCGGACGACTCCAGGAGCTGAGGGCTGCTGCTCCGGTGGCCCTGCACAGACAGGAAAGGCGAGGTCACTGAGCCCACCCACTCACTCCACAAACCCCCTGTGGGTGGCCCCTGCTGCCCGCACACACAGCCGGGTGCCACCCCCCCCCGGCACACACCCCTGTGAGCAAGGCCCCTGGAAGCTGTGCTGCTGCCCAGACCTCCTTAAGTGTGGCGACAACCCCACCATTGCTCTCCTGGAGCACCCAGGGGCCCCCCAGCACCCAGTGCCTGGCTCGCTGGCTGGCAGGGAAGGAGGCCCCAGAAGGGCCACGAAGCACAGCCAAAGGCCACGGAGCAGCCATGGAGGCGGTCGAGAGAGGCCCTTGGTCCCACCAGCTGATTTTTCTTTTTAAGAGAACCCGGGGGTGGGACACAGAGCAGGAAGCCGGAGCTGGCACTCTCTACCAGTGGAACCTTCTGGAATGGTGTCATTTGGCTCGATTCCTTAACCCATCTCCTCCCGCCCAGTATTGTTTCTGGAACGGCCCCATGTGGTGCCACAGGCGTCAGACGCTGAACAGGTGAAGCAGCCCCGTGTCCCCAGCGCCCCTGGGTCAGCAGCCAGGACAGCTGGGGAGAGCAGATGGCATGAGGGACAGGGCACCCCAACCACAGGGCGATGCGGAGCCCCCACCGTCACTGCCAGAGACACGCAAGGGTTGCCTCCCGATGCTGGTGACCATCGCATCATACCCATTGCTTACTGCTTTATCTGGCTTCCCAAATTCCTCACGATGAACTTGGATAAGGGGCCTGCTGGTCCCATGGTGTATACTTTGGGGGAAGGTAGCCCCAAGAGCCCACCTGCCTCTGTGTCCCAAGGGCTCTGGGGGCCTAGCCCAGTGATGGCAGTGAAGGAGAAAGTGGCGGTTCCTGCCCCTTGGGACCCTCGGGGATAGGACGAGGACCCCAGTCGCCCCCAGACAGGGCCCTGTGCCCAGGGGTGAGCTAGGGCCCAGGAGACAGTGTACTGGGTTGGGTAGTCCGTCCAACACTCAAGTCCACCTGGAACTCGGAACGTGACCTTGTCTAGAAACAGCATCTTTCCAGTGTGATTATTTAGGGTTCCCAAAACTAGACTCCCCTGGAGGGAGGGGGTCCCACATCCGGTGATGGCTGTTCTTACAGGAAGAGGGGACCCTGGACACCACACACAGAGGGAAGACGGCCCTGTGACACTGGACGTACAGACAGGAGCGACATGTCTACCGGCCGGGGGTGCCAGGACGGCCGGCCCCGCCAGGAGTTGGGGGAGACAGGGGCGCCCCCCCAGAGCCCCAGCAAGAACCAGCCCAGCCCATGCCTCGACTTCAGACCTGTGGCCTCCAGAACTGAGAGGGCAATGTCTGTCGTTTTAAGTTACCCAGTTTGTGCTCATTTGTTATAGCAGGCCCAGGCAATCAGTGGGGGCTTCCTGGAAGAGGTGGCGTGTAAGCTGAGGCCTGAAGCACACAAGCCAGGTGGAGCAAGGCAGAGTGGATTTGGTGCGAGGGGAATCTTTGGTGAGAGAGCAGGGGACCTGATGTGGGGGGAGCCCAGGAAAACTCTGCAGGAGGGAGGGAGGCGGTACCCTGTCTCCACCTGGGAAGAGTCGAGGTCAGTGTCCGGAGGGCTCAGGGTGCCTCCTCGCCCCTTGAGGAGCACACGTCTGTGGGGGAAGAAAGTGGGCCCTTGAGAGGCCGAGCTGGCGGGAATGCCCACCACTTCCTGCAGTCCCAACCCCTGGGAGTGTGGGGCCCGGTCCAGCCACCCGCACAGGGTGGGGCCAAAAGCCTCTCCCTCCTGGACTCCCCAAAACCTCCCCCTTGGCGTCTGTTGGGGGAAGAAGAGGGCTGTGCCAGCCCAGCCTCTGGCCTGCACGTTTGGGAACAGGAAAGGGGGACTGGAGGCGGGGCTTGGTGGGCGGGGCCTGTCTGGAGGCGGGGCTTGCCGGCAGTACCTGACTTAGGCAGCAAGACCATCATGTCGTCCTGGAGCCCCACGGTTGGGTAGAAGTCCTGGAAGACCCTCAGGGCATGGGGGCTCACTTCCGGGGTCCGGCCTGGGAGAGAGCAGAGCCCCGTGTCTCCCTGCCTCACTTCCTTGAGGGCACGCAGCCCCTCAAGGTGGAAGGTACCTGCCTGGCCGAGGGACCCGTGGGGACTGGAATCGGCCCAGAGGGGGCGCCCTTTGCTAACTCACACAAAGGTGTCCAATAGATTGGGGACCCAGCTGTCCCCCCACTCCGGCCTTGTTCCCTGGGCTGCACCCCACCAGAGGATCTCTTCCGGCAGCCCCCAAGGCCACTGTCCCGCCCTCACCCGGGCAGCCTCTCCACCCTGGAGAGCTCCACTCAGCCGAACCCCGGGAAATTGAAGCCACATTGGAGGATCTCAGCCCTGGTTCACGGTCCCAGGCAGCCGGGGAAGATGGGTCCCCACTCTCAGGGCATCAGAGCGGGGCCTGAGTGTCCAGCCCACAGACGCCCGCGAATCAAGCCCTACCCTTCCGAGTTCGCGAAGGCCCGCCACCCCCAGCACAGCGCCACCTGATCCTTGCCTAGCCAGGACGGGGAGTGGGGAGTGGGAGACCAGCGGGGGCAGAGGAGGACCTGGGGCGGGTCCCGAAGGGGCGGGGCCAGAGGAGGGGGAGGCTGGGGGCCTCACTGTAGAGCTGCACCATGGTGCTGAGCACGCCCTCCAGCTCCTTGTAGATGTAGAGCACAGCAAAGGAGCGGTAGTCGGTGTCCGCCACGCGCACGTCCAGGTAGCCCAGAGCTGCGGGTGGGGGAAGAGCTGCAGGTGCCCAGGCCCGGCCTCTGCTTCCGGGGCCGGAAGGGAAGGGACGGGAGGAGGCGGTGGAGGAGGGATGCTGGGGGGAAGGACAGTCACCCCACGGAGAATCAGGCTCAAGTGCCTCTGAAGGGGGTGCGGCAGGACCTACCTGGGACCAGGAAGTGCCCCTCGGAGCCCACCTTCAAGTACTCTGCATCCATCTGGTTACAGGCCTCAGCCCTGGGGGTGAGCAGCCCACTCACTCTCTGCTTCCGCCCAGGCTCACCCGCCCCGCCAGCCGCACCCTCGAGCGGGGCTCACCTGGGGACCTCCATGTGGACGCTGAGGTTGCCTCCCGCCATGGCGGTGACAGTGGCGGAGGACATCAGCAGGTGGTCCTTCTTTTCCTGGAAGACCTTGCAGTCGGAGACCATGGAGACCACGTACCAGAGGCCTGAGAACTGCGAGGCGGCTCGGTGACCAGCAGGCTCAGGGACCCAGGGGCACAGGGCTGACAACCCAGAGCCGGGCCTCATCTGAAGCCACAGGGCCAGGTGTCTGGAGTGTCTGCCTCCAGGGTCTGAGACCGGGGTGGACAAGTGCCCTGTTCTGAACCTAGCTGGGCATGTCAGGTCACCACTGTGGGCCTCCGTGCCTCACCATGAGGCAGGTCGATAATCAACACCCCCACACACACACACACAGGGAGGTTTCTGGGTTACAGGGAGAGCCAGTCTAAAGGGGTGGCAGGCCCAAGGCCCAGCAGGTGGGGACAGCTGTCACTGTTCCCCCTTCGCTGTGGCTCCCAGCGGCGACTCAGCCCCCCAGCCCCACAGCCCAGCACGGAGGCCTCCGGTACCTTCTTGGCCTCAAAGTCTGGCTGCACCAGGACGTCAGCACAAGCCACAGACACCCAGAGCAGCGCCAGGACCCGGCCCAGCAGGACCGACTGCATCTCCACGCCTGTCTTTGGCCGCTGGCACCGTATGTGGGACCCAGCAGGCCCTGCTTTATAGCCCAGCCCGCAGCCGGGCTGGCCAGACCCGCAGGCTGGGGAGCAGGAGGCATTGGGGCCCCGGAAACCCCGGCCCTCCTTTGTCCATTGTTCAGCCCAACCGCTGCAGTGACCCCTCCAGCTCCGGGGTCACTTCCTGGAGGGCTCCACAAATTGGGGTTCTCACCTGACTCCCGGCACTGAGAGTTTGCCCCCTAACCTGCCAGGCAGTCCTGGGGGCCCAACCAGAGATTGCCAAGGCCTGCAGGGACCTGGACCCTCCATGCCTCGGTCCACCTTCAGTCTGGCTGGGGCTGGGGGCCCGGGGCCCCCGGCGTGCTCCTGGGAAGCAGTCAGGCTCAGCTATACTCTGGCCAAGAGGCCCCCACTCAGGAACTGGGGCCTCCACAGTCCTCAGTCACAGTAGTGGGGTCACCACTGGCCAGGCCTCTGGGCCTCATCTGGGGCAGAGCCTCTTTGGGGGCAGCTGACGACGGAGGTGACATCAGAGGCCTGGGTGCCCCTCACTCAAGACCCTGGTGCTCCGGCGCAGCCTCCAGCTGGGCCCCCAGTGAGCGGGTCTGGGGGGCGGGGCTGAGATGTCACTCAGGACGGATTATGGTCTCAAAACCACCTTATCTCCAGTTGCATAAGTATTCCAGCGGGGGTGTCGCCGGGGAGGTGTGGGCTCGAGTCGCCAAGGCCTCTGCTGGGGACGTCTTGTCTGGTGTCCACCATGCCAGGAGCAGCACATGGCCTCGGGGTGTGCCACCCAGATGCCTCAGGTGAGGGGCAGGGGTCCCGGGGAGGGCCCGGACGACCAGGGCTCTGGAGTGGAAGGGTGTTCGGGGGGGAAGGGAGACCCCGTTCTAGCCTGAGGGAGGGGCTGAGCCCAGGCTTCTGCTCCCGCCTCCACTGGGTTTCAGGTGGCGCCAGCTGGCCACCGGGTCCCACAGTCGCCGGATAAAAGGCGGGCACACCTTCCCATGAAAATATTTACAAAACACATATCAGATAAAGGACTTGGACCCAAAAGTCTGCAAAGAATTCTCAAGACTCAAAAACAAAAACAAACCACCCAAATGACAACAGGGGGGAAGTGATTTAAAAAGACGTTTCAGCCCTGGCTGGTGTGCTCAGTGGATTGATTGAGTGCCAGCCTGCGAACCAGAAGGTCGCTGGTTCGATTCTGGGTTGTGGGCCAGGTCACCAGCTGGGGGCATGTGAAAGGCAACCGATCGATGTTTCTCTCCCTCCCTTTCTCCCTCTCTTCCCCTCTCTAAAACGAAATAAGAAAACTGAAAAACTAAAGTAAAATCTTCCCCCAAAACGCCTCCCCCTGGGTGGAGGGCAGGGTGGCCTGAAGGAACATCAGTCCTCGGGGTCACAAGCGTGTGTTTCGAGATGTAGGGCGGCCAGCGGACAGTCTGTTTGCTGCCCGCGGAGCTGCCCAGCACCCGGGAGCAGACCAGAGGCCTAGCAGGTAACCGTGCTGTTCACTCAGCCTTCACCGAATGCAGGTTCACTCAAGGCAGAAGGTCAACATACGTTAAAATCCTCCTCACACTCTAACAGTCTAGGAAGAGTAGCACACGCACACGCACACACACACAGCGATCAGCGGGGGATAATGAACACAAGTCCCAGCGTCTCAGCCCTGGGCCTGGAGACAGCGGAGCAGAGCCCCCGGCGGCTGATGCCAAGGGAGACAGGCGTGGCGTGGAGCAGCAGCCTGGGGCGTGGAGCTCAGCTGTCTCCGCAGTGGCCTGGAGCCACTGTGGGGCCGTGTACTCCACCCCTCGCGGTCTCTTCATAAGTGTTTGGGGACCCCAATGGCGAGTGGGGATTCTTGGTGGGCTTACCCCGGGGGTACTCCACCTCTGCACACGTGTCTGTTCCGGTCACATGTACAGCTACCTTGAACACTCCACCCTGCCAAGCGTGACTTAGGTCATTTCCTTCTTGAACCAAAGCATCACAGCGGGCTGGCAGAATCTTGCTTGACGTGAGTGACGCCATTTTGTTCTATATACTTTATCCTGTCTTGGCCGGACCAACGCCGTTTTATTGGTCCTGCTCTCCACACCCGGCTACAAGTCCAGAATGCCAGAGAAAGGGGAAGGACACGCTATGGGCTTCCCGGCCCAGGGCTACTGGGTGAGAAAGCAAAGTTTCAGTCCTCCCTTGGGCCAACAAGGACCAAGGGGCAGACAACACAGTTCTCCTGATCATCTTGCGGCCCGATATCCTTCTAGTCATCTCCCAATGGTGAGGTACATGCAGATCTTCCCCACCACCCCTGCACACCCACATACTTGTGCACACACAGGCACACCCACAGGGGTACCCCTCCTGGTGCTGGATACCCAGCCCCCCACACAGGGCCTGCACAGGAAGAAACATCCAGGAGAGCAAGGAGCCCCCCCCACCAAGTCAGTGGGCTCCAACAGGGCCTTAGGGCAGAGAAGGGAGGTGGCCTCTGGACCCCAGCTCGTCCATGTGTGGGCCCCCGGCAGCATGCCCCCGCAGAGCTCCCTAAGGCGCCCAGAGCTGAGAGGTTGGGAGAGGCCTGCAGCCCCCCAACCCTGCCCTCCCAGGCTCACTCTGCTGATTAGTGTTGGGGGCTGGGAGCCCAGACAGGGGGCCGTGTGACGGGAGGCAGGCAGGGCAGAGTCCGACTCTGGGGACCAAGATGGTGCCCTGTATCTCTCCAGGGAAGAAAGGCACCACGGCACGGGACTGCAGCTTTCCGGGTAAGGACATTCCCCAACCATGGAGTGCACTCCTCATGCTGCAGCCCCAAGTCCGGGGACCCCTGTAGGGTGGGCTAAGAACAGGAGAGCAGAAGGACCCCGGGGCCCAAGAAGGCCCTGCAGGGAGGGCCTACCCCCACCCACCACTAGCTCAGCCTCAGGGCCAAACTGACTTGTGGGGTCCCAGGGGCCCCCCAAGACCCCCATCATGGCCAGCCCGATGACCTGGTCCCAATTCTGGAGAAGGTCACAAAGAGTCAGAGGGTGGCCAGAGGCCCCCAAAGGAGCCTGAAGTAGGCAGGGTTATGGCAATGGGGTGGGCTTTGGTGGTGTAGATGCCGGGAGTGTCCCAGGGGTCGATTATGGAGGGGAGGGGAAAAGAGAAAGGCACCTGTATCTTCTATCCACGAGAGACGGTGCTGAGGTCTCTCCCCTGCCAGCCTCCTGGGGGTGCACCCCCTCACACCCTGGTCCCTCCTGTCCCCTCCCCATTTTGTTTTCCTGATCTCTCTCCCTGCTCTGTTCTCCTGTCTGGTCTATGAGGGGTGGAGCTGTGCCTCCTCCGTGGGACTCCCCAGTTCCTGCTGGCGGTAAGTATGGGTTTATAGTATTTGGAGGATTAATTTGCTAAATAATCTTTCCAGACATAGCTACTCCGGATTGTTTTAAAGAGACTTAATCCCTTCATCAAAGTCCCACCCCAACAAATAATACTATCAATTATCATTCTGCCTCTGCCAGCGAGGCAGCCAGGCAAAGGGACCAAAGCCCGGCCAACGACTGGCCCACCGCCCACAGCCCAAGGTCCTAGGGCCCCAGACAGCGGGATGCGTCTGGCTCCGCCCAGACGTTGTGCCCCGCCCGTTGTTCAAGCCCCGCCCCCTAGGCAGGACTCCGCCCCGGTCCGCCTGCCACGCCCATGCTCCTCAGACCGCGCCTGCGCAGATCGGCCCTTCAGGCCCCGCCCATCCCCCCTGTCCCGGCAAGCCCCCTCCACCCGCGCCTGCGTGGACCGCACTGCCAGGCTCTGTCAACCATGGTGAACCTGGGCCTGTCCCGGGTGGACGACGCCGTAGCCGCCAAGCACCCGGTGAGAAGGCCGGCCTAGCACGCGGGCTCCGGACCTGAGAAGCCTACCTTAGCGGGGCGGGGGCTTGATTCTCGTGTCCTGTCCGGGATAAAGGGCAGAGTCCGGACCCTCGTGCTGTGGGGACGGGGCACCATGCGTGGGCAGCGGGGAGTGCCGAGAGGAGGGACAGGAGGGACGGTGGAGGGAGACGGAGGGGACTGAGCCTTCAACGCCTGCCCTTCCCAGGGATTGGGAGAGTATGCCGCCTGCCAGTCGAAAGCCTTTATGAAAGGCATTTTCACCTTTGTCACAGGTAGGCTGGGTCCAGGTGAACTCAGGTGCGGAGACCTCAACCCCTGTCTCACCCTGACTCCCCAGCAGGTGGCGCCATGTGGGCTGCCTGCCGGTGCGGGGAGCCGCGAAGGTGTCTGGGGGGAACTCAGGCCCTAGTGGGCTGGCTGATGGGGACCCTGTCTCTTGGCAGGCACCGGTGCGACCTTGGGCCTGCAGATGTTCCTTCAGAGGAAGTTTAAATACCCCTTTCAGTGGAACGTTCTAGGGGCCGTGGGTGGGTACCCCAAGGTCAGCACCTGGGGCCCCTGAAATGCACCTCGGCTGCCAGAGGTGACTGTGGGTCTTCCCCGCAGAACGGGTTGGGTTCCCACTAGGAGCGGGGGTGGGGGGCTATATTCCAGGCATCCCTGCCTCCTGGGATGGGGCCCCAGTTCCCAGAGGGATCCCTGCCCAGCCCACCGCCGCCATCTGTCCCAGGAGAGTCCCGTGCCCTGGTTCTCCTTCCCAGAGAAGCCCAGAGGCCCGAGTCCCCGGCCCACCGGCCCCTGCTCTGCCCCCCAGTCATAGGCTCCGTGGCCAGCTACTGGGTGACCCGAGTGGAGACACAGAAATGCAGCGACCTCTGGCTCTTCCTGGAGACTGGGAAGCTGCCCACAGACACGGGCCCAGGTGAGAGGTCCCGGGGCAGCAGGAAGCCAAAGCTTTGCTGCTGGTGCCTGGAGCTGCAGGCAGGCAAACCTGGGGCCGGAGGTGGAGGCTGGACCACGCCTCTCCCCTCTGGCCTGCGCCCTGGGCACACACTTCCTGGAAAGGGAATGAGTGCAGGAGAAAGACCCCGGAGGGCTAGGGTGGCCTGGGATGGGGGGAGTGCCACGTGAGGAGTGTGGGCGGCCGAGGAGGAAGAATGGCCGGATTGAGAGGCCGGGTGAGAGACAGCAGGCTGATGGACCTAAGCCACTGCCCGAATCCTCATTACAGGCCTTGCCTCACCTGTTTTTGCCACAGTAACATGGGTGCAGGGACGTGAGCAGCTTTAGGGGGTGGTGCTGTCTCTGTTTGCCTCTCACAGATCAGCGCTCCCGGAAGAGCTCCAGTCACAGTGCACAAGACCTGGGCCAGTAGAGTTCCAGAACACAGCCCTGAGTGCCTCCACACCCCGGGCCGGCCCTCCCCGCTCCATAGTTCCTCGCCACACCCGAAGGTGCCCCAGCTGTGCCCCTGCACAGACACATGGCCAGGTCTGCCCAGGAGGTCACACCAGAAAGGGCTGTTTTTGGACTGGCCTCCTGTAGGGCAGCGAGAAGCATGGTGGACACGAAGCCAGACAGCATCCTGGCTGGCACCACGCACAGCTCTGGGTGCTGCCCTCCCTGGTGCATGGACATTCCCTTTCCAGTCCTGCATCCCCCACGGTTGGCGGTGACAGATGCTGCTGGGCTTGTGGAACTAATAAACGCCTTGCTCTTTTTGCCACCTAAGTTGGACCGCGATTGGAGAGCAAGTCAAAGGAGGAGGAAGCTGAGAGACAAATGTCACCTTAGTGCCACGTGGCTGAGGCTGGAGGTTGTGCCAGGCAGTTCCTAACACTGAACCCCAGGATTAGACACTCCTGCCAGCCCTGGGGGTCTGTTTCCACACATGTGGGCACAGAGGAGCAGAGTGCAAGGTGTGCAGCCCATTGCACCTGGCTCCCGAGAGACGAAGGGACAGGGAATGGCTATGCCCATCCGCCTGTCATCCCAAACACCTGTCAGATGAAGTCACTTCTCTCCATGGGCGGAGGGACGTCAGAGCTAGCTTACTAGAGCTCTGTCCTCATGGAAGGAAAGCTCATGAGTGGGCGAGGCTACTCACTCACCCACCCCAACCGGAAGAGGCAGAGATGTGTAAACTTGGGCAGGTCCACTGCCTTTGTGGTCAGCCTCCCAGGCCCACTGAAGGCACACAGCACAGCGCCACGCTGCCCAAGCCAGCGCAGCCCATGTGTCTCTTAGCCAGGCGGTCATTCAGAGGAATAATCTGCTCAGCACCTGCTAGGCACCAGGACCCTGTTGGTGGGAAGGCAGTGACAGGAAGCCCAAGATAACTGTGGCATAAGTGACCTGGGGTCTCCTTCATGTGAAGGTGCAAGTGGGCGGCCTGGGGCCTGGGCTTCTTGCAGTCTATGCCGTGTTGCAGTGGCCTGTATTCCAAATCCACCTCGTGGTCCTAGGCAGCTGCACCAGCTCCAGCCATTGCATCTTCATCCCAGTCAACAGAAAGGAGGAGGGGAACAGTTCACTTACCATTCTGCTTACACTGCATGGCACGCTGTGCAGAGAGGCACATAGGAAGGCCGCCTTGTTCTAGGCAGCCCTGGGTCCCTACTAAAATTCAGGGGTTCTGAGCAATAGGGGAGAACCAATATTGGGGAACGGTGGGCAGCTGCTGCCTCAGGCCCTGAGTCGGCAGGGGCAGAGGATGCAGACACATATATGGCAGGTCCTTCCATCACCCTAAGAGCAAGACCCAGCTCAGAGGGCAGAGAAGGTGAACTGGGAGTTTTAGACCTGACTGGACCCACTTTTTAAAGACAGAGTGGCCAGCCTTGGCTGGTGTGGCTCAGTGGATTGAGAATAGTCCTACAGACCAAAGGATTAATGGTTCAATTCCCAGTCAGGGCACATCCTTGGGTTGCCAGCCAGGTACCCAGCAGGGGGCGCACAGCAGGCAACCACACATTGAAGTTTTCCTCCCTCTCTCTCTTACCCTCTCTCTAAAAATAAATTAAAATGCTTAAAAATAAGTAAATAAAACAAGGGTGACCAGAAGGGCACAGCGCCTGTGTAAGAGGTCCTATGGGAAGGTGGGCACTGTAACCACAGGTGAAGACTGGACGGTGTCCCCCCCAATTCACACATCACAGCCCTAATCCCGGGGCGTCAGGATATGACTGCACTTGTGCACACGGCCTCTGAAGGGGTTCCCGTTCCAATGAGAGTGGGCTCTGACCCTCCCGAGTTGGTAAGAGGAGGAGACGGTGTGGACGGCCCAGAGGAAAGGCTGTGTGAGGCCAGGGACGGACGGCGTCTGCTGCCCCCCCCCCCGATCTTGTACGTCCAGTGTCCGGGACATGACACGATAAATGTCCAGGGTTCAAGCCATCATCCGAGGTGCTTTGTTACAGCAGCCACAGTGAAGTCACACAGGGTAGCTAGGAAAAGTGCCCCTTCCCATGTGTGCCCGCCCCCCAACCCCAGGCTGTGCAGTGTTGGTGCTCACGCTCCATGGGAAGCTCGAGGTGGGGGCGCAGAGGTGGAGACTGAGCCCTGCTGGAGTGCCACCCAAAGCTAGACCCAGGAGTCCCCGGGGAGTGGGGGCTGAGGTCAGGGAGAGTGGGGTGGAGAAGGCCCAGGTCATCCCGCCTGGAGTTTGACCTGGGCTGGGCTGGAGGAGACCCTGTAAGTCAGCTTGGGGTCGGGAGTTCAGAAGGCCTCGGAGGAGGGATGTGTGGCCTCACTGCCTGACCACCGCTGTGGGAGGGGGTGCCTGGCCGGGGCTGCACCCCTGGACAGAAGGAAGTCACAGGACCCAAGGGTGCAGGGGGCCACCTCAGGCTGGCTGGGGACAGAGGCGGTGGTGGGCTAGGAATCCCAGGGTTCCCTGGGCGTTGAGAACCTTGGCCCCCATCACAATGGGCTGAGGTTCTGGGGACAGTCTGAGCTGCGGTTCTGCTGAGCAGAAGCGGCACCGGAAGGCAGGGCCCCTCTGGCCACCATGAGGATGCAGAGTGACGCGGACATGGACGAGCAGATCCAGGAGCTGAAGACCATTACTTGGCTCCAGGGTGAGCTGCCCCTGCAGCTACTGGTGGCTGACCCCCAACGTGCTCAGGGGCTCTGGGTGCAGGACTTTCCCAACAGGGACGGTCCGGGGCCAACAGGCTAGTGGACCCTATCACCTACCCCACAACCAGAGCTGGCAGAAGGCACCAAAGGGACCTGCCAGCAGGGGGCAGGGGTGGGGTGAGGAGAACCTGGGGGTCTCACGGAGGTTTGAATGCATTGTGGACCCCAAAGCCAGAGGGAGCAGGAGGATACCCAGCTGCCTCCGTGGGCCAGCGGGTCTGGGAGGGAACATGGGACGTCCCCACCACTCAGCACAGCCACCCAGACCAGCACTGCTGAGCAGTGGGGCCCGGAGCCCCAACGGCAGGCAGTGTGGGAGTTAGCAGCAGGGCAGCGGAGGCTCCCCAGCTCCCGCATCCTGGGAGGCCAGGCCCTGGGCCCACACCCTGGCCGCCCTGACCTTGGCGTGCCCACAGAGCAATGCCGGACGCTGCAGACCCAGGCCGTGAAAGAGAAGACGGCCAAGAACAAGGCGACGCAGGCGCTCTTGCGCAGCAACATCCGTCAGGGGGCCCAAGATTGGGCTTTGGCGAAGAAGGTGAACGGCCCGGTCCCCTCCCTGCTGCCTGGGGGTGTGGGTGGGGTGGGCACGTGCTGAAACAGACACACAGCTGGACGGCAGGGGGCCCCTCTGCTCCTCTCCCCACTCACTTCTGTAGCCGATGCACCTGGGGAGGGACTCACAGGGACTGCTCTGGGCCCCAGTCACTGCAGCGAGTCCGGTGGGCAGTGTCCCTGATGAGATCCCCTCTCCCGGGCTATCCACTGCCGCAGTGGCCCCTCGGGCTCTCTGGCCTCGTAGGAGAGAGCCGGCCCCTCCACTCCGGACCCCCATCGCATCTGAGCTGGGTTGGCCTGGGTGGGGGCCTGTAGTGCTCTACCTCCTGGGGTCTTGCTGCTGCGCTGCCACGGGCAGAAGCAGCCCTGGGAGAATGCCTGGCGGGGCTGGCGGCAGGGATCGCAGAGAAGCCCGCCAGCTCAGCTGCCGCTGCCCCACAGGACGACCAGCGGTCCATCTCCAAGGCCTGCGGGAAGGATGTGCCCACGAGGCTGGCGCACTGCCGCTGCACCATGGAGGTACGGCGGCAGGAGGGACCCCAGCCCCCACTAAACGCTTCGAGCCAGTGGGGGGCAGAACGAGCTTCCCACCGCAGGGGCCCTCCCTGCCCACCCGCCGCTGCAGGCAGGCACAGGATCCTCTGCGCGCCGTACCCTCCCCGACCCAGGTGGCGCGGGAGAAGCTGCGCAAGTACGTCTTCGACCGAGTGAACGTGCACAACGCGCTGATCCATCTGGCGCGGCGGCGCGGGCAGCAGCTGGAGAGCATGCAGCTGGAGCTGGCCAGCCTGCAGAACCAGCCGACGGCCACCAAGGAAGAGCTGCGCCTGCTGCAGGTGGCCGGGCAGCGGGGCGGGGCCTCACGCAGGGCGGGGCGGGGCGCCGGGGTCGGAGGTGGGACTCCTGGGGTAGGGCACGGCAGGGGTGGAGCCTCTTGGTCTGCGAAGAAGGGCGTGGCGGGGCTACGTGAGCAGGCGGGGCCGAATGAATGAGACGACCCCCCCCCCAGGGCTGTCCTCCTCCTCTCCAGGGGGTCAGGCTCTCATTGTGCCCTTGGGCAGTCCCCAGGTCATCCGCCAGCTGGAGAACAACATCGAAAAGACGATGATCAAGATCACCACGAGCCAGAACATCCACCTGCTGTACGTGGACCTGCTGGACTATCTGAAGAAAGTGAGCCCCCTCACCCAAGGCCAGGGAGCCCAGCTGGGTGGGAGGGGCCAGGGGTTTGCAACCGGCCCCAGCTAGTGCAAAGGGCTGGGGTCTCAGTGGGGGTGGAACCCCCACCCCGGGATAGGGCCGCCCCCAGGCCTGCAGCCATCCTGGCCGAGCACCCTGAGGACTGAACCCTGCTTTGGGCGCCCTCTGAGCAGCGGTGCCAGCACCTAAGAAACATTCCTTCAAGACCTGGCCATCGCTACTCAAAGAAGGCATCTCAAGGGATCTACCAGAAGGGCGTGCACTTGCCCGCATGTACTGGGCGGTGAGTGTGATTTTTATTCACTGCCTGGTCTGTGAGGGCAAGCGACAAGCCCTTCGCGCCCCCTGGGAGTCCTCCAAGATACAGGGTGCGTTGCCTCAGAGCAAGCCGGCGGCCTCAGTGTGCTGCCCACCGCGTCTCAACCAGAGGCCCTGCTCCCCATGGAGGCGGCTCGGAGGAAGCCCCCAGGGACCGTGAGCCCGTACTGGGGCAAGATCCCATCACAGGGTGCCCCGTCTGGCCCCCCAGGGCAGAGCACAGGTGCCTGCCGCAGGCCAGGAGGACGGTAGAGGGCAGATGGAGAGGACAGGGGGCTGGGTTCCAGGTGGCAGAGGGACAGCTTGACTGGAGGGGAAGGTAGAGTGAGAGAACCCTTCAATCTTCCTCATCCTGAGGCTGGGAAAGGGGAGCCCTGCAAGCTGACAGGTGGCCTTGTGGCTTGGGAGGAGGGTGGGGTGGGACCGGTGGGCACACCCCCCTCCTGACAGAGGCCCCCAGAGCCAGGCAGCAGAGCTTCATGCTCCACCTTGTCCCCCAGTCCCCAGACCCTTGG